CTGGAGAAACGCCCCCGACCACTGCATGCTCCGCGTGAGGTCCAGCGACGGCGAGTTGAGCGCCACGCCCGCGGGCAGCGGCACGGGCACGTCCCGGCCGTGGAAGCGCACCGTCGGCGGCGCCGTGCCGCGATGCAGCTGCAGTAGCAGCTGCAGCAGCGCCATGCAGAGGTTGCCGCCGGCCGAGTCGCCGGTGATGACGAGCGAGGATGCGGGCACGGCGTCGTGCCACGCGCCGGGCGGCGGGTGCAGCAGCGACAGGTACGCGACGAGCGCGTCGAGCAGCGCCGCGGGGAAGGGCCCTTGCGGCGCGAGCCGGTATCGCACGGAGAAGACGCGGCCCCGGGCGTGCTCTGCGTACGCGAGCGCGACGGGCCGCGTCGACGCCGGGTCCAGCAGGTAGTTGGCGCCGCCGTGCATGTACAGCACGGTCACGTCGGTCGCGGCCTCGGCCGTCAGCCGCGCCAGCTTGTCGCGCTCGCTCAGGCCCTGCGGCTCCGGGGCCCACGCAGACACGCCGGCGCGCACGCCCACCCACTCGCCGGCGACGTCCTGCAGCGGCGGCACGGTGAAGGGGCAGGGGCCGAGGGCGGCAATGGCGGCGCACAGCTGCTGCCGCACGTCGTCCTCGGGCGGCGCGGGCAGCGTGGCGCGGCTCACCCAGAGACGGCCGCGGGCGCCCGCGTCGCCCATGAAGAGCGCCTGCTGGGCGCTGATGGTCGACGGCGGCGCGTGCCCGAGGAAGTCGCGCAGCGTGGCGACGACGAGCTCGGTGCGCAGGTCCCACTGGCGCGCCGTGGGGCTGCGCCCGAGCAGCCAGAGGACGACGGTCTTGAGCACGAGCGGGACTTTGGAGAGCACGAGGAGGAGCGTGCTGAGGAGGGATGGCATGGTGAGCGGTGCGTGGGTGGTTGTTGTGGATGGAAGGGGGGAAAGAGGTGAAGGAAGAGGATGGGCGCTTGTTATTACGGGATTTCATGGTTGGACAAGATTGGACGGGAGCGGGCGCGCGGGAGTGGCCGCTCAGGTGGGCGCGCTGGGGAGCTCGGATCGTGGGGTACGATAGAGTAACACAATAATAGCACAACTAGTTAATAAATCGAAATGGTCCCAAATTAGATTCTGATTATTGAGTACCCTTGCCGATCTGCGCTGTGACCTTGCGCTTGCACCTGTCCACCAACAACAACCAACACGATCATCCGAGTCGCTGGGGAAACTTGTAAGAGATTCAACATCATTACCATTCGTAAATGCATATTAAAAAACTCAAAAGGGCCAACCAATATACTTTACAGAACAATCGCCCAACGCCACAGCAGAAACACCCCCCTACTCAACCACGACGCCATTCCGATCGCGGCCCATCCTCGCATACTGCGTCTTGAGCGCCGGCACGTCGGCGCTCACCAGGGCATTGACCCATCTCTGGGCGCCCGTCTTGTCGTCCGTCGCGAGGCTCGCAGCGGCGCCCATGAGGAGCGGCTTGCAGTTCAAGTAGACGCACTCGTAGCTGTTGCGGGGGACCAAAAAGGTCTCGTGGTAGACGCCGAGGTGGGGGAACTTTTGGGCGGCGAACCAGTCCCAGGCCTCGCGGTGCATGGGCTCGTGCGCAAACGCGTGCAGGCTGGCCAGGTCGCGGAAGTAGATGACGGTGTTGGTGGTGACGGAGCCGTCGACGACGCCCTGCCAGTCGCTGACGGCCAGCACGCCGAGCTCGGCGCGGCGCCGCCGCAGGTCCGCCACGAGCGCGCCGAAGCGGTCGCCCGTGGCGCGCCCGCCGGGGCACAGCGGCCCCAGCGCGTGGTTGAACTGCGCGCCAATGTGGAACACGACGACCGCGTCCGCAGCCGCCGCGTCGCCAAAGGCCCCCGAGGGGAGCGGCAGCTGTGCGGCGGCTCGGCCGGGGACCACGTTGAGAGGGAACGGGTGCGTGAGGCTCGTGGCCCGGTCGAGGAGCACCGACGCGAGGGTGACGGCGAGGTAGCTGAGGAGCGGCACGACGGCCCAGCGCGCGGGCAGCGCGAGCGAGAGGCCGGCTTGGAGGACGCTGCCGAGCACGAGGAATACGGGCAGGCGCGCGACCTTGTCGAGGCCGTATCGGGCCTGGAGTTGTTAGCTGGGGGAGGGGACGGGGAGGGCAGGAGGGAGATGCTCACACTGGTGGACGGCGTGTAGGTCCAGGGACGCTCGGTGGGCGCGAGCTTGAGCTGGAATTCCTTGCCCATTATGTTCGGTGAGAATGAATCGAGTGGACAGTCTCGTTCTTGGGCTGCGTTGCCAAAGGAAGTTGGGTTGGCCTTTGGCTCTTGGTGGTAGTCAAAGGTGTAACTAAGTCGGGGACGGGTATAAGTCGACACCCAGAACGGAATGAGAAGTTGTGCAGAGATGGTCCTGTGATTCGAGACGAAATAGAGATGTCCCTCGATGACTATGAAGCAAGTTCAAGACGGGGAGGTGAGGGAGGGCGGACAGGAGCTATATAGTTGAATCCAAGCCCCAAAACACCGCCGCCGCCGCCGTCGTCGTCACCCGGCCCCCGGTGCCCCCCCATCATTCCGACCTACCTAAGTCGCTGACGACGAATAAGCCGGCGTGCTTATTCCACAGGGCTGGGATAGGCTAACTATACTGGGAGCATCGCCTTTCGCACTCGCTTATTTTCGACCATGGCCGCCAACTAGTGTGAAAACGGGGCGTTGACAAGTGACCTTGGCGATTGCGAGTGCGACTGACGGGGGGGGATTGGATAATCTGTACGCAGTACATATGATTTGCTTTTGCGTCTTTTGCCTGAGCCAGGAGGTTGTGGCTATAAGCGACAGGCCTGTGTTTGTCGTATTACCGAGCAGGGGGTTCTCTGTCGTTGACTACAAAGAAAAAGGAATACTTTTTTGTTATTTATTGAAAAAAAAAAAAAAGACGAAGCTCGCTTGCTCGACAGGTTGGGTTGGTTACCAGTGCCGATCTAGTAGCTCCGGCCCAACCGACCGAGGCCACCCTTTGCACTAAATGCCGGTTCTGCGCTGCCGCGCCACTGACGTTTCCTTTCAAAGGTAGCCAAAGTCAGATGATAATTTGTGCAGGTTGTAGACAAAAAAAATAACCTTGATATTAACTAGTAAAACCCCAAGTCCGTCTGCCTGTCACTGGCGCGAGGACGAGAAACCAAACGACGCGGCCGCCCACGTCAGCAAGAAGCCCACCGAATGGTCATCTTGGGGAGGCTAGCTTTCGCTTTTTTGCTTCTTCGGCGCATTTTGTTTTGGCAAAAGCTAGCGAAAATCCTGAATGATATTGTACTTTTTAATTTGCACTTTATAGACGAGCAACTTGAAAGGTCTGGTTGTTTTTTCTGGGGTGCCTCGGTGGTATAGCAGAGCACACGTGTTCCTCGTACTCTTGGGTTGCACGAGATTTGTCTGTGGCGAGGACGGGAAACCAAAAAAAAAAAAAAAAATCATCGGCTGCGGCTAGGCTCGTGCATGGATTGCCAAAAATAGATGGGAAGCAGGAACGGGACGAAACGAGATCCGATAAACATACGTTGCGAATACAGGGACATGGGGCTTCATTATGGTGAGTCGAATCCATCTCGACAAGTCTTCCATTTCCCACAAATTCTTCAACATAATTCAGACGCTCAATTATACTTTATTGATTGTGTTTTACAACTATATAGATAATACATCTTGTCGCTTTGTTTTGATCATTCTTGTCGTCATCATATCTCTAGCCGGACGTGGTGCAGGAACAGGCCGCCCGCCGTTTTCCCAAAAAGATCAGAATATGGAAACAGTATATACCAACAAACAAACAGACCCCATTTCTCCAAAAAGAAAGAGAAGAAAGAAAAAATAAACATATAAAAGTAGTATCCTCGTGATACTGAAAAAGAAAAGAATACCGCCTGCAAAAGACAAAAGAAAAAAGATCGAGTCCGAGGCCGTGGTGGACTTATATATGCAAATTGTTGCCATGTACAGGTCGAGGGTAATATATAGCAGAGTGAGGGTCGTGAATCGAATCGCTTGCGCAATGTGCTGTAATACGTTGTAGTCGTCTGGAATTTTATACACTGTTTTCCTTGTCGCGCGTCTCGGGTGCCGTCAGCGACTTTTCCCACTCGTCCATGAGGTTGTTGGCCGTGCGCTTCAGATTGCTCGGCGACAGCCGATTGACCATGCTCGGAAGCAGCTCGTCGAGCTTCGTGTTGCGCAGCACACTGTCCTGCGATGAACGTTTCGACTTGGTTGGTGTCGTCGCCGACTCCTCGGGCTTTTCCGGGATTGCTTCAATCTCGTCCAGCCCACCGTTATGAGCCGTGGAGCCGCTCCATCGGCTCGACTTGACAGAGGCCGGAGAGTCCCAATTTGTCCAGTCGTTATCCTCGAGCGTCTCAAAACCTAGCAGCGTCCATGAAAGCTGCTTGCCCTTGCCGCTCGTTTTGGTCTTTTCGGCCAGAGTGACAACCTCGTCCGCCGTGCTGAGAGAAGGTCCTTGCTTGACAGCGTCCAACGACGCCTTGGCCTTGCATCTCGTGGATGCCGACGATTGGCCGTCGTGTCCTGTGGGCGTGGCGTCGCGACCGCGTCTCGAATTGCTGAGCGCTCTCGTGGGCGTAAATTGACGAGGCCTGGCTGGTGCTGGTCCAGTTATGGGTTCGTCGCCAACTGTGATTTGTCGAATATCCTCCACAAAGGCGCGCAGGCCGAGCTTAAAGTCCTCGACCAGTGGAAACACGCCCGACGCTTGTGGTTGCCATGTCGCCCGCTTTGACAGTGCGGGGGGGTGTCCTAGTGGCGGCACCGTCCTTTCATGCAGAGGCTGCGCCACAGTGCTATCGATGCTGGCCCTGTCCTCGTAAAGGTTGAAGGGTGCGTCCGACCTAGAGGGAGATAGCAGCGACAGCGTTCGAGCGTGGCCGCCTCGCATGACCTTTCTGCGGCTCTGCGTCGGTGTAGAGGGTGCAGTGGGAGAGGATTGTTGGGATTGCAGCCAGAGCTTCCTGCGATCCAAATCGACACTCTGCCTGGTGGGCGACATCATGGCATCCGGGGTAGGGCAGCGCTTGGGCGAGGCAAGAGCCTGTGACTGAATCTCGGCAGAACGCTTATGCATCGACTCTTTCGAGGTCCATTGAGCTTTCAGAGAGGTGAGATGGCCCTCGGCACGCGCGAGTTCTTCACGGAGCTCCAGCACCTTTCTCTCCTGCGCGGCGATTGCTATTATAAAATCGTTGGCGTCCTCGAGAGCGGGGAGCACGGGTGTCTGCGCTGGTGTAGGCGGCTTCGACAAGAGTGTCACGGGAGGTCCCGCGGATGAGGGCGGGCGGACGGGATCGCCCCTCGATGGAGGTGCGATGGGCAGTGTTAGTGACAGTCGATTCGCCTGCCTGGGTGCAGACGAGGCCATTGATTGCGCGCGGGCATGTGTAAATCGTCTACCGGAAGGCAATTCGCGACAAGGCCGTGGTGGCGGTGGCATAGATTCTGCTGTTTCCTTGCTCATTGGCCCGTTTGTGTGTTGCTGTCGTGAAATTTCGTCATCCTTGACCTGCGCCAGCACAGAGTCAGGGGTTGGGGAAAAGGTGGTAGACATGGCCATGGCGCTGGTCATGGGCGAGAGAGAATTGTCGTAGGGTGCGCGGTCAGCAGCCGAGGAACGACGCCGAATCTCTTGATTGGAGGCCATGTCGAGACGTTGTTGCAGGAGATGCAGCTTGGAGGACGAAGAACGGCGCCGGTGGTGGTGGTGGTGCTGGTTGTTGTGGTAATTAGCTGTGCGTGGGAGAGAGGCGGGCCTAGCGGCACCAGTCCAGCGCAACCCCAGGCGGGCAGGGGCGGTACGACTGGATCTGGCGATGCGTGGTCTTCGGGGACGAGCTTGTGTCGGGCGGCAATTATCATGGAGGATATGAAGAGAGCGGTTGGCGACGGCGATGCGCAGGTGAAAGCCCGTCATGAGGCTCTTGGTGAATGGCGCGGGGAAGAGGAAATAGGCGGACTGGGCATCCTCTGCGGGCGATGAAGGTAGAATGAAGCAGCAGCGCGAGAGATTGGCGTTCCTGGCACTAATATCAATCAGCTCTTCTCTTGTGTCGCTGCCCCTGGCTTCATATGTAAGTCTTGTTTTCCAAGGCCCCTTTAGCGGTGGTTGATCTTGAACCCTTGCAAGGCAGGGGACTATCGCCGTGTTTCGACTAGGCAGGGGTGCAATAGGGTGTTTGCTTCGGCAACAGTGGTCGTTCTGTGGCCGTCTGCAGCTGCCGGGCGAGAACAGATGAAGATCAAAACAAGAATATTAAATAGGTTATAATGCGTCAGCCAGGCTGGTAGATGAGACCAAGATGTAGAGGAGCGGTAGATGGAGGTGGTCTTTGCACGGAGGCGCGGGCAGCACAGCGAACGTCGTCGAAGAAGCAAATTGATGATCAACGGAGGGCCAGTCTCGGATTGATGGCGAAGCGACGGTCGACGGATTATTACTGCATGGCGTTTCTCGCGACGTGGTTTGTTGTCTTTGACATGTCTCAGGCAAGCGTGGGGTGGTGTTGAGGGGAGAGTCACAGGGGCGGTGAGGAAAGGGAATGAGGGACGAGACGTCATCTTTTTGTTTACTGGGCACCAAGGTGAGGGGACCCTATGACGCATTCGCACATCTGCCAATATGAATTGACAATAAGTATATATTTCTAGTATGGATTTGATTCTACGGAATCGAGGGGGTCGAGGTATGCATTTCGGGATGTTTCTTGCCCCCGAGCCGCTAATCGTTTCAGCGGCCACACCCGCTGTAAACGGTCGTCATGACAGTTCATCGGCGCTGTAATACCTGCCCCGCAGACTCTGTTGGCCCGGACAACCAGTGGACCGGGTTCTATTTTCAGGTCCCCTCGGTTGGGTCTTTCAGCGGAGGCTGTTCCTGGGCTAGCGCGCCAGTCCCCTGGAGCTAGAACTTGTTTATGGTTGTTCAAAGCGTTCGGCTGCCATCAGGCCTGTCCACTTTTAGTGGCCTCGAGTCCGCTGACATCACGGCACCTCGGTCACTTTTCACCTGATGATGCCACAGACGATCAGCCACGGCAAAATGGCCAGATGAGAAGCAGAAGACCACGGACACTTGGTCGCGGGGAGCCTGGTGATTCTTCAATAGCGTATACGCAGCGATATGAGGCTTTCGGCTACTCTGACGGTTTCACACAATGCGCGGCGAGCTCGAGAGTCTCCTTGTTGGCCATGCTACCCCGGCTAGACAGGCATAGCTGTCCTCACACCTCCCTCGGCGAGGATCAATCGACATCTAGGCGGATTCTCCATGCCGTAGTTGCCATTGGCAGTCTATTTGGAGATGGTGGCGGTCTCTATTAAAGTGTGTACCAGTACTTTGCTGCGACTAATACAGCCATGCAAAAGATCAGAAGCCCCCAGGTACTTTGTGTCGAGTTGCGAGATTGGGCGCGGGGTATCCCGAGTAGCCATTTAATTGCTACGGTATCATTGTTCCCACCCGGCTGGCCCGTCAAGAAGGGCCACTTGCTCGATACGTACCAGCTCTCCGCCAGACGTGCAAAGGTGAAGAAGTACCCGGCTCCGAACATACAACCTTGCAGCGTATTCTCGATTGATCTGTGAGATCGTACTAGTATTTATGTTTTCTGGCAGTTGATAAGTGGGATAGAGTTGGTGATATGGAAAAGAGGTGGCAGAGATGGCCCGTCGAGTTGGCACGCTGACGACCCAGCCACTCGTTGCCTTGCATGCCATAACCCATCTCTCATGTTTGTGTATTTTATAAACAGCAGTTATAATTCACGTACGTGTGTATTAATTATAGCTAGAGAGCTTCAAGGAAAGATCACTCCATCTTCTAAATACTCTAATTAGTAAAGAAACTAGACTTTAAAAGAATAGCGTTCTTTTTAAAGTAACTTACATAAGAATTAAAATACTATTTTAAAGTATTATCTCATTATTTTAGCAAGGAATAAGCTAAATAAAGTAGGAATTTGTACTACCACGCCAACTCGGGTGGAAGCTACGATTAATGCCAACAGCCATCCTATTATGAGAGTTTCTAGAGAAAGGTTTTGTGAGACTGGTCGACTTGGACGGAAATGTACGTTTGACCTGGGAAACAGAACACGGGGCTTTAGAAACAAGACAAAACGCGGGGTTATACCTCTCCTACTCCTCACACCCCTTCCTCGAAATGGTCTAAACGGATGCGCCACGAAAGGCCGGCTTCTTAGCACCTACCACATTCACAGATGCTGTGGGAGAAGACTTTATGAAAAGAGAGGCCAACAAGCCTCAAAGATGAAGCCCTCGCCCACGTTCCTACCAACTGTTCCGTGAGGACCGTGTTACGTGCTACTACTTACCAGTGGCAGTGTGGCACGTGTAGGAGCCAGAGTTCGGCGAGCTTATATAGCCTAATATCCAGCTCCCGCTTATACGACAAGTCGCCGAACACTCTATCGAAAGCGGCCTAGGGTTCTACGGGTGAGACCTCAATGCGGTGCGTCTTGACTGGCTCAAGGCTGATACTTACACATAGCGACCTTGGACCAGGCTCACAGCTCGATTCAGCAGACCGGAGCTAGTTTCTGCATAATATGGTTGTATCCTGGATCTCAGTAGGAAGGGTTGATTGTACTCGGCTGTCGCTCGGTACTTTTCGTGTTGGCAGCCCAGAGAATCATGTCGATGGCAGTATCGAAGACAGGAATGTCGTTCAATAGCGTCTGGTACCTCGTCCACACTAGCTCACTCCCGAGGCTCCCAGCAGAGTCCGAGGAGAGACTGCTCTTTCGCGGACGTTTGTCCGGGTGATCTCCGCAGCTTGAAGTCGCCTGAAGCGAGCAGTCGTTGACGAGCAGGCTCGAGAGGCTTGAACAGAATCGATGCTTCTTTGCGAGGAAAAGGACACGTTTGTCGAGGAACAATAACCAAACGCTAATTACCCACCTCAACGGTCGCCAACAGGATTCACGATCGTAGTAGTCCTCTCAAATCATTCATTGCTTGGTTTCAACGCAGCGGCGAGCTTGCCTAGGGTCAAATTAGCGGCTGCCGAAACGAAAGTATAAATGAACACTCCAGGCATAGGACGTAATATGCCCTGGGGTGGTTCTCTTGACCCACGAGGATGCGAGAGAACAGCTCGAGATGATTCGTACCGTCCGGTGGGATTGTCGTGCGGAGCAATTCTCCTGCGGCATGCTGCCAGTATGGTACTGTGATGAGGGGCTACACCCGGGAGTGTACCTTGCGCGACAAAGACCAAACCTGACATGGTGATGTGTTTTGTTTGACCGGTAAGTGATGAAGGAGAAAGACAACGTGTCAGTTGCACTCATACACAAGCAGTCACGTGAGTGTCCCTCGGCGAGCATCGTTTGCGATCCAGAGTCAGTCTCGAGAGATGAGGCTACCTGTTCTCGGTGACTGGTCATGCAGATGGGCGATACGGGCGGTATGCCGATATTGGCGGACAACATTGCATGGATAGCGGAAATGTAGCTGACATGCGACCAGAACCGGCTGGTAGGCGTACCGAACGGGCCAAGAAAAAAGCGCGCCGGCAAAAACGTCAGCCTCTTTGGGTATATCAACGATGAAGGAAAATATAACAAATAATGAGAAAGATAACAGGGCATAATCTCAACCGTCACTATCCACTTGATGCGTGGAAAATAAAGACGAGCGTGTGCGGCTTCTCATCAGTCCGGTTCCGGCGGCGGCCCCAAGAAATCAACAACTCCAGATGACACAATCATCATGCGAACCAACAGCAAAGAACACACCGTATCACCGAATATGGAATTCGAAGAACTTGTGCACTAAAAAAAAATGATATACGACATGTTTTGATTATTTGAATTCGCCCCGTCACTCATCTCTCTTTTGTGGGAAAGAAAAAAAGGCGCGCCACCTACATCTCAGGGCCCGTTTGCGTCGACAGCCTTGTGTCAAGTACGTTTCGCATCTCTTCGATCCGCCCCTGCTAACCCCAGCCTCGCGTCCTAGCAAAATGGCCTTTTTGTCCCAACGGTCTAGCTGGCTTCCGTGCCTCAGAATTCGCCCGGAGCTGCGGTGGGAGAAGGGAAGTTTTGCCCTCCGGAACGCACGCGAGCCGTCCGTGTAAGTCAGGGCCAAGGTGTTTCACCACCAACGAGGAACCCAAGATGGGCTGCGGTCCTGCGATTTAACAAGAGTAAATCGCGCCATCCCCCTTGTTTTCCCTTTCTAGTTTTAATAACCTGCTTGTCCCCCCTCAGAACTTTTTTTTGTTTCTCGCCCTTGCTTTCTCCTTCTCTGCTTGGTTCAACTCGACTTGCTGCGCTCTCTTTCCCACTTTCTTGCTCTTCCTATGCCATTGGGCAACCAACAACCACTCTCTTGTTGTATCTTCCGCGTTGACGTGGCCTGCCGTCTTTATCTAATTCCAATCGTCTTTCCTTAACATTACTTTTACATTCGCACGAAGCACTGGATTGCTCGCCAACCTAATTTCACATCACCCCCCCGTTGCTGGTTCGACTTGGATAACCCTTTTTTCGCTCATTACGACTTGCACGAAACACGATACCAAAAAACCACCATTCATTTTTACTTTTGCAATGCTTTCATTAAAGACGACAGTTTTGGCGCTTCTGGCTGCCACCGCCACGGCCATGCCCGCCACGGTCCGCCTCACCCCGCGCCAGATGCAATACCACACCCTCGCCAAGCGTCAGCAAGAGGAGGCCGCAGCCGCCGGCCTGAGCGACTTTGACATTCTCCAATTGTACGCTCCCTTCCCTTTCTTGAACATGTGCAAAAAAAACACATTTCTCTAACCAAACTACATAGCGCTCTGACCCTGGAAAACCTCGAAGAGTCCTTTTACCGCCAAGGCTTCGCCAAGTTCCCGGCCTCCGACTTTGCCGCGCTCGGTCTCGACGAGCAGGCCATTTCGGACCTGCAGCAGATTGGCAAGACCGAGGCCGAGCACGTCGGCCTGCTGCAGTCGTCGCTCGCGCAGGGCGGCGTGCAGCCCGTGCAGGCGTGCGAGTACGAGTTTGGCTTCACCGACGCCGCCGCCATGGTCCAGACGGCCGCCGTGCTCGAGAACATTGGCGTCTCGGCGTACCTCGGCGCCGCACCGCTGCTCTCCGACAAGGCCATCCTCGGCACCGCCGGCTCCATCCTCACCATCGAGGCCCGCCACCAGTCCGCCATCCGCGTCTTCTCCAAGCAGGTCGCCGTGCCCCAGGCCTTTGACGCGCCCCTCGGGCCCCGCGCCGTCTTCTCCCTCGCCGCCCCCTTCATCAAGTCCTGCCCCGAGGGCTCCAACCTCAAGATTGAAGCCTTTCCCAAGCTCGCCATGGAGCCTGGCAGCGCCACCGAAGGGGCAGGCGGCAACGGAACCCGCAGCGCCGCCGGCGAGAGCGGAGGCAAGAGCGGCGTCCTCTCCGTCGGCTCCAACTTTCGCGTCCAGGCCGATGCCGCCACGAGCGCCGGCGCCACCAACTGCGCCTTCACGTCCGGCGGCGTCTTTCCCGGCGGCACCGCCTTTTCCAAGTTTTCCCAGACAGAAGGCTGCCAGGTGCCCCAGGGCGTTGCTGGCATCACCTACGTGACCCTCACCAAGGGCGCGCCGCTGACTGGAGCTATTTCTGACGACCTCATTGTCGCCGGGCCCATGGCCGTGGTCGTCTCGTAATCTAGTTGCTATCATTTTTTAAAAAACCCTTGTTTAATGTTTTTGTTACTCAGGCGTGGCTCAACCTTTTTCCATTTCTTTTCATGAGCATTGTACGCAGACTATATAGCCAGCTAGAGCTTTTCTTCTTATACATTGGTTTACAACAACCACCTTCTGATTATTGTAAAGAAAACATGGTGACGACAAACAACTGTATCGGGAAATGAGCTGCAGCAGGATAGCAACAAAAATGCCAACGTCAACTGCCGCCTTTCACAATCTCGAGATCGGAAAGACCTTGGCACCGGGAATCGCATATGGGATCGGGCACCCAGACATCCCCCACACACACACAAGATGCATTGGTTCTTTGGACCTGGGCGTGGCGTTCCGTGTTTGGCAAGGACCGGCACTGCACTGCTGAAACTGGGTTGAGGCATCATTATCCTGTAAACAAGCCTGCCAAACCGCTCACCACACACTCTCTGACACGCCCCCCCGTCCCAGCTCCACCAAACTTGCCTCACATTCGTCCCTTGTCAGTTGCCATCAAACCAATGCAGCCAATCGGCAATCACCACAGCCGTTTCTAGGGACAGCTTTAATTCAAATCTCATGACAAATTTCTGCCATTCGCATATTGACTCCCTGGTATATATGCTACTAGAACTACTTGCTGCAGAACTCAACAATCATCAGGTATGCAGACGGGGCCAGATCCATGCCCAAGTCTCAATTCTCCGCCCGACAACTGTAGCACACAGAGTACAAATGCATGCTTTTACCAACGCCAAATATGTCTGTCCTGCTCCATCTCATCCGTGTCGAATCGGCATTTCAACTCGATGGCGTATTGAGTAAAAACAGTTTCTTCCGTAGCACATGTCGTCATGTCATGCTTGGCCACAACTTGGCCATCTTCATCCCAGTCCCATATCCCTTTCAAAATGGTCTAGCGTCGAGATATGCCTGTGCCTTGGCCCACGCCGTCTTGTGGTCGGTAGCCAGCTCCTTGTTGTCCAAAGTCTGCAAGCCTTGGTTGACGCCATTGACAAAGTCAACAACAAAGCGCACGTCCTCGGTCAGAGCCTGGGCATAGGGCACGAAGGTCTTGGGAAACTCTTTAAGACGCTTCGCGCGTGCCTCCTTGCTATCGCTACCTTCGTCGTCCTCGAAAAAGGTGCGCACAGCAATGCCCAGGCCGATATCAGGCTCCTGCAGGAACGGAAGTCTGTTCATATTAGCACTGCGTTCAATAAACCAGGGCCGCAACAACTTACTTTTGGCTTATTTCGAGGTGATCGTCTCGTTCACGCTTGCACTGACCGTACATGAACATCGAGGCAACAATAGCCTCGATAAGGTCACGATCAGCTTCGCGAATAGCTGATGACAGAGAGCGGAACATGAGAAGGCTCTTGTTCAGGGGTCCAGTGTAGCCAAATACTTGGTGTCGCAGCTTGAGGAGTGTGGCGGCCTGGCTGATGAGAACCACCGCAGCCTTGTCTGCGTCGCTGCCCTTGCGCGGAAGACCAGGAGTTCCTTCTTGGTACTGTCCCTTGAGCATGCCAAACCTGACAAGCTCAAATGCCAAAAGCGCAGCCTCGTCAAGAGCAGGGGCATCCGGCCGAGTCTCGGCGGCCTCCTTCAGAGCTAGCAAGGTAGTGGCTAGGGCGTTGCCCCATTTTGTAAGCTGGTGTGAATCGTTGACATAGCCGCGGAGGTGAAGAAAGCGCCAAATAGCAACTGACACCACCATCTCGGTACTATCGATGCCGCGTATAGTCTTGTCACGGCTGATGGTCTTTGCAACAAAGTCGGTGTTGGCAAGAGCGAGGACCTCGAGATAAATAGGACCAGCAAAGTCGGCAGGAAGAAATTGACGCAGGTCCCGCTCCTTGACATCCCAGGTACCGACAATGGAAGAAGGAGCAGGCTGCAGAGCGCGGTGGTTGATCTTGTATGAGAACTTGGGGTCGAACCATACACGCATGGTAATGTCCTTGTGTCCGATGCCGCGATGGACTCTGGGAATGATAAGCCCAAGAGCCTGCTCTTTGATGGGTACAAGGTGAGAAGTCAGCAGTTTCTTATAGTCGTCCGAGGCAACTCCGTCCAAAGTTGGCTGCACAAGAATTTGACCGTGTGTTATACAGTTCAGAATTCTGGAGCCAATCAGACCAGTGTTTTGGTAGTGGAACAACTCGGCGGGGAGTTGCAAGCCCAGGTACTCGTGGTTGTCTTGAGTGAGGGTGTCGAACTCGTGGACTCGCACTTCGCCTTCTTCGTCAATGTGGATAAAGTGCTCAACGGCCATTCTAGCCTTGCGGTATTTGTCCAGCCAGTTGGGATCCTGAGCGGCCACAACCTCACTAAAAGATGCACATGCTGTAGCCACAGTCTTGTCCGAAGCGCGTAGAATGTTGATGGCATCCACGATAGTGGGCTGGGGGTACATGGATGGTTCCAGGAGCGGAGGAAAGGTGGGGAGAAACGAGTTTCCAGTCATGAGCTGAGCATCGATGAACATGGCCTCTCCGACTCCAAGAACTTTCAAAGCACGTTTTCTAGAGATGGCAGTGACGTTCTTGTTCTCAAAGTCAATGCTGCGGATAACGCAGTCTCTGATGGGATAAAGCAAGAGCTCTTGTGAGCCCATAATACCAGCGCATTGATCAGAGTCAGTTAATTCAAAGTGTGCGAGCTACAATATTGTCAGCGCAAGACTAAAGTATTCAGCATGCATCGCTTACCTGTGCGCTCGCATTGTAGGGGGCGACGAGAAAATGAAGCTTGCGGTCGTGGAGTATCTCTTGGAGGAGCGGGTAGAGGTTCTGGATACGAAACGCGCCTAAAGCTGGTTAGCCCGGATTGGAATTTGTTGTGACAGCGTTCGTACCGGGATTGGCGCCAAAAGTATTAACGGCCAGCTCTGCGGACGATTGCGAATATAGGCTCCATGCCTCGTCCGTCTTGGAGTTGGCTGCGCGCGCACGCTTCAGCGACACTTCATCCTGGCCCGTAATGGACTGGCCGTCGAAAACGAACAAGGGTGTGATGTTATGGTCCTTCCAATTTTCGAGATCTTGGCTGATGTGCTTCTTGATGCCGGTCAAGCCACCGAGGGCAGAGAGGAGAGGTTCGTGAGCGGCTGTGGTGTCGAGAAGGTGGCCGAGGTAGTAGGTGGCGTCGACGGCCAGAGAGCAGCCATCGAGTTCGGACAAGCTAAAGGAGCTGCACATTGTTAGATGTAGTCGATGCGTGGGACATAAGGGTTTCGTACCTCGACTCTCTATTAAACCAAGAATCTTCAAGTAGGACTGCAACTAGTCAGTTCTAGGCCACGAAACAATCACAAGTATAGAGCCGAAGTGTGGCCAGAATTCCGATGGGCAGGCTGAACCGCGCATCGCCGTCATCACCTCCTGAACCAGCACTTCCATCAAGCTCGCGCAGAGCCAGGGGGGGAATGCGATTTCGCTCGTGCTGGGAGTAATCTCGCATGTCAAGTCGAAGATTGCACATTCGCGCCGAATCGTCGTAGGAAAGCTCTATGCTCTGTAGACTTTTGAACAGAAATAGACCAATACTCACAAGGCATGTTGTACGGTTTGTCGCGATCAACAAAGAGTTATATCGTGGGCCGGTAACGGGTGGTTCGTGCTCTAATAAAAGGTTGACCAAAGCGACAAGTGGTAAAGATCAATCGAAAGGGAGCTGCAAGGAGCGTTATGTGGCAGTCTGTCAGGTAACAGTGGCGCCTTCTGAGACGTCGTAGACGATGGGGGAGGATGAAGGCGGGCTTATGTAGGCGGGAGGAGGGAGATGTGTGGAAGCCAGACAGTGTCGGTTCCCGCAAATGCGAACAAAACGGGCGACGGGCGACGACAAACAGAGGACAAAAACAAGTCGGCCAGAGATGCAACCCTAAATAAGTGGCTGCTGCGGCAGGTCAACACACTCTCTTGCCTCTTGCCGCAGAGAGAGGGGGCAGAAGGGGAGTTGGCGGGGGAAACGAGGGTTCACGTGGTTTTTGGAGTAGGAGGAGGAAATGGCAGGAAGGCCTGCCTTGATGACTTGTGAAGGCGCGCGCGTGGCGCCGCCCCGTAGTTAGTTAGTGCCTTTCTGGCGCGGCAAAACGACACTGTTATTATGTGCACTGTGCTGTTGGTGGCTGGAAGCTCCGCGATTTTGGACCCTGACATGGCCACAGTGGAGTTGGGGATTCGCACTGTGCTTACCGCTGTCCTGATTTGCAGTGATTCTTTGAACCATCTTACCGATGATATGGCTGATTGGTTCATGTTTGTAGTAAGAGAGGTAAACGAGAGTTTGATTGTATCCTAACAAGCGAGATTTTGCGGAAACGAACTGATAATTGGGCCAGGCACCGAGAAGGGCTATAGGGTGGCTTCCCAACATTGTAACATCAACAAAGGAAACACAATTTAGTAAAAGCCCTTATGAATCCACAAAGCTCTAATGTTTAGGCCTCCTGCCCCGAAAATACAACTCATTGTGCTTGTGCTCCCGGAACGGGTTCCTCTGCACCCCACCCTCCCCGGAAAGATACTGCTCAGCCATCATCAGCACAATCGGCTCCCTACCTCCATAGCCCATGCTGACATATTCCACCTCCTTTTCCCGCGCCACCTCCTCGTATACGAGAGAATCACCCATCTCCCCGCCCATTAGGCCATGCAACCGTATCCTCGGCGCATCCACTCGCCGATCCAACGAACGCGCAGCTTTGACCGCGTCGACAATGTCGGCCCAGAGGCCATCCCACAGGTAGATGCCCTCCAGGCGCGTCTTGGGACAGCTCACCATCATTTTTTCAATGCTGGCTGCCTGCATCGTCAAGCCCGACAGGCACATACGTCGGAGACGCTCTGGCGACCGCGCCGACAAAATTTGGCCAACACGGTACGCCGACGTGCCAGGGGCATTCACGCCAGTGCCGGAGAGCGGCCGCGGCACATCCACGTCCAGCTCGAGCAGGGCCTTGCTGCTCAGGACGGCGCGCAAGTAGCCATCCACAAATTCGGCCCAGTAGTCGTCCGTGTCAAAGTCCATGCGGATGGCGACCGACTCGAGCGTCCGGGAAGCGTCTGCGAGCCGCTCCATCAGCGACTCGTAGTCTGCTAGTTGGTATGTATGGCCGGGGGGCCGCTCCACAAAACGCGGGAATGTAGAGGGAATCATGCCGAGTCGTAGAGTCCGGAGACGTATCCCTGCGTCGCGGAGTGAAAGGGGCAGGATCGTCATGATTCGGGCAAAGTGGTAGTCGCGGTAATAGTCGGGCGCCGTCCAAGGTCCCTGGTGTGCGTATTCCACATAGCGACGCAAATCTCCAAGATTATTATTCTCGAGAATGTCTCGAAGGTTTATTGGCGCGCTCCGTCGCGAATCCACCTCCACCTCCTCCAGATGCGGGAGTCGTGTCAGACACGCTGTGATATCCTTCAGGAATGCATCCGTTTCCAGATACTCATGCTGCTCCTTCGTGCGTGCCTTGTATTCTTCATGGCCGAATTTCATGATCTCGCAGTAGCAGAGCGTGTCGGGATCAAGCGTCTCAGTTTCCTCCGTTGCATCAGGCTCTCCTGCGCCATCGTTCTCGTCGGCCGACGGACCAAGTCTAGCCCGCCTATAGTGCCAGAAGTGCACGTTCCACGCTTGGGTTATGTTGTGATAGTTTCTGGTCACGACATCAAGGTTGTAACGGTGCGGCTCCACCTCGCGTGTTTCGACCTGTCCCTTTCCGTTAATCATCCTCCGTAGACAGTCAAGTAGTTCCAACACCATCCGTCGCTGGAACTCTAGGATATTGTCGACCAGTTCTTGGCTGTTCAGACCAGCGTATATGATCACGCCTCGGATACACGATGCGAGGTGAGGCTGGCTCGATATTTCGCTTGCGCGCTCAACTGAGCTTTGTTCCACACAGATGGACAGGTACGTGAATAACAACGGCGACGCCGCGTCGTGGAATCGGCGACAGACGAGACGTAAATTTTGCAGAGCATTCCTGCTCTCTATCCATGGAGAACCGGGTTGCCTTTTCCAGGCATCGAGGGTCTGTAGGTTCGGGAAATGAGGCTCGGCAAACTGGCCGAAGACTTGGCATAGCAGCTCTGCAGGCAGGTCGCCTATCTGAATAGTAGTAGTAGATTCCATGGCGTAGCGGTGGCGGTAGAAGTGAAAGAAATAATGACAGTCTGGCCCTTCCCCTGGCTATGAGAAGCTAATGGGATGCCGAATCTAGCGAAGCATCCAGAACCTCGCTTGTTCGAACTATTGTTGTGATGATGTCTAGTCGGAATTGTTGGTGCTACCCCTCACCTCCAGCCAGCCAGCCATACAGAAAGCGGCAGTACTGGTAGTCTGGTCACTGTATGACAGCTCGATTGCTGCGCATCTGTCTGGCCGTTTTGGACGCTCTCTTTTTTTCATTATATTTTTTCGTTTCTAGTATATTTCTAGTATATATGAAAGCATCTCGACATCTTTTTTTCGCTTTATCGAGCCTAATCTTTTGGTGCCAGTTTTACCCGTAGCGTTATCTCCAACACCGGGACCCCGCCATTGCCGTCGAGCATCTTGTGATACAACTCTACACTAGGTCATCACTTCTAAACCATCAAATATCCCCATCCGCTACAAGATTCTCATCGGTCTTCTAATTACTCGTGTAGAGTAGACCGCTACCCGTCACAACATGGCCCAGTCTGGCATTCCCGTCATTGACATCAACGCGGCCGACGAAGCCACCATTGGCCAGCAGCTCGTCGACGCAGCCGAGGAACATGGCTTCATATACATCAGAAACCTCGGCCAAGACATTTCCGCGGCGCAAGTCGACGAAGCGTTTGCATTGGTGTGTATATGCCGCCCCCGCACACAACGGCCTTCCTCCCCTGCTGACGACTCTCTTGTACAAGTCCAGAAAGCTGTTTGATGCTCCATTAGAAGAGAAAGCCGCATGCGCTATTCAGACTAATAACCGTGGTTGGGGTGGGCTTCATTCAGAAACTTTAGACCCGAGAACACAAAAGGTGGGCTGAACTAGATCCGGCTTGTAGAAGATAAGCTGACCGGTTAATGTAGGTGGGAGACTTTAAAGAGTACGCCTATCTGTTGGACAAATTCGAAGATAATACTGACGCCTCCAAGAGTATTCAATATTGGTCTATTCAAAGACGGCCAGCCTCAGCAGCCACTCCCACCCACCATCATCCCCGACCAAGCCCGCCTCGAAGCTTTTCGTGATGTCTGCACCGCCCTCTGCTCGAAGCTTCTTCGCCTCATAGGCAACGGCCTCGGCGTACGTCCCTCTGCCCCCCTCCCTCACTCTCTATCGACTAAATCTCCCCCCTCTTAGGTCGGCGACTTCTTCGCTCAAGCCCACGAGATCAAACCCGGCGACGAGTGCGACACCATCCTGCGCCTCCTCCGGTACCCGCCCCCCTCCCTCACCACGCACACCCCCTCCGACGTGCGCGCCGGCGCCCACTCCGACTACGGCTCCATCACGCTGCTCTTTCGCCTCCGAGGGCAGGCTGGTTTGGAAGTGCAGCAATCGCCCGACGGCGACTCCTGGGCGCCCGTCCCCGTGCACCCGCCCGGCACCGCGCGCGACCCCAGCCCGCCCATCCTCGTCAACGTCGGCGACCTGCTCTCGTACTGGACCGGTGGCCTGCTGCGGAGCACGGTGCACCGCGTGGCGTTTGGCGGCGACGAGGTGGACGGCGAGAGCGCGGCGGACCCGCGCTACTCCATTGCCTTTTTCTCGAGTCCGTCACCGAGCACGGTGCTGGGAGTCGTGCCAAGCGAGCGCGTCCGCAACTTCGTGCCTCGCAGCAGCAACAGCAGCAGCAGTGATAGTGCAAATCCGTACGCAGAGCGTAGAGTGATGCGCGCGGATGAGCATCTATGGATGAGACTGGCGGAGACGTACGGTGATTTGTACAAAAAGGAAGAAAAGGCATAGTATGCCAAGATTGACAAATCTATTATCATGAAAGCCCTGGGGTATATCCTATCTATTATGAAAAAAAAGTAACCGGCATCCAAATGCTATGCAATGCGAATACCTGAATCGCACCTTTACACCAGTCCACAATACCACCGTCTCCACGGATCTTGGAACCCATCATAGTACTTCTTGGTCACACTCGCGTCCTCCGCAATCGACAAGTGCCGCAGCACGCGCCAGTCGTACACGGTAATCCAGTCGCGCTCCTCCCTCCGCGCCTGCCTCCGCGCGGCATTGAGCCTCGCCACGAGCGCCTTGGTCTCGGTGGCCTGCTGGACGCTGTCGACGAGCAGCACGACGCAGCCCTTCTGTTGTTGAGGCACCGCCGCCCCCGCCGTTCGCAGTCCAGCGCTGCGCCACCATGTCTCGACGCAGGGGAGGACGCGCTGCACATCCACGCCGTGGTCGCCAAAAAGGGTCGTCAGCTCCGCGACGCGGAGAAGCGCCGGGCTCGCAAGGAGCATCGTCTTGCCGACGAAGCCGCACTTTTCGCCTACGTGTTTGCATGACCAATGTTGGTCCTTGCTGTCCTTTTCTTCCTGAGAAGAGGCCGGCGGATGGCTGACTGCTTGGGGGTGTCGTTCTTGGCTGGGCGGCTGCTGCAAGTCGTCGTCCTCTGCATCGGAGCTCGGTATCTCAATGACGTCTCGTTGCACCGTCTGGGCCCGCGGCGGCCCGCGTTTCACTGTGGCCTGGCTGTCCTGGCTGTTGGTCGACTGGGAGTCGCTGTAGGAGACGTTCACGTCTATGTTCCCCAGTGGTTTTCGCGGCGACGTGTTCCGAAAGCTCGCCGTGCGTGGACGCTTTAAGCTCTGCTCCGGCGATGCCATCTCCGGCACGCGCTTCGCAGGTGCCTGCATTGCCGCCTTTGTAGGAGAGACTGCCTCGGCAGTAGATGTCGTGGGTATCGAGATAATCGAGACGGAGGCATCACGCCATCCCTTCACTTCATTCACCACCGGCGCCGAAGCCAGTGACTGGCTCCGACGGCTTGGTTCCGTCGCTCCTTTGGACGACTGACTATCCGACGCCGTGCTCGGGGTCATATTGGCCGGCGACGGCGTCGGCATCGTCGTCGCCGTCGCCTGGCTTACTGCGTCCACCGCCACACCGCGCGGGTCCGCGCCCTCTAGCCGGGCGATCCAGTGCAGGTTCTCCTGGCTGTCCTCAAGCACTGGCTTCTCCACCGCCTCCTTTGCCAAGGCCTGCAGCTCGTCCAACGTCAGGACGTCCGCATAGTCCCTATCGGCGTGGATCTTGGTCACGGCGGGAAAGCGCGGTGTCCAGAGGCCGCCCGTGTTGCCGGGCTTGTCGAAGCTGAAGCAGCGGAGGTCGACGACCATGGGGTTGGTAAAGGCAACGGTAAGGTTCGCGGGGCACTGGATGCCGGGCGGCACGGTGAGCGTGGTGGCGACGTTGGCGGCGCGCGACACGGCCGACAGCTCGCCGAGGGCGAGAAATGACTGCAGCAGAGCTTCGGAGAGCTCGACGGCACACACAACGGTAAAGTCGGGCTTATGGCCCCATCTCTTGACTTGCTCCTTGTTATTCAGGCAGCCGACGTAAAAGTGCGTCCACTTGAGGTTTGGTATCCGGTACGTCTTGGCCTTGGCGGCGTGGAAGCCAGCGCCGACCAGGGCAAAGTCGCCCACGTCACCAAACGCCCCAATGTATTCCTTCTTCATCTTGATGCAGCGACACGGCGCGGTCCGTCCGTTGGGACCGATGACAATGTACGGCTCGTCGGGTTTCAGGACGAGCCCCTCGCCTCGCTCCACGACGACCTTGGCGAAGGCTTTCCGCAGAGTCGATGCCGCGAGGGAGTGGCCAAAGTCAATTGTTTCGCGCGGAACCAGCTCGGCGACGCCGCGCTCGTAGTGGATGACTTTCTCAAGGAGTTTGAGTCGCTCCGAGTGCTGGACATCCATGAGACCCTGGTCGTCCAAGAGGAAGATGTCGTAGTAGACGATCATCAGGTGCTCGTATGGTTTTGGCCTAGACTATCAGCAATGACTCGGTGGCAGGCAGAAGCAGTACTGACTGTGAATCTTGTTCCGTATTAAAATATCGCCCGCGTCGGGTGACATGACCGCGGATCTTATGAAATGGCATAATCGTTTTTTCCTAGGGCTATTAGTTCATGTACTGGTCAGGTCATTTCCAAAACTTACCAAATCATTATAGACAAGCAGCTCGCCCTCCAGTATACACGCCTTTTTAAAGACACACTCAGTCGTATTAAGCCTGAGCGCCCTCTCAATCGCCCTACAAAAGTCAGCAAGCTTGACTTCGTCAGAACAACAACCATCACTCACGGTATAACCTTTTCTCGATCCTCCGTGCTGTCCTTGCCGCTTTTGGAGAAAATTTGCACCCTCTTCTTCGGCTTGCTCATGTCCACGTGAATCTGGCAATACTCGCCGTCCAGCTTCGTCTCCACACTCATCCGCCCACTGCCCATGCTCATGCAATGTTTGATGCTCCGGCCCTTGTGCCACTGCTGCCTCCCAACCTTGACGCCCAACTTCGGCTTTACCGCGGCCAGTACCCTCCGCGCGCACAGCGGCCTAGAATCTCTCGGCGCCGCTATAGGCAGCAGCGCCCCGCGAGCAATAGGAATCGCACCCAGAGCCTCGGTAAAGTCGTCTCGGATCTGTAGGAGGCACGGCAGCACGGGGTCACAGGCGCGGTATAGCAAGTGGGCGTCAAAGAATAGCGGTTGGTAGTCCTTAAGGACAAGCCGGGTGAACCACTTGGCATCGCGCGCGGACAACCGTCTGTACATGGCGTCTAGGTCGCCGCGGCTCTGATGCGACATGCAGGCACTGGACTGGCGGATCGCCGGGGCGCTCCATCGGATGCGCGCGGCCAGGCTGTGCAGCAGCTCGTCGACTTGTTCCACCGTGACTTGATGACCGCTTTCCTGTATCGGATTCGGCTATCTCCCATGTTAGTCTTTTGGTTGCATGACTCCCCTGCGTCTCCGAAGAAAATGGAAAAGAACAAGACAGAAAACCCACAGTCACGGAAAGGATGCGCTCCACGCAATCAGCGAAGTCAACGCCGGCGCCGGGCCGTTTGTACGTCGCCAGCTCCAGCATCCGCGAGGCACCGAGCATCAGCGCCCGGCCGACGATCCTCTCCAGCGTCGGCACCTGCAAGCAGTACACGCGATCGGTGCGCTTCTCCGGCAGCAGCGTCGACAGCAGCGCCGCGAGGTCCGCGTCGTGCGCGTCGACGGCCGCGCGGTGCCGGCGGAACCACGCGAGCACCGCGGCAGCGTTGCTCTTGCGCTGCTGGCACAGCTGGCTCGACTGCTCAAGCAGGTCGCAGACGGCCGAGAAGGGGAGCGGCATTGTTGGGTTTAGAAGAAAAGTTGGTTGGCCCGGGGGGTTGGGCTCGGCGTGGCTCTGCTTTATCCGACCATGGCCAGCAGCGCGTTAGGCAGCGACTACTGCGCGGCAGAGGAGGCCTCGGTGTTCTTTGTAGCAGGAGTCGAATTTTTATCTATCCGAGAAGTGACTTGCGCTGCCAAGGTTAGGCAACTCCGTGGCGCTGGTATGCCTGATCGTAAAGTGCCCGTCCCACCTCAAGCCGCGAACTAGTGCAACCAACGCGAAGCAGGCCGTTTGTCACGGTCACATGCGACTTATCCACGTGAACAAAGACAAAGACCGACATGAATGTTGACATGAGTTGGTTTATTAAAATGTTGGTTTACTGACATTGAGCTGGATTTTTGACATGAGTTAATTTACTGACATGAGTTGGCTTTTTGACATGAGTTGATTTGCTGACACGAGTTGGCTTTTTGACATGAGTTGATTTGCTGACACGAGTTGGCTTATTGACATGAGTTGGTTTATTAAAATGTCGGTACTGACATTGAGCTGGATTTTTTTGACATGAGTTGATTTGCTGACACGAGTTGGCTTATTGACACGAGTTGGTTTATTGACACGATTCAAAACTGGAAATATGCTGCGTGGCTCCAAAACTCTTGCAGAACCAACACATTGTGTGACTTGCAGCGGAACAAAACTTAACAAGATCCAGGTCTGCCGTACAAGTCATGTAACTACGAGTTTAGACGAAGCAGGAACAGAGCATTATGAAACAGTCTCAATTGACAATTATATATTCATTTTTGGGATGCCTTAGCATCGCTGCGGCCATATTTTCATATGCACTGCTCTCCTGTATGAGCATTGACAGAGTGCAATATTTATAAAACACAAGTGCAACATGCCTTTTGTTGGACATGTTAATTCAAACTACAATGATTTTGATCCACCTCGCTCTTGCATCGTTTTTTTAATTAGAGCCTCGTATCATCTTAGAGGGCATATGGGTTGAGGGATCTGATGGTCAGGCACCTGCAACGAGTTAGCTTGCTTCTTTAACACGTAGCTATTACAACTTACGGTGGGCTCTTGGTGAGATCCGTCTTCAGGATGATAGGCACCCTTGTCATCTCCGTAACATCCTGAATGTACTCGCCATCTTCCTCGCGAAGCTTGAACAGCTTCAGGTATTTCTCCTTGTTGGTAAGACGCGACTCAACAGCATCACCCGCGGGCATTCTCGAGTCAGAGCGAGCGCGCTGAAGAGCGGCAGCGTCCGAAGCGGAGCGATCGGGCGAGCTAGGAACGCTCTGCGTAGGGCGGTCGCCAAGGGAAGCACCAGCCATAGCCTCAGTCACATCCGAAACGTTGTCCTCCTCGTCATCATCAAACAGAGCATCAACATCGTCGGTAGACATAGTGCCGGTCTCAGTCTGCTTGCGAGTAGCCTCCTCGCGCTCCTTTCTAGCTTTGGCAGCCACTTCGGCCTGTTTGGCAGCGGCCAAGGCGTTGGTCATTCTCTGGGAAGCGGCAGCCTTGGGGCGCTCGTCCTCAGGGACGTAAGCAGAGCTGGGAACACCCTTCTCCCAATACAGCTCAAGGACGCGCTTCTCCTTTCGGAACTCGGCCTTCTTCAGCGGCAACTGATCGCAGTGCACGCGTTTCTCAAAGCCCCACTCAGGAATAAGAACATCAAAAGCAGACTCATACACACAGACAACGATACCCTCAGTGATAAGATCGCCGTTGGTGTCTTGGCGCAGCTTATCCATCTTGCGGCAAGCCTCGATGTGCACGCTTTGCTCCTGGGCGTTCTGGGCAGACTCCTTCTTGGTGTTGGCCGACTCGACAGTCTTGACAAGACTCTCCATCTCCTCCGAGTACTCAATCTTGCCCTCGGAGAGGACAGCCTCAAGCTGGCGGTGAACCACAATATCCGCGTAGCGACGAGTTGGGCTTGTGAAATGGGTGTAGAGAGGAAGGTTCAGGCAGTAGTGCTGCCACAGCTGCTTGGGAGTCTTGCCCGCAATAAAGTATTTCGCGCGCTGCATAGACTTCACAACCAGGGTTTCCATACCCTGACGGAGTTCAGAGTCTTCCACCTTGAACAGACTGTTCTGCAGAGCACCGCTTCCGGATGCATCAACATCGTAGCCCAGCGCGTTCATACGCTCCCCGAAGGTCTGAAGTCGACGAGGGTTGGGAGGAGACTGGCGGCGAAGGAGAGCCTTTTCTGGTAGGCCTTCAGCAAGGCGTTGCGCAATGTACGCATTAGCCTTGTGCATGAGTTCCTCCACAAGCTCCAGAGACTCGGTGGAATCGAAAATGTTGAACTGAACAGGCTGGTTCTCGTCATCGAGCTGCTGGAACAGGCGAAGGGGCGCAATGGGCTCGCCACCGGCACCTAGCCTAGCCTCGCGGAATTTTTGAGCAACAGCCTGGAGAATCTTGACAGTCTTGAGGGGAACGGCCTGGTTCTTGTACGCAGAATCGTCGGCGGCGGCAGCATCAATGTCCGCAAGCGACAACTTGCCGACACTGTTGACGATACTTCTTCCAACCCAAGCATCACCCTCAGCAACAGATCCGTTGTGGGGGTTGACGCTGAAGACAACGCTAACAGCCAGACGCTCCTCTGCGGGGGTAATGGAGCAGACCTCGCCAGCCAGCTTGGGAGGGAGAAGAGCGCAGAAGCGGTCCACCAGCTGCACAGAGGTGCCACGCTTCTTGGCCTCACGGTCCACAAGGGAGTTGGGCTTGACGAAGTGGGCAATATCGGGAACGTGAATACCAATCTCAATCTTGCCATCGGGGCGCGTCTTGACGTGGACGGCATTACCTAATTCGGCACCGCCGTTGAAGTCAATAGTGAAAGCTCGCTCCTCGCGGAAATCGCGGCGAGCAGAGATAGAAGCCTCGTCTTCCTTGGCAAGATCCCAATCCTGAAGGCCTACGCTGCGCAGAACAGCATCGGAGAATTCATCGGAAGAAAAGTTGTTGTCGCGGAGAAGCGCGTCCGTCTCGACCTTGAGGTCTCCCATAGGTCCAAGCTGTTCCACGAGCGTGCCAAAGGGATGGAGCGAAGTGATGGGCCAACGCTTGATACAAGCGACAAAGATGCGGTCGGCATAATCCTGGTGCTTCTCGACAAAGTCGCGAGGCGCCTGCTCGGTGGGGATAGCGATGAGGGGAACGCGCTTGTCGGTGGGTTTAAACCAGACGATCTTGGGCTTTTCCTGATGCCGAGAATCGTTACGGCCACTGTTGCCATCACGAGCAGCGCGCTCGGCCTCCTGCTTCTCCTTGGTAGCTTGGCTGCTAGGACGAAGAAGGCCGAGAGTACCTGAAAACATCTGACCAGCGACACGCTCAATGACAGCGACGACATGACCAGCATAGAGGGGCTTCTGCTCATCGTTTATCTCTTCTTCCTCAACAAGGAGCAGACTCTGGCCCTCAACTTCAACGTCGTCGTTCTTCTTCTGTGTAGGGCGCTGACGGAGACTGCCACGACGACGAAGACCACCTTCGACGTTGCCAGAATCGTCCGTACGGTTGGAACTCTGGTTGCCCTGGTTGGTCGAGTTGGAGCGCGTATCAGTAATGTCCTTGCGCTTCTTTTTCTCTTCCTTCTCACGCTTCTGGGACCACACTTCGTCGACATCAAGGAGCTCAATGGCAACAAGATCGCCCTCGAGAGCACGGTTTCTGTCCTTGGAACCGCAGATGAAGATATCAGCGTCGAGAAGGCCGTCCTGGGTTGTAACATAGGCATCGCTACGATTTTTCTTGTTGACACGGAGGATACCAGATACGAGCTGTCCATCTCCGAGGAGTGCGGGTAGCGAAGCCTGGGGAAGGTAGGGTGTGAACAAAGTCTTGCGCTGCTGCTGCTGCTGCTGCTGTTGCTGGCCGCCCTGCTGGGCCTGTAGGCCTTGAAATTGCTGGCCACTCATTTGCGCAGCCTGGAGAGCCTGAAGCTGGCTAAGCTGGACAGAGTTCAGGCTCTGACCGTACATCTGTGGCATCATCATCTGTCCAGGAAGCTGGAGGTTTCCAGGGTTGTACTGGAAGGCGCCAATGGAAGACACAGACTGGTTCATAGAGGCGCGAGACCTGTGTCCGGGCTGGAAGCTCTGAGATTGGGGAGCGCCACCCTGCTCCTGGTTCTGACTTTGAGTGCGCCAGTTGCCCTCGAAACTGCGCGAACCAGTTCGATTGTGGCCACCGCCACCGCCACGGCGCTGGAAGTCGGCATCACCACCGATGCTGAAATTACCTCGGGTAGCAGCGCCGCGTCCGTTAACTGCCATGCTCTGGCTACGACCATGTCCGCCGCGGCCGCCACGAAGGGCAGATGATGGGGCAAGACCCTCGACACTGGGTTGAGATGCGGTTTTATTCTCCTCTTCGGCCTTATCACCGGTGGCGTTGGGGCCGGGGAACTGGAAGCCGGTCGTTGTGCGCTTCTGCTGGGCAATCTCGGCGGCCTTTTTGGCGTCGGCAAGAGCCAGGGAGTGGCGTCTCTGGTGACCACCACCACCACCTCTTCCACCTCGGGCGCTGCTATTCTCTCGGTTGTGGCCGCTCGGGGCTTCGAAGTTGCCAAAGGCAGCGCCGGAAGCTCCAGCCGATGGAGCAGGAGGCGGGCCCATTCCCATGTTGGGAAGGGCGGACTGATTCCGACGATGGGAGAGCGGCTGGGCAGGAGGAGCCATTGAAACGTTTTGGGGTATTTGGTTGGGGAACTGGAAAGCATTTTGCGACATGTTGCCCATGGATTGCAAAGGATTGAACGCTCCATTATGGGCCATGGGCTGGCCGGGTGGAATCATTCCCATGTTGACATACTGCTGATGAGTAGCCTGGATCTGCTGCTGTTGCTGCTGTAGAAGCTCGATCTGCTGCTGGATAGCCAATTGCTCCACTGAGAGGAAGGGATTACATGTTAGCAGATAGGCAAGGTGCGGGATCAAGCTTTCGGAGCGAGAGCGGGATTCATGGTGGCGTAGCGGTATATTGGCAAGAAGTTTGCGACTTACTTCCAGGGTTGGCAAACATGCTCATCAAGGGTGTCAGCTCAGATGGGCTGCGACGATGAGCAATGTGCAGGCGACGTCCGGCGGGCCCATGAACACCACCAGCAGGCTGGGGAGCAGTGGGCTGGCCCTGCTGTTGGCCCTGCTGCTGGGACTGTTGTTCCATATTGAACAGACGGTCGGGTACAAGCACCAGTATGCACGTCGGGTGCGATGAATGAAGGTGTCGGTTGTATCAGGACAGATGTCGTGGAATGGCGTGAAGCCGTCAGTTGGGCTGAGAAGCGGTAGTACCGGCGGGCGGACGAAAGAAAAGGTTGCGCTGGAGAAAAAAAGGAAGGAAGGTATATGGGATTGATTCAGTGGAGCTCGAGAAGAGCCAAGGAGTGTGGTAAAGGAAGGCGTTGATGAAGATGGATAGAATGGCGAGGAGGGGGATGGGTAGACGGACGGAAGCCGGACGGAAGTGGGAGGATGAGGAGGAGGATAAAGGGAGGGATGGATGATGCAAGTCTAAGCTGTGTGGGCGGTGTTGGGGGCACTAAGTAAATAATACCTACTAAGCTGGAGGTAAGGGTAAGGCGTTAGGGGCGTTAGGTGGTGGAGGGTTTGGCTTTGGGGGAGCAGAAGAGCCCTGGAGAGGAGCTTGGACCTCAAACGGGGCAGAAATATGGGTGAAGGACGGCAGGTGAGCGGCGCGTGGTTCAGGGAACTGTAGCGATGAAGAGCCCTATAAATTGCCCTACATACCATGCGCTGAAGGCAGTTGGTCAGCTTTGTTCTGCCAGTGGCCTGTAATAATAGTAAATGACCCCCAAGGCCCGTCAATGCCAACGTTTTGTCTGATGTGAACCACACTGACACAAGCCTTGAGCCGCCACTCTATAAACTCTCCAGTGTATCCGGAGCGTACTACCTATGTACCAACAGGCGCTGGCCCGCCGGCTTAAACAACTTCACCCACACATCAGACCGATGGGCCTCGAGACTTTATCAAGATGCTCATTCATGAGTTACTCTTGATCAGCTTCGGCCGCCTTTAATCTGCTGCAGTGCAATGCTCCCCTCGCTGCTCCGGCATGATGATCACCCGCGCTGTGCATATCCCGGCTGCTCCACGTCGCCTGTAATTGGTGCATCCAGGGTCTCGCCGCATAAAGTCAACCTGAATCCAGTGGCCAATTTGTTCTCACGTTTGCCCGCAGCTGCCTGTGCCGTTTGGATGCGGGGAGAGCTCCTAACAAGAAACAAGAGTGTACTGGGAGGCGTGTGCACCATCCGAGGTTTTTCATCCAACTCCAATGACAACTTCTGCCTGTCAATTATTTAATTTACGAGACCAGGATCACTCGGACGCCAAAACAGATGATGCCCCAGACGGCCTGTTTTGGCGCCCGCTGTGGTTCCAACGTCAACCACAGGTGGAGTCGACATCCGGACTTGTCAACCCATCGTGCGTCGCCGCCTGAGCAAGTCTGAGCTGGGATACTAGTCGTTGCGAATAGAGTTTCTCATCGAATGTACTGATAGAACAGCATGCATCCGAACTGCCGGTTGACGTAACGCACAACGTACTGCCGCGATACGCCGCCGAACTATGCTCCGGGCAGCTTCAACGTCCAGCCGAACCGAACCACCTCGTCATTTATTTCCCACTAGTATTACCAGGCTCTCCAGATTTCGCCTAGGACCTGACAAGCCATTCATATTCGGTTTGCGCACGGCTAACTTTTAGGAACCACCAGCTCCTTGGCAGTCGTCAGGGGCTGCACGAACTAGCATCCTCCAACAGGGTCTCGATACGACACAACGCAGACAAGAGCCTCCACCTAGTCGTGTGCGTAGCTTGTCGTCCAATTTCCCGTTGTTGCGAATATCTTGTCAGACGAAAGCTGGAACTTGAAAGCGATGAACAACGGGCCGATACTTGATTCTGTTCCCAGCTCCGTGTCATATGTAATGGCAGGACATCCAAGCATCGTTGCCATTTAAGATCTCGGCGAAATGCGCAAGTACGGATCATGCATCTCATTGCTATTTATACAATGTTGCAGTACGCAACTATTGCAGGCACCACAAGCTCAAGAGGCCACGCAACGATTCGATACAATCCCAAACGATCCCCAGTGATGCACACCACAGTTATGAACTTGGGATTCACGGACAATCTTGGTTTGCAACACATCGCGTTTTAGTTTCGTTCCACAGGCAATCGGAGAACAAGCTCATCCGACAAGCCTCTCCCGCCATTCCCGGCTACAGCGCATGGTAGAGATCGCCAAGCAGCTATGCACCGACGAAGAACATTTTGGAGGCCAGCCGAAAAGTGCTTGGTGCGTAAGAAACAGGCTCCGTCTCTCCGAAACCCCCACTTGCAAGCGAGGGGCGTTTGAGTTGGTGGTTATCGACAAGTTTCATCCAGCGCCCCAAACTGTTACTTGAGGCTAGTATCCGTACTTCCAGTTAGTTATCGATACTAGTCCGCAAGTTGGCCGGGACTTTGTTTTAGCGGGGCCGATATTCTCCCAATCAAACACCATCTACAACACCTGCAGCAACTTCATGAGAGACGCGACCAGATTTATCTTTATTTACCTCCTACCATGTCGCGCTCCTCTCCCGCGCGGAGAAGTCAGCAGCACATACTATCGAGCCCCGAGAGAAACTTTCGTACGAGTTTCCTCTTCGACTCGCGAAACAATGAATTGAGCCATCTCGATGCGTTGGCCGCCGCCCAGGTCGAGCACGACCGCGTCCGCGAAGCCGCTATGCGCGTCTACGAAATGCACGAGCTCAAGGAGGAAAGTGAGCGCATCCGCCACCAGCAGCAGCGCGAGCAGGACCGGCTCAAAGCTGAAGCAGACCTTGCAGCTAAAGAACGGAAGCTGCAGGAGCTGCGAGCCAAGTCGATCCCGAAGCCCGCGCATTCACCCGAGCCGAAGCAAGAGCCCCTCAAGGCGGCCCCCGGCCTACCTGTGAAGCCGGCAGAGTCGCGGCCTCAGCCGCTGCAGAAGCCTATCGAGGGGCACGCAGCCGTCAAGCAAGAGCCGCAATCCGCGCCACAACCACAGACGAACGGCCTCGGCTTCAACACAGCCAAGCCTGCTCAGCCACCCCCTCAACCCCAACTAGTGAAACCTGTGAGCAATTTTGCATCTCCTGCTCCAATGGACACCCAGCCGAAGGCCCAGCCTGTGGCCTCACAGCACACGCAAAAAGCACCCCAACCACCCAAGGTGGCACAGTCAGTAGAACGATATGTGCAGATTCACCAAGAGCTCAAAAAGCTCCGCGCATCTCTGCAAGCAGAAGCCAAACTACCAGGCTCCCCTCTGAAAGGAGCCATGGGTACATACCGTCGTGAAATACGCGTCTGCATTGGCCAGCTGACATCGGGGCGCAATACCAATAACGGGCCTGTATGTTTGTCCTCGATTCCGGTGCGGTTCCGAATCATCTAACACGTTGGCAGACCCAGAAAATTACCACAGCCTTGCGCGAAGCCCTCCAACAAAAAGTACCCAGCCCACCCGTCGAGGTGAGCAAGTATGTGGTCGCCGCAAGACAGCCGGGCGAGGGCGCTGACGACGGCACGCTCCCTGCCCTGTTCATCTACCTGATCAACATTTGCGCCAAGGGCATCATCAACCAGTTCATCAACGAGTGCGGCGCCAACCCCAAAGCCGCGGACCCCATCGGCGTCTTCACCGCGCACATTTTCTCCACGCCCGAGTTCCAGTGGCGCGGGGCCTCGCTGATTGACATTCTCATAGCCAAGTTCCGCATCACCTGCCCGGTGCTGTTTGGTCTCGCGGGCAACGACAAGACGGAGCGCGGCCGCCTGGCGCTCGGTTGGCGCAAGGACGGCTCGGCTTGGATCACGGAGCAGAGCCACAATGACCGCATGGCCGGCCTGGCGGCTGGCTACGCGGCCGTGTCCCTGCGCGACTTTAGCCGCAGCAGCAAGACGAATCCATATCCCCCGACGAACTACTGGACCGCGCTGGCCAGCATCGTCAACTGCCCCGCGGGCCAGACATCCAACACGCAGTACGTCGTCGTGCGGTACCTGATTGACGGCCACGAGCAGCGGTTCCTCAACTTTTACGGCAACGCGGCCGTCGCGGCGCTCCGGCTGGCCTTGGTCGAGTTTCCGAAAAAGGCACCAAGCAACGCACCGGCCGCCGGGTCCCTGCAGGCTCTCGCCGAAGTACTCAAGTCGACAACCGGCTTGGTGCTGGCGTGACGGGCATGCGGACAGGGAACAGGTGGCCATGGTGGGAAGGGTACGAGAGGTGGCTGGCAGGTGTATAAACAAGCATGCCTGCGGGCTGTTGAAAGCATATTTCGGCGTTGGTTTTATTACATTTTCGAATATTCGGCGTCATATATGATTGCCAGACGGCGTTTTATCCCTTTGGACATATAGATTCTGGTCCTTGTACATAGCCTTGCTTGTTGGTCACAAGAAGTAAACAATGGAATATGCTGTAATTTGTACAATGCTGAGCGTGACGAAAGCTAGCTCATGTCAGAGTGTGCAATTCCAATCCATTGAACAGCATTCAAGACGGACGGCGGTGACGTGATGCTGTTGGCCGCCTATCAAATCCCATCCTGACTGGTGAGATACCGCATCCCAGTTGTCTACCCAGAGCAACTGCTCACTGCTGAGCTGCATCCGTGGACATTGTTCAACTCCGCGGTCCTATCGAGTTGCCCTCGTGACGAAGTACCGCTCTAAGAATACTCCGTGAGCTCTAGCAGTCGTTTCTTCCACTTGATTATATGAGCAGCGCGTTGTACTCCGTACAGTATTTCCGAGCAAAGGTAATAATGTTCATGGTCTATACTCTACAAATGCCGTGCCTCTAGAGGCGCTACAATACAGCAATGGCGACAACACAAACAGTGAGGCTACATGTCAAACTCCCAAAAAAAGCAACCCAATCCAAAACAATAAAGCAGCACGACTCCTGGGGGACCCCCAAGTTGTCATCATAGAACCAGTAGCAGCACCAGCAGCAGAATGAGCACGAAAATCAGCACCCCGATGCAGCAGCCGCTGTAGCGGTCCTCGTTCCGCCGAATGACCGTCTGCAGCTTGCTCATGCCGTTCTGCAGGCTCCCGCCGACACGGTCGGCCACGGTGTCCACGACGTCGAGCATCTCGCGCTGCTCCTCGAGCTCCCGGCCCATGTCGTCGGCCTGCCGCCGCAGGTTGCCCACGGTATGGAAGACGCCGTCGAGGTGCTGGTCCTGGTCGTGCATCATCTGCACCTGCTGCTGCTGCTCAAACTCGGCGTAGTTGTCCTCCTCGCCAATCGCAAACGCGCTCGGGTCCGGCAAGCCGCCTTCACCGCCACCACCGGTACTCTGTGTCTTTTGCAGCTCCTCCCGCATGTCCTCAATCTCGCCGCCGACCTGCTGCACCAGGCGCTGGCGCCGCGTCACCTCGCCGCCGGACAGGCCGTACGCGGCCGGGTCCGACTCGACGGCCTGCACCGAGGCGGCCAGGTCGGCTAGGTCCTCGCCGAGGGCGGACAGCGCGGTCTCGAGGTCGGCGCGCGCCGACGACAGCTCGGGCGAGGTGGCGGCGCTGGCGAGCGAGCGGATGCGCAGGTAGGAGGCGAATAGCGGGCGGGCCGAGGAGAGTTGTGTAAGGACGTCTCTGCGGGAATGGCGCGGATTAGTTGGGGTTTGGATTGATGGGAGGGGAGGGGGGCGAGAGAGCGTACTGCTGGACCTGGAGGAACGGGTCCTCCTCGTTCGTGGAGGACATCATCCTGTCGGTGGTTATGTCGGGTTACGCATGGGATAGGATGGAAGTGTTTTGACGGAGCGCGTTTGCGGGCGACCGGCGTGAGGCGTGTGAAGATGGAAATGCTGGCGCCTGGAGGATGTGCTGTCGCAAGCTGGCCGGAGCTGCGAATGACGTTGCGTCTGGACCCCAATCAGAACCGCGCTAACTACTAAGGTACCTAGGTAGGTAGGTAGTTAGGCAGTAAGTGGAAATGGTACATACCGGCAACCGTGGTCGCTCTCCCGATATTTAAGATGACATGTGAGAGAAGGAATTTTACTTTTAAATGTGTTGCTCTTATTATACTCAGATTAGTCTCTGAATGCCATTATATATTTCTTTCATGTCTGAAGTCGGGCGCATTGATGAGGTAGTTGCATTAACCCCACACTCGTAACTAAAAAAATCTTGACAACCTCAGCTTCAAACTAACATTTCAAGATCTCACAGCAGAATTTTAGGAAGCCAGGCAGTCTCACTCGATGGATGCGAAAGTGGACTGATTTCACACATCACCACCAAAATCCGGCGCATAGTCCACCAAGACGACCACAAACGGCCAACATTCTTCGCTTCAGGGTAGGATGCCGCCCTCGAAGCCGCTGCCCTGCAGCGATGAGTTTGCGACGCCCGAGGCCTACGTCGCGGAGCTGCTCGCCTTCACCTCGACGAGCGACACGTGGCAGATTCTGTGCGGCGCCGTGCACGTCGTCGACTTCTTCATCACCGAGCCGGGTCTCTTTTACGCGACGCTGCCGGCCGAGTGGCACGCCTTCCTGCTCTCGCAAGACGTGATGGCGCTGCTCGACTTCTTCGTCCGCGACGACCCCGACACGGCCACCTTTGCCGACGGGCAGACGCCGCCGGCAAGCCTCGTCGCCTACATCAAGACGATTCGGCGGCTGGCGCTGCGGCGCGAGGTCACGCCGGCGGCGGCCGCGGGGGACGAGGCACTGCCGCCGCTCACGCGCACCGTGTCGGTGGGCATGAGCCCGAAAAAGGTGCACGAGGTCAAGCGCTTCGCCGACTACGTGACGCGGCTGTCGTCGGACGTGTGCGGCGGGGGCGCTGACGGCGAGGAGGTGACGCGGCTGTCGTCGGACGTGTGCGGCGGGGGCGCTGACGGCGAGGAGGTGACGCACTTTGTCGACTTTGGCAGCGGCCAAAACTACCTGGGCCGGGCGCTGGCGAGCGAGCCGTACAACCGGCGCGTCGTGGCCGTCGAGGGCCGGCAGCGAAACGTCGACGCGGCCAAGAGCTACGACACGCAGTCCGGGCTGGCGCGCAAGCCGACGGTCCGGCGCAACAAGAAGGTGTGGAACGAGATCCTCGCGGTGGCGGGCCCGCACAAGAGCGACCCGGCGGCGCTGGCGGCCGCCGTCCGGCAAGTGGCGGGCGACGACGGGGACAACTTCCGCAAGATTGGCAGCGACGAGCTGTCATACACGGCCGAGGCGCCGCTGCAGTACGTTTCCGGGCGGCTCGACAACGGGGACCTGTCCGAGGTGATTGCGCAGATTGACGGCGGCGAGGAGGAGAAGCGCCGGCTCAAGCTCATGGCCATGTCCATCCACTCGTGCGGCAACCTGTCGCACTACGGCATCCGCTCGCTCGTGCTCAACCCGGAGATCCACGCCGTCGCCATTGTCGGGTGCTGCTACAACCTGGTGACGGAGAAGCTCGGGCCGCCGACGCACAAGCACGGCCACCATCTGCGGCCGACGCTGCAGGCCGTCAACGGGCGCGTCGTGCACGAGTCGGCGCGGCACGACCCGCAGGGCTTCCCGATGAGCGCGCGGCTGTCGACGTACGGCGGGCACGGGGTGCGGGCCAACATCACGGCGCGGATGATGGCGTGCCAGGCGCCGCAGAACTGGACGGCCTCTGACAGCGCGCTCTTCTTCACGCGGCACTTTTACCGGGCGGTGCTGCAAAAGATTTTTCTGGACCGCGGGGCGGTGCACGAGGTGCTCTTCGACCCGGGCGCGGACCCGGGCGCGGACCCGGCCACGCTCGGCCCGTTGCAGAAGAGCACGTCGCCGCTCGCGATTGGCACGCTGCCGAAGCGGAGCTACCACGGCGGGCTGCCGGCGTACGTGCGCGCGGCGGTGACGAAGCTGACGACGAGCAGCGAGTACAAGAAGCACGCGCAGGTGATGCGGGACACCATGGCGGACATGAGCGACGAGGACGTCGAGGCGTACTTGGCGCGGTTCGAGCCGCGCAAGAAGGAGCTGTGCATCGTGTGGAGCCTCATGGCGTACAGCGCGACGCTGGTCGAGGCGCTGATGGTGACGGATCGCTGGCTCTGGCTCACGGAGCAGGACGAGGTCAGGCAGGCATGGGTCGAGACGGTGTTTGACTTTGGGCAGAGTCCGCGCAACCTGGTGGTTGTGGGCGTGAAGAAGGATGGTACAGAGACGGAGGGCAAGTAGAGTGGAACGGTGAGGTAGATGAGGGTTTATCGTGTAGCTGGTATTTTGGAGCTTGGCGTGGATAGATGGCTGGCGATACACGACGGCTTGGCGAGTGCGTGTTGGTCGACACTGGCTGGTTATTCACTAAAACGCCGCGAATCATTGGCGACATGTTGGGTAAAAGGAGACTACTACGTCCTACATTGCATGTGTTTGGACGGCGGATGCAAAACAATACGAATTACGATATAAATGCAGTTAGGCGACAACGGCGGGCCATGAACAAATGGTGTACATGATCTAAAGAAGCGTGTTCTGCTTCTCAAAGTCACTCCAAGGGGTTGACGTCGCTCGGAGACATTTGTTTCCCTTGTACCGTGCCCCCCCCCCCCCCTTTGTCCTCGTCAGCTCACGTTTCACCCTCGGCCGAGAGTGAGGCGCTCGGGCTGCACGAGGACGAAAGCGAAGGGGGTCGGTTGCAAGGGGGGGTGTGTTGTCGTCCAGCCACTGATGTATGTGACGAAATGATGCTTGTTGTGGTGCCCAAACTACCGGGACCTTTGTCAAAAGAGGCAACCGAGTAACTGGGCAGGGCGAGTCGGTAATTGACCGCAAGTAGCCAAGCAACCGGTGTGATTCCGAGCAGGGCGGGAAAAAAAAAAGGCAATTTATGCTGACGTTGTTTTAAGAGTGAGACATGTTCAACGGCTTTTCTTTTTTTTTCTTTTTTTGATGATGCTTGCAGCTTGGGTTTAGATGAGACAGGGATTTTTAGTCGAGATGAGACGCGGCCAGCACATCGCGATTTATTTTTCTCGAGTTTTTTTTTTCTTTTCAAGCCCGAAGCTGGAGAGGGAAGGGGGAGGGGGATCCAAGCATTGATACAGGGTCCAGGCTCCAGCATGAATGACTTTGCAACAATGAGGCGTTGTTGTACACGTCCATATGGGCATCTCGCTTCCCCCCCCCCGGCAGTCGTTGGTGGCTTAAAGCGTGGATTGGTCCGGCGGTATTACCCCACACTTTCCGAGGAGCAGGGGTCCGATAAGCGGTGTTCGCTGGCCATGTTGTCGGGTCCAGGGGGAAGGGGTTCCCTGGTCCTGGTCCTGGTGACAAGTTGCAACGCTGCCTGAACAAGTTACAAGTTGTGGTATTGCTGCCCGGGGGAGGGGGAAACGCGCGAGAGCAGGCGAAAATATGGTGACGACGACGACGACGGGCCTCGTTTTGCGAATTGGGTGCATCGACAGGCAGAAAATAACCGGCCATCGATGGGCCCGATGCTGGCACCGTTCTTCAACTCAACTCGCATCGCGTGTTGTGCTCGGTGTTGGGGGGGGGGGGGGTTGCACAGACTTGTTCGCCCAAGCGGTTTTCGAGTAACAACGTACCACGATGACGATGGATAAGACAAGGGGGGCCCTGCGGTGCCAGATCAAGAAGAAAAAAGTCAGGTGGCCAGTTTCTTAACCGGGATGGGAGTTGGACCACTCACCAAGACGCCGTAATTGGCAAGACGTCATTTGCTGGCCAGCAGACGCCACAGGTATACAGAGGGGGGTGCGATGCGACAATGCAGGATGCAGGATGCAGATTTGGGGTGGCCATGCAGGTAGGTACCTATGTAGGTAGCATGGAGGCAGGTTTCAATTATTGGACGTTGAGAATATGTACGAGTGTTGATGCAGCTGTTTGAGAATAAAAAATAAAAAAGGATGATAAAAACAGAGCAGTGCCCGTCTTGCCTTTCCAGTTCCTCGCCTTCTCCTCTTAGCAGACTATGTACAAACGGATCCTTATCACATCTCATCTCGACCCTTTCTCAGTCATCGTCTGTTTTTTACCCACTTGGCCTGCCAATGGATCAGTGTAGCTTGCCGTCCCCCCCCTCTGAACCGTGACTCGAACAAAAACGCCTTTTCATTTTTATTACTCTTCTTCTCTTTTCATTTTCCACGTCCTTTTTCTTCTCTTCTCCCCCCCCCCCTCTTCCTTTTTCTTGTGCTTCTCGAAACCTCCATCCTACCCCACATTCAGCCCAACTTTTGATCGTCACACAAATCCGGCACATCATCGCCAGCGACATCGTCAAGATTTCTCGTGCCACCCACCGCCTTTCATCGGCGCCCCCTACGAATCCAGCTTCGAGTCTCTACCAAACCCCAATCGACAAGTTCCCTGCCGGGCGACGCTCTTCTATTCCCCTCGCCCGTTTCCTTTTTTGGTCCCGCTTGTTATAAACACCCAAAGAACTAGTGGTAGCACCACTTTTTTTTTATATTCGCGATAAGGCTTGCTTGCCCTTGCTTGGCACTACCGAGGACGAACCGAGGACGAACAGCGTTCTCGACATATTTCTGCTTCGTCGTCTTTTCACAAGAAGCCACCATTCAAAAACAGTTTCCTTCTCTTAGCTGGCAATTGCCCGCTGCCGCCACCATGAATGCCCAGGTTTCTCTTTTGGTACGTACACGGCACTCATCCCCCCCCCCTGCAAACGCTCCACCACATCTCAAACACTTCTCGGCTCGCTCCGACAACGGCGCCGATGGCCTGTCACAACGTCACAACAAGCAAACTCCGTCTCCAATTCGTGTAAACCGCCAAACCACTATGCTATCCACGACTGCGATGACTTGATTGCCATTGTTTCAATTGCCATTGTCACTGTCGTTGCCCTTTTTACCATGACCGCCTCCTGCTGCAACCACCACCCACCCCATCATGACCCTCCGCTAACTTGTCCCAGAAAGGCTCCTACAACCTCATCTACTTCCCCCACGAGCTCTACCCGTACCTCGTCCAGCCCATCATCCGCACCCTCATCCCCCAGACCCAAGACCTCCACATCGCCACCCACGCCCCCGAGCACGCCCTCGACGGCCTGACGCCCGACCAGCAGCACCGCTTCCTCAACATCTCCATCACGCCCATCGAGTGCTCCCTCGTCGTGCACGCCTCGTGGGCCGCCGCCGTGTTCGGCCCCGTCATCGCGCGCCTGCCCGCGCACCTCGGCGCGCAGGTGCACGTCTCGACCGACACGTACATGATTCTCAGCGTCATCGCCGCCGGGCTCGACCCCGCCGGCCGCGTCATGGAGCTCTCGTCGCCGCTCGCCCTCGCCGGCATCCCCATCTTCTTCCTCACCACGTACTACTCCGACTTCATCCTCGCGCCCACCCACGAGCGGCCCCGCGTCATCGACGCCCTCTCCTCCAACGGCTTCGACTGCCTCGAGCACGGCCGCTTCTTCAACCACGCCGCCTACAAGCACGGCCACGTCCGCTTCGCACCGCCCCGCACCCCGCTCCACGTCGTCGCCGAGCTCCAGCGCCGCACCTTTGAGCTGCTCAAGAAGCGCAGCGTCGCGCCCTTTGTCGACCCCGACCTCGAGCTGCTCCTCGCCGGCGGCCGCGACGTCGCACAGCTCCCCGGCGCCTACGCCGCCTACCCCTCGCCCAACCGCCGCAAGAGCTCCCTCCCCGAGGCCCGCCGCGCCACCACCTGGGCCGACGGCGTCGACCCCCGCCTCTTCAACTGCATCGTGTCCGCGCTCGTCTCCCAGCCCAAGTTCCTCTCCGTCACCCTCGCCGAGGAGGACCCGCCCTCGGTCCTCATGGACAAGAACCTGCTCTCGCTCTTTGGCGACTCGGTCGTCGGCGACTTCAACACCACGCTGATTCCCATCTTTTTGAACTTGGAAAACTTGCCCTCCGAGGTCACCGGCGTCGTGTCCGGCGTCGCCGGCAAGCTCGTCCAGGAGATGAAGGTCCGCAACATGCTGGAAATGTCGTACTTGTCGACAGCCCGCGCGAGCGCCGTCGTCTTGCCGCAGGAGCAAGCTGAGCGCGCGCTGGCGATTCTGGATAACTGCATGGAAATGGCCGATGTTGTGCCCTGAGTCTTCTTCTGTTGTTTTTGCCTTGTCTCTGTACAAATTTTGTCATCTGGCGTCAAAAAAAAAAGCACTTTTAGCGGGCGGGCGTGTACAATACCACATCTTTATTTTGCATCTTAGTCCCATCCTGCGTATCAATAACAATCAAATGCTCCTCTTTCTATACCAAAGTTATATTTACAACGCTTCCATCCACCACCCCCTTACTTCTTCCTCCCCTTGCCCCCACCGCTCTCCGGCACCAACCCGGCCCTCACAAACGCATCGCGCGCCACGGCATTAATGACAGCGAAGCGCCTCGGCCCGAGCTTGACGCCGCCATACCAGCGCGTGACCACGACCATGACATCCCACAGCTCCATCAGCTGCATCAGGTGCAGCAGCCGCCCGCCGGCCGCATCCTCCCCGTCATCGTCGCAGTCCTGGTAGCTCACGCCAGCGCCGCGCACGCGCCACGCCGTCATGTTGTGCGTCGCGTCGCGGATGCGCCGGTCGCTCGCCAGCAGCTGCGCCACGTACAGGCGCGCCTGCGCCGGCGAGGTCACGCGCGCCACGTGCGCGACAAACGTCGACCGCGTGTCGACGACCTGTTCCGAGAGCGTCCACGGCGGCGGCGGCAGCGCGGCGAGGTCCTGTGCGTCATCGTCTACCACCTCCACCTCCTCGTCGACACGCTGCCGCAAAACTTCCTCCACCGCGTCAAACAGACACACCCCGCCTGGCTGGTACACGTCGTCGAGCGCCGCCGTTAGGAGCCGCGCAACGTCCCGTGCGCCCGCGCTGTGCTGCATGCCGAGCACGCGCGGCGGGCCGCCCGTATCCGGGTACCCGGCGGGGAACTGCAGCCGCAGGGAGGCCGCGGCGCCGGGCAGCTGCAGCACGTAGGAGCCGGAGCCCGGGGCGCCGGCCGCGAGAGTGTTGTCGCCGTAGATGGAGTTGATGGCCTCGACCTCGTCGCGGAGCTCGTCCGACATGGTTGAGACGCACCCCCGAGGTTTTACGTGTACATGTGTGTGTGTGTGTGTGTTTTTGGGAGGAGGTTTTGAGGGTTTTGGTTTATGCGACGGCGTTCGAGGTTCAAAAGTAGTGAGGTTTTTGTGGATCGGGCGAGGTGATGCCGAAACTAGACGAGGCCGGGTACAGTGCAACATTTTTCAACATTTCTTTTTCCTAATTTGATTTTTTAAAATGTCAAGGTCTCTTACCACCAAATATGCCGTCTATTTTCCACAACCTCGTGGCGATCCCGGCCATGTTCCGCTTCTGCCATTCTCGTCCCCGCGACGCTCTGCACCTTTAGCATGAACGTCAACACGGGCGACCAGATCTCGGGCCTCGTCACGGCCGACTCGTCCACCACCGGCAACGTCACCATCAACAACGTCAGCACCGGCCAGTCGATGAACTTTTACTTTTCCGACGGCGGCGCCGGCCTCTGCGGCTCCTCGGCCGAGTGGATCCTCGAGGACCTCACCAGCGAGCCCTCGCAAACCCTCGAGCCCTTTGCCGGCTTCCCCGACAACCACTTTACCAACTGCCAGGCCTCTACCAACGGCGGCCAGTCCGCCGGTCCGGGCACCAACAATGTCAACATTGCCCAAAACGGTAAAACGCTCTGCACCGGCCAGATCTCGGGCTCCAGCGTCTACGTCCACAGCTCGTAAGCGAGGTTGGAGAGTGGCGTGGTTGTGTGGGTAGTTTTGTGAATAGTCAGTACATTCATTGACCTTGGATAACAGCTGCGGGGGTATATACTAGGATAATTTCTACAGTACATACAGATCTTATTAAATGTATACTTGGATATACCAGATTAATCTTCTTGCTTCAGTATCTCTGCTGGGCGCGTAGTTCAAATCCAGCGGAATATATGGAATATATGTTGCGCCAAGCTGCCCTGTTGATAGTTGCATGACCTACAACTGTCATCGGCTATTGCTCAATAAACCCCGATAGTTCAGTCTCCTTCTGCCCACCCTTCACCCGCCGTCAAACCTACTGATGGTCATTCTAAATTGGAAACGTTTATTGACTACATGCGCAAGCACGCCAAATATACTAGTCAGCCGCAGATGCCGACAAGACAAATTCTAAAGGACTATAGGTCTACAACTCTTACTCATCCATAACCGACGCAAACTTGTCCGTCATTGACTGGTGAATGGCCTCGTACTGTCACTCTGTTAGCATCACGCACCCGACTATCATGTACAGACATGCGGCTCACCTTCTTGCTGATGGCTTCCTCTCCCTCGCTGGGCTGCTCGAACTTGAGCTGACGAAGCTGTGTCTGCAGATCGCTCGTGGCCTCGCGCACCTTGGCCCAGCTCTGGCCCTGAGCAATCACCTTTTGGGCCTCATCGTGGAACCCAACCATGAGCTTCATCATCCACTCCGTCTTCCAGATAGGGCAAAACTGATCGTAATCCGAGTAACCATTTTGCTGCAAAAAGTCTTCCTTGATGAGACCGGCAATGTCCAGCGTAATCTTGTCGGGGTCGGACAAAGCACTCTTTCCGACCAGCTGCACGACTTGCTCCAGCTCATCCGAGTCGGTCAGGAGCTGCTTGATGCGGTCACGCAGCCTGGGAAACTCGGGGTGATCCTTTTCGTAAAACTTGTCCAGGATACCGGTATACTTGCTGTAGGAAAGACTGGTGTTGATAGAGGGAAAGTGCTTACGCTGGGCAAGCTTCTTGTCCAGACCCCAGAAGACCTGAACAATACCCAGCGTAGACGTGCAGACAGGGTCGGAGAAATCACCACCGGCGGGCGACACAGCACCGACGATGCTGACACTGCCCTTGCGGTCGGGAGAGCCGAGGGCCTGGACGCGACCAGCACGCTCGTAGAAGGAGGCGAGCTTGGCACCGAGGTAGGCAGGGAAACCCTGATCAGCAGGCATTTCTCCGAGGCGACCAGACAGCTCACGCAGGGCCTCGGCCCATCGCGACGTAGAGTCAGCCATCATGGCAACATCGAGACCCTGGTCACGGAAATATTCGGCAACAGTAATTCCAGTATAGATGGAGGCTTCACGAGCGGCGACAGGCATGTTGGATGTGTTGGCAATCAGGGTCGTGCGCTTCATGATGGGCTCTTTGCGGCCGTCGACCTCGATTGTAAGCTCAGGGAAATCCTTCAAGACTTCAGCCATTTCGTTGCCGCGTTCGCCACTGCATCAATTAGCATACTGAATCCCACGAGGCAAGAGATAACGCACCATCCAACGTAGACAATGACATCAGAGTTGGAAAACTTGGAGACAGACTGAGAAATGACTGTCTTGCCGCAACCGAAAGCGCCGGGAATAGCAATGGTACCGCCCTGAACACCGGGGAAAAGAGCGTCGAGCACACGCTGACCGACGATAAAAGGCTCTTCGGCAACAAGCTTCTCGGTCGAAGGTCTAGGAACACGGACAGGCCAGGACTGCATCATGGGGTATTCGGTTTTCTTGCCGTCGAATTCGACTTCGAGGATGTTCTCGGCAACGCCGAACTCGCCCTTGGAGGCAATCTTGGTAATGGTACCACGCGCGCGAGGAGGCAAGAGGATCTTGTGGACGGAAAGGAAGGAGTTTTCAAAGACAGTGCCCCAAACGTCACCACCGGTGATGTGATCGCCAACCTTCTTGGTGGGGGTAAACTCCCATTTCTTGTCGCGGTCGAGGGCGGGAACGGAGATACCGCGCGGAATATAGATGCCCCCAGAAGCTTTAGCGATGCCAGCGAGAGGACGCTGAATACCATCGTAGATGCCGTTCAGTAGGCCGGGACCAAGCTCGACGGATAAAGGCTTGCCAGTACGGTAGACAGGGTCGCCGACAGTGACACCAGCTACAATTGTTAGACCAAGGTGGGGTAATTTCAGAACCAAGATTCATACCGGTTTCCTCGTATACCTGAATGGTCGCCTGGTCGCCGCTAATTCGAATGACTTCGCCCGCAAGGTTGTCGTGGCCAACATTGACCTGCGACCGTTAGTGGGGGAGCTCTGGTAACGATCGAAGCTTGTAGACTCACCAATTCGTACATGGCAACACCGAGCATATCTTCAGCGACAACGACAGGTCTACGAGAGTTCATTAGTAGCTGATCAAATGTGCGCGGCACGAGCTTTGAAGCGGGATGGCGAACCCAGAGATGGAGTAAATCTTGCCTAGCCAAGGGTTAGTTTCGGCGGCACTTAGCGAGCAGCATTGCGAGAGCGGTACGCACCATGACTTTCGGCATCCTTGCCGGTCTTGTTCGCTTTCTAGAATTGCAAATTGATCAGTTTCCGTGTCGCAGTGGGGCGGACAGCTCCATGTTGTGACGGCCCTTGGACAAGTCGCTCGTCGGAGGCTGGGGAGGAGGCCGTACCGGAGCCATTTTGGATGATGCCGGGACGGGGACGGCGTCGGGCTCGTTTGCGGAGGAGGCTGGAGGGGCAGCGGATGAGGGAGGAGTAGAGACCCTAGATGATGGCGCGGGCGGCGTTGGACGAGGAAGTGGTGATGATGGTGGAGAGTTTGGCAGAGGAACGTCGAGAGCTGCCGCAAAGGCCAGCCTGGGGTGTCGAGGTGGGGCCGATGATGTAGCGGTTGCAGCGGGTGGTGAAGATGCTGTGGGAGGCCTTTTTGGGGGGATCTCGGCCGCTTTTGTGGTGTCTTCAGGGGAGTCGGCGCCTGCTGACAGTGGTGGGCCGCCTAGAAAGAGCCCTGGAGGGGACGACGTGCCGAACAAAAACGATGGTGGCAGCGATGGCGACACCGACACCGACACCGATTGCCGCAGAGGACTCGACAGCGGCGAGGGCAAAGCTTCCCTAGATTTGCTCTCGGCTTCGCTTCGGGCTCGTACCAGATCCAAGAGCGACGAGCGAGCCCTGAGCCGCGGCCTGAGTCCAACTTGCATATAAGGTGAGCGGGACGAAGCTTATTGCCTAAGCTCTGCTAGATGCCAGCGTCTCGGAGTGAAGTTGTCAAAGTGGGCACCAAACAAAAAGAATCAGTCGAAGCTCATCCAAATCGATTATCCAGCTATTCTCGCTATTATTCGACTTCAGACAATGATATGTAATGGGCAAAAGTGACGCCACTTGGTAGAGGGAGTGTCGGAGACAAGACATCCAGAGCTGGGGCCACTGTTGAGCGGTGGGCCAAGGGCACTTGTAGTTAGGTACGGTGTGCATCCTGGCATCGCAGGCGAAAGATGCATGGCTGACTGGCAGCTGATTCACTGTGATTTCGGGCTGAAGAGGACATTGAGCCTAAGAATGCGGCGTCGATGGAATGCAGTAGATAGGATAACTCGTTTGGGGGCCAAGTGAAGTGACATGGCCAAACGCCGCTGTCTCTTCGTAATGATTTGCGACAGGGACTCGCAGCCCGGCAAGCTACGGATGAATAATACTCGCAAGGAAATATCTTCTTTTCTTTCTGCAGACAGGGATGGGATATTGAAGGTCGCAGTGGCGTGCGCAGTTGGGCCCAGGTGCGTTTTCCGCAACAATCTCTAGTTACCTAGGTATGTATCACGAGTTTTGCGCCGTCGGCGAGAAGCTCAATACGACGATTTTTATTGGCCTTGGCCGAGACGAGAGGCACAAGACCCAGAGTCTAGGCTCTATTAACAGGGATTAATTAGATACTTTTATTTCCAAGCTGCAATAAAAGGAGGCGCCCCATGCCACTCGTACTGTAACATGATATGCTCCCAAAATTCAGCATCAACAGCAAACGCGACGAATATCAGAACACCACCAAGACATCAACCATTATTGTTTCGTCGCCTCGAATGATCGCAATCAATCGTCGAGTCGTTCCATTCACCATCGTTCGAATTCCATCTTGCTCCTTCTTCACGTCGTTCCGCAAGGGATCGGCCGCAATGAAAGAAATAGAAAAAAACTTCTCTGCGAAACAAAGAGTAAAGGGTTCCAAAAATTCCTTTCCCGGATAAATCCAAAAAAGAGTGGTCTGTTATAGTTTTCAACTAGCAAAATTCCTCTCTCAGCTTATCGCTTCACGGAGAAGGAAGACGCCCGTGCACTGGGATGAAGAAGAAAGGAAAAAAAGAAGACTGAAAGAGGAGTGGGCAACGCGAGGTTTTATAGGGGTCGGGTCCGGCTGCCTGAGGTTTGAAGCACAGACCAGGGGCAGCTGCATGAGTCATCCCGAAAAGGCTAAGCGCCACCCGGGAGGCTGCAGGTGCCTGACGGTGCAAGTTAGCGCTGGCTGTGCTGCCTGGCGATGTAGCTATCAAGGTTAATAGTACTCGTGACAACGTTGGGGTTGTGATTATTTTATATCTGAAGAAAGTCTTAAACATGTTCAGGAATATCAGAATTTAAACACTCAAACAGCGCAGGTTCCTTGATAATGGCGACAAACCAGCCTCTGCTACCTGGCCCAGCGTTAGCTACCTAGGTACCTTAGTACCTAGGTACCTGGGCACTAATCTTTTCGCCAGACCAGATACATTCTTCTTCGACGCCTCTTTTACCTGCCACGTTGTAATTTTTTTTGTTGAACTGGATAGATTAGAGATCAACTGCTCTGTGTATGTTCTACCTCGATTTTAACAAGACTCCCCCGTGTCCGTCATTGTGTCGATCCACCCTCCCGCAGATGGCTCATCCGTGTCACCGCCGAGGCCAGACCTGCAGATCTGCAGCTGTCAGCTGCTGAGCCGCAAATCCACCCACACCAATCGCTCTGCCGTTTCCGTATCTTCAACACTGCACACTGACGATATGCGTCTTTTCACAACCTCCACCACCCGCTGCCCATCGTCACCAGCAGCCATGCGTTTCACGCGCGCCTACTCGAGCCTCAGCGGCGCCATCCCGCCCGCCAAGGCCAAGTACGTGCCCTCGGCCGGCACCTACCCGAGAGGCTTCCAGGCCTCGGGCGTCTTTGTTGGCGTCAAGCCCGGCAACACGAGCAAGCCGGACCTCGCCCTCGTCACCTCGGACCGGCCCTGCGCCGCCGCCGCCGTCTTCACCAAGAACAAGTTTCAGGCCGCGCCCGTCAGCTTCAGCCGCACGCTGCTTCGCAACAAGGCCAACGCCGGCCTGCGCAGCGTCATCGTCAACTCGGGCAACGCAAACGCCGTCACCGGTATCGGAGGCCTGGAGGACGCGGCGAGCATGGCGCAGACGACGGACCAGCGCGTCGGTGCTGAGGACTCGACCATTGTCATGAGCACGGGTGTCATTGGACAGAGGTAATTGGCTTTTTGTTTTTAGTTTCATCTACCATCTGGCGTCGCAATGGCTCACAAGCGGGACAACACAGGCTCCCCATTCAAAAGATTATCGACCACATCCCGGTCGCCTGCCACCAGGCCGGCGACTCCCACAAGCACTGGCTCAACTGCGCCAAGGCCATCTGCACGACCGATACGTTCCCCAAGCTCATGTCGCGCACCTTTGCGCTGCCCGCGTCGCCGGGCATCGAGTACCGCATCGCCGGCATGACCAAGGGCGCCGGCATGCTCGCGCCCAACATGGCCACGCTGCTGACCATTCTCGCCACCGACGCCCCCGTCGCGCCCAGCATCATGACGCCGCTGCTCCGCCACGCCGTCGACCGCTCCTTCAATTCCATCACCGTCGACGGCGACACGTCGACCAACGACACCGTCGCCCTGCTGGCCAATGGCGCCGCTGGCGGCACCGAGGTCGCGTCCGCCGCGTCGCCCGACTACGACGCCCTTCGCACCGTGCTGACCGACTTTGCCGCCGACCTCGCCAAGTACATTGTCCGCGACGGCGAGGGCGCCACCAAGTTTGTCACCATTCGCGTCGTCGACGCCGCCACCGAGGACGGCGCCCGCCAGGTCGCCCGCTCCATCGCCCTCTCGCCGCTCGTCAAGACGGCCCTCTACGGCAAGGACGCCAACTGGGGCCGCATCCTGTGCGCGGCCGGCTACGCCCTCATCACGCCCCCCACGCACGCGCCGACCGACGCCGACGACATTGCCCCGGAAAAGACGAATGTGTCCTTTATCCCGACCGACGGCTCGCCCGAGCTGAAGCTGCTGGTGAATGGTGAGCCGGAGCAGGTTGATGAGGCGCGCGCCAGTCAGATTCTGGAGATGGAGGACTTGGAGATTCTAGTTCGCCTGGGCACCGGTGACAAGAGCACGACACATTGGACCTGTGACTTTAGCCACGACTACGTGACCATTAATGGCGACTATCGCACGTAAACTTTTGAAAACACCCTGGCGAATTGGGTTTCAATGGCACGTCTTGGACATGCAACACCTAAAAGCCCTTCAATCTAAACTATTCAGCGAAAATTCAAACACTACATTACATCCTCTGCCTATACTCTGTAACTGCCTCAACTGTACCACATTTTCTACGACTTCGTGGACTTGGGCTTTTTGGGACGAGGGGTAGGAAACCAAATTGGTGTGGGCACCCTGGCGCCCTCCGTGTCAACAATCGCCTCAATCCTCTCCAGAGCACGCTTCTCGGTGACGAGCTTGCTGAGCATCATGGCGATGCCCGACGCGCCGCAGTGGTCGTGCGTTCCGGCGGGACCCATTCCATCGCGCTTTCTCAAGTGGAGGTCCGGCTTGCTCTTGTGGCAGTTGTCCTGGGCGCGGCCACCGCGGAGCATGCAAATCTCGCCGTCCCGGCAGGCGGCGCTGCACTGCTGGGGCTTCCAGCCGCGGCTCTTGCGCACCATGTACTTGTTGAACGCGTCCTCGTCGGCCTCGAAGACCTCGGTGACGTTGTGCCAAAAGGCCGGGCTGAGCTCGGCGGCGGGGTCCGTCAGCGGCGGGGTGAGCAGCGCGCCGTACGTCTCCTTGGCGCTGTAGTACCTGGACCAGACGGGGCCGGCGGTCTGGAAGGTCGGGTGGTCCATGTCGGCAATGTACGTGACGGCGTCGAGGACGGCAAAGGTCACGGGGTCAACGTCGTAGACGCGGAAGGAGGGCATGCCCGAGGTGGGCGTCAGGGCCGGCGCAATGTAGGACATGACGCGCGCGCTGTCAAAGTTGCGCGCCGTGTAGTTGGCGTAGTGCAGCTGGAAGTGGTCTACGTGGGTGTGACCAAAGAACATGGCGGCAATGGTGTCGGAGAAGCGGTTGACAATGGCATCAAACGCGTTGGAGCCATCGTGCAGCGCATCGATGTCGCCCATGGGCATGTGGCCGATGATGTAGACGCGGTCGCCCTCCTTCTCGGCACTCAGGAGCTGCCTTACAAGCCACTCAAACTGCCCGTTGGGGTCCTGCTCCATGACCTCGTGGAACAGCTCAAAGTTGTTGCGGTAGTACATGTTGGTGTTGATGGAGATGATGCGCAGCTTGCCGCGGGGGTTCTTGGCCGCGTACGCGCCAATCGTGGAAATGTCCTTTTGGGTCCCCTGGCCCGTCGACTTGAGCCAGTAGCCCGCGACCAGCTCGTACAGCCACTTGATGTCCTCTTTGCCCCCGCGCTTGTAGGCCTTGGACGGGAATAGGTTGGCAGGGCTCATCTCGTGGTTGCCGACGGTGCCGTACACAATGTTGAGTTGCTTGTCCATGACCTGCATGGAAGCATGAACTACGGCAAGTCAGTGCTGTGCAGGTTTGCGGCATGGTTTTTGTGACTCACTCTCGTCAATGTTGGATTTCTTGCTTCTGCTCCAGATGTGGTGATCAACAATGTCTCCGGTGAAGATCGAAAACGCAGCATCCGGGACGACCTTCCTGATGGCATCGTACATGCTCCTCTCGAGACTCTCGGGGGTATCACAGTTGTGATCTCCAAAAGGGCCGGCAGGATTTTGGGTTTCGCCGACCTCATCAGATGTCGTGTACGGGCTTAGACGGGTTAGCCCTGAGACTCATCGTATGCGTGACCGGGGGTATACTTACCGACAGCAGACTGGCTTGGTGCACTGCGTGTTTGTTCCCACAGCATAATGATGGTCTACGTGAATGTCCGAAAAGTGCACCACCTTGATCGGCGTCATCCCGCTGACGCGCTGACGCGGAGCAGTCACGTTCTTGGGGGGCAGCGCGAACTGCAGAGGAATCGGTGCGGGGATGTTACAGAGACCGAGCATAGCACCGCAAAGCAACTTTGAAGTGCGGCCGTAGATGCTGATTTCCTTGAGGAGCCTCTGGACAGTAGGACCCTCGAGGTTCATGAAGCCATCGCACACGTCGGCGTCCTCAACCTACGTAGGTGGTGTTAGTCGGGGGAGGCATCGTGCCGGACTGGTACAACCCACCTTGCTCAACTTGCAAATCGACTGGGCGGCAGTAACAAAGACGTCTTCGCCAAAGTTGGCGAGCGCTTTTAGCAACGCCAGCATGCTCTGTCCCGTTGTAAGTCCAGGCTCACGAGTAGTACGAGGGACGAGGGGTGTTTTACCTGGCAGCCTTTGCAGGTCGCCTCATGTTTAAAATCGTCCCAAATCTCTGCAGACTTGCTGCTAGGCACATGAGGGAGTGTAACATTCACATCCATGTCCTCGGGACGCCTCGTCGGAAGAGCCGTTTGGCTGGCCGTTTGAATCGCCGTGGCGACATCAGCAACAGCAGCGAGCGCCGCGACTAGAGTGGCCAAGCGCATTTTTTTTTCTTCAACAAGGGACTCTGCTGGTCCAAATCCTATCTGATAATAAAGTGTGGCAAAGAAGGAGTGTCCTAGAGAATGTCCTGAGTAACAAAACAGGTGGGTGCGACCTAGATATAAGGGTCTCTCGTAGCGTGGACCAAAAACTAACCACAAAGTTGCCATGAGCGACGCTTCCGCTAGTCGTATTCTCTCTGTGCGGAGCATCATGAACAAACTCAAATAATGTGCGATTCTAGATGCTTAAAAAATCAAGCCATGCCGCGGACAAGGAAGCCGGCCCAGACACCAGGGCCAGCCATGTTGGTGTGGCAGCGGACGAACCCACCAACCACAACAAGCCGCCGCTGATACCTGCTGAGAAATCATTGTTATTCTGCGGTGCTGTGATTTAACTATCATTAAGCCCGTGTTTCTTGGGCCTTGATACCACTCTACGAACTCTTTGCCGGTTCGAAATGCTTGGCAAACAGGGAATACACTTGTGCCCTCGATCTCGCACCACTTACGAGAATAGAGATACGCGAAACATTCAGCGGAGTCGTGTAACGGATGAGCAGCTTCGATCGTACTAGGCCGGCTTTCTCGGTTGTGTACTTGCATCGTGACTTTGCTGGCAGAGGGAAAAAGCTACATACTAGCAGTGGGCTCCTCGCGTATTTCATATCGCACGGCGTATTGTTAGTCTTGTACTAGTAAGCGCAATTATAAAAGTCAAAGAGGGCACATGGGCGAAACTTTCTTGAATTGTACCCCAAAAGGGCAAAGAGCTACTCGTTAGAGTTGCCGCGGTGTCTTCTAGCTCACGTTCGTCTGATGCTCGCGTGCTCCTAGTTGAGTAGAATTCTGCTTGCCATTTCCCTCTTATTTTGCCGCTTTTGTCGTGGTCGGATGAACTGACGCTTTCTCAATGTACTGACGGAGTGGACGAAGGTTGGAACGAGCCACTTCACGAGGCTTTCAAGAAAACTAGAACTTTTGCATTACTTACTTCAATATCATCGCTTTTATTCGTTCGGCCTGCATATAGTCCAAGCATGCAAGACATGAGCTTGTGTGGAGAAATACAGATTATTGTACATGAGCTTGGTATACAAAGAGTCCTACAAGGCGAACTCTATTCAAAACAACACCGCTGAGCGCGGACCAATTTAGCCAATGCCAGCGTGTCCTCTCGAACTGCGCTATGCACGTATCCGGCTACGAAGACGAGCCGGGGCCACGCTCCCAGGCCACGCGGATGCCCGCAGCCTCCTCCTCCTTGGTGCGCTCCGCGCGGTACGACGCGCCGCGCTTGCTGAGCGTGGGCAGGCTGCCTGCAAACATGCGGTGCCACGACTGCGCGCGCATCTCGGCGTTGATGTCGAGGATCTTGCGCCGCCGCGCCTTGATCTGCTTGTAGAGCCGCTCGGCGCGCTCGTCGCTGATCTCCTTGACAGCATACTGCACTTCCCATTTGCTGCCCGTGTTGAGGCGCTCCGGCCGCGCCACGAATTTGCCGTCGACCTTGTTGCGGATGGTAATGTACATGCCGAGGAGCTCGCGTGGCGGGGATTGGTCTGGCGAGGTCTCTGGGCTCGCGTCCGTGGCTGCGGCTTCAGCGTTGGCGTCGGCTTCAGTCTCGGGGTCGGCATCTTCTCCTGCAGTGGGCTTTTCAGACAGGCTGGCAAACATGCGCTGAAATTCGTTGAGATTCGTGGCATTCTCGTCAATGCCTTCGGTCACGCGCAAGATCAGATCCTTCAGAGGGGTCTCATCACCGTGTTGAGCATCAGCCGGCTCCTCTTCCGAGGCGCTTTCCAGCTCTTTGCTCTCCTGGGAGTGCGCTGTCAAAGCAGATACCAGGCCCTCAATGTGCTTTGTGCTCTCGGCTTCCGTTTTGCCCTCGAGCAGTCCGCTCTGGGCCAAGGCATCTTGCACGGCATCTCGTACAGATCGTATGCCGAGCGATTCACTGTCCACTGCCTCGCTGACTCGATCCATGACTTCTTGCCATGCTAGTTCGTTCTGAATCTCTTGATCCATATCTTCTTCCTCGGTAGATTCCACCTCTTCTGTGTTTCCGCTCTGATCATCAGCGGCAGCCTCAGCAGCGGCAGATTCAGCGGCTTTTTCCTGGCTGCTCAGATCGTCAATTTCCTCCTTCAGCTTGTCCACGGATGCCTTTTTCGATTCCTGAATCGCTTGCATCTCCTCATCGGTGACGGGCTCCACGAAAAAGTACGTGACGGGGTCATTTGTTGGTCGAGTTTCGACGTGGAGCCTCAATGACCTATTAGGGAACTTCTTGGTAGCCCTGTCCATGAGATCATTCAAAATCGACAGACTAGCTTTAAACTCTTGGTCTCCCAGAGTTGTGTCCGTCTGCCCATGAAGAGCATGATCCATTTCAGACAGAGGGATGTATTGGAACCCAAAGATCCTCTGCGTGTTGTGATACGCAACAAAGATACCATCCATGCGCCCCATGCGCACCTGTAGGGAGTATTTCAGGAACGCGGACCGAATAAGATCGTAGTACTCTCTTTCGAAAGATTCCCACTGGCCGAATTGCTTGCGAATCTCATAGCCAACGCCCTTTTCGTGCCCTTGAACATCCATGCGGATGGTCACCACGGCTCTTGTTTTCAGGTCAAAAACACCAGTTCCAGGCAGTCTCGGGTCGTGAGCGTCTAGTTGCGATCGCATCATAAAGTCGCCAAACGTAGTGTAGTGGTATGCCTCGTCGGCCTTCTTTTCTTCTTCAGTCAATTGGTGGGACTTTGTCTTTTTGTACTTTTCAAACTCTTCCTTGGGAAGCGTCAGTAGCTTCTCCATTGATTTTCCCAGCATACTTAGGACATTTTCGCTGTCGTATTCTTTGTCTGAATCAATGGAGTAAACCCCGTCGTTGTACTTGATGAAGGTGGCAACAGGACCTCGGGTCAAAATGGTGAAGTTATTCGACTCTGGGGTCCATCCTCTCGACAATTGGTCAAAGTTGGGAGGTCTCCAACCCGAGATAAGAAAGTGTAGGTGAGAGAGAACGGCCGTCATGCTCGAAGTTGAGCCGCTGTATTTTTTGCCATGCTCCTTGGCCAGATCGCGTAGCTTGGTATCCTTGGAAGATGTGACATATTCTTTCAGAGCATCATAATCAAACTCGTCGACGGGCATGATAGAGGCGAGATACGGATCAAAATTGTATACATTTGTTCGGGCATCTTGCATTCGATATACGCCACCGTTGAAAAGTGCGCGGTCGAGGCCGTAGCTCAGCTTCGGGATGTCGGGTGTTTCATGATCGATGGGCTCCAGCTCCAGCGCTTTGGGTGTTATGACCTCGAAGTCGACTGGTTCTTTCTCTTTCCTCCTCTTTCTCTTAGTCGGCTTGGTAGATTTGACGGACTTGGGCGTAGGCTTTTTCGATTGTGTCTTGGGACTTCGTTCGACCTTTGATTCAGGGGACTCCTCAGGTGATGATGCGGATTTATGCTTCGATGACGCCAGAGATTGTCGCAGCTTTTCTTGGAGGGTAGTCCAGGAGGAGAGACCTCTTGTCTCGTCGGCTGAAGCTTCGGATTCCTGCTCGGCAGCTTTCTTAGCCGCTTTCGCATTGCACGTGTGAGAAGTCGCGAAGAGCGCGACGCGTCCTCGAGAGAGCACTAGGGTAGGAAAGCCAGGTATATTTGCGAGGCGCACTTGGCCGACGGCCTGGCACCGCGCACGATGCATTGCGACGCCGATTCGATATCCGGAAGGTTAATATTGCAGCAAGGTACAGAGGTTGAGCTCTCACAGGCGAAATTTGGGATCCTTCATGGAGCTTATCGATATCGATATTCTTGGATGATTTTGGGTGGTTTGGATTGGGCAACGACGGAGCGGGGCGTTGAGGCAGCTAATGATTGGCGCGGCCGCACAGCTCCGCCGAATCCACGTAGTCCTGCATCTACAACTGCATCTCACGACATTCTACCATCTCGAGCCCTCGCGTCGCTCACCTTTTCCAACAATGGGCGCTAGTGACTCCAAGATCATTTTCAAACGGGGTATATTCCGACTTTCTGAGGAGCGGGATATTCCCGCCAACGATGACTACTGGACTTCGGTACTTCAACCCCGTTTGGCTGCATAGCTGCGCCACTGGCTGACCAAGATGACAGTTTTGGGAGCTTCCAGAGTCCTCGGAGGATGTGTTTAGCCTCTTTTCCCCGGCCGATATTCGAAGAAGTCGCGATCAGGCCCTTGAAAATATCGAAACCCTTATCCTCGTTCTGACGTCTCGTCTATTCGTTCTGCGGCACCATCCATCCTTTCCCGATAATGAGCTGGCTCCGGAGAGGGAAGCACTCAACTGCGTACGGGTGCTTACCCGTATATTACCGTATCTCTACGAAAAAGAATCATTGCATCCATGGGAAGAGAAGTTTTTCTGGGGAGCTAGGAAGAGGAGAACCCGCCACGGCGCCATCGCCAACGAAGTGCTGTTCGACGAATCGACAGGTGACAAAGAACACGTAGAGGCTGACAAGGAACTCTTCGAAGACGTAAAGCCACTGGCTGAGGAGCTTCTTGATACCCTGCTCGATATGCTCTTTTTTTCCGAGTTTACCATTCCGAAGCAGCAACCCGGTCGGCCAAAAGTGACGTATGCAATCTGGCAGAGTGGCGTGGGCTGCAATACTGCGGTAGCAACGACGAAGGAGTTCGAGAGCAACAGATGCGAACTGCTACGGTTGATATTGGCGCTTGCTGGTCGCGGCCTCTATATGAGCAGCCCTGCATTGACACAAAGTGGAGTTCGGACACTGACGCACTTATGCACAAATCCGGACAAGCAAGTTGTGCTTTCGCTGCTCTGCTCATTACTGAATACGGTATGTCAAGCTACACGCCGCTGTATCAATCTGGCTAATATGTTTGAAGACCCTCAAATATCATCCGGCCAGCTGGCGCGTACCCTATAACTCGCTAGTCATTCGCGACACCAAGCAACTACTTGTTACACAGTCTTTACACTTGCTATTAGCAGTACTCGTTTATACTGTCCCCGAACACATTGAAGCTTCGTCAAGAAAGAACTATTATCGGCACTTTCTCGGTCGACTACACCGTCCTCAAGATTTTCAATTTATAGTGGACGGGGTTTCACGAATCCTCACCCAACCCCTCCAAGATAAGACGTCATATCTTCCTGGAGCTCACACATCAGTAAATCTGTCGGCGGAGATGCTCATGCTGTTTTGGGAAATGATCCAATGCAACAAGCGTTTTCGCGCGTTCGTTATTGATACAGACAGAGCCCACGACTTTATCGTCTTGACACTCTTCTATGCTGTCGAGTACAAAAATGAACCGGCAAAGCAGGGCATCGTCCGAATGTGCGCATTCTTGCTACAGACCATGAGTGTGGAAAAGAATTTTGGTCTTCACCTGAATCAAAAGTTTGTTGGTCAAGAGAGCCTCCCGCCTGGTATCAGAATCAACGCATTCGACGGTTCCTATGCCGACTTTCTCATACATTCCATATATACCCTCATCACGACTAGCCAGGGTGGCCTCACTGCGATATACCCTGCACTTCTCGCGATCATCAACAACATCGCGCCATATATCGAGAACCTAGGTGCATCGGGCAGCTCCCAACTTATGCATCTCTTTGCTCTCATGTCCTCTCCTTCGTTTCTGCTGGCCAATGAAACGAACCACACCCTCTTGCGATCTCTACTGGAGTCTATCAACACAATCATCGAGCACAAGTATAAGGAAAACGCTCAACTTGTGGCGGCCGTTTTCAAAAACAAGAAGCCAATCGAGAGTTTGAGAACGTTTACCCTCGAGAGCGGCTTGCAAGAGATGGAGCGACGAAATCGAAGACGCAAGGACGCAGGTAGAGATGTTGATGCTACCAACATTGGCTCTCGACGCACCTCTGTCGACAGCTTAGAGCCTACGAGAAGCCCTGTTATAGGCCAAACTCATGCTCTCGAAGAGGTTGTAGAGGATACTGCATTCGCCATTGGCGATGACGATGATAGCGATGATGAGCCGCAAGCGACACCTGCTGCGTCCACTACAAGCGAGAACCAGTCACAAACGTCCTTGACACCAAACGTCGACGACTCTGTACCAGTGCAGCTACGCGGCATGTCGGAGAAGGCTAGAGGCAAACTGCCCGCGGGTATCAGGTCATTTTCCAGGCAAAACAGCACCACAAGCCTAGGTGGCTATTCTGTAGGGGGTCAAAGTGGCAGTGGCAGCTTTCAGCCGTCATCATACTGGATCGAAAGCTGGCTCCCAGAACTGCCACTGCACACATTTCTCGTCGTTATCCAACAAGTATCGAGTCTGCTGCCACGAAAGGCGGGCCAGGACATATTTTCGGCAGAGAGCATGCAGCGCATCCGGGAACTTGATCTTGTGGGTGTCGAAGCATCGCAAGTTAAGGTGCAGTCCTTTGAATGGTCACCGCTGTCACTTGGCTGGTATGAGTCGATGCTTTGGGGGGTCGTCTACGCAAGCGAGATGCAGATTGCAAAGGGTACCTCGGGAATCTGGACAGGGACTGGCGTCAAGTTGTTCCGCATTCAGGAAACCGCACCCACTGGCCCAACACTTTCATCGCCGCGAGGTGCAGTTGATGCCGTCGGCAGCAACATTGTCTCCCGTATTGGGCAAATTAACCTGCGAGGTGGTGCAGGTAGTACGGGTAGTGCAGCTGGTGGAAATGCCCCTCAGTAGGTAGGGAGCATTTGGGCCATGTCGACCTGTATGCATTTCATCAATAATTCATGATTTGCGTTGTATGATCTTTTCTTGTCGCAAATTGAGAATAACATAGGCAAGCAAGTCGTGGGAGCCTTCTTTTCAACTAGCACTTGTCTAATTAAACCATACCAGTAGCATTGAATTTGTGTCTAGTTTTGCGGCTCGACAGAACAGTACAGTCTTCACGTCTAAATGAACTAGTTGACCTTTAACTTTACTCAATCTCAGGCCGTACTTCGACTATTTGCCATGGTGGTCGGTTGAGCTGATTCTTTGTTTACTGGAACGTTATCGATAGGCAGCCACCAAGAATAGCTTTGTGTTGTACAGAAAACCTTTCTCCTCAAAATCACCCCATCACAATAGATTTGAAGAGAAGTTGGGAAAATCTGGTCTCTTGAGCTGGTAGCAGTCATAACTGTGCAATATCTACTGACACTTTATCACGCCCAGCCACGGAACCCGAAATCGTCGGCCCCCTCGCCCAGCATGTCAACTGAACCGGCCCTCCAGTCCCTTCAAAATAAATTAAAAGAAAATTGCTACCGAGACGTCGGCGGCTTCTTCAGATACTTCGAGGATCAGAGTTGGTCTGCTACTGTCCAGAATATCCTCCACCGTCCCGAGACAGCCGACCTGGTTGAAGAATTGTCCGCAAGTCTCTGGGATCTGCGTCGCTTGGATGCTATGGACGAGTGGTTTGCCACCTTCCAGTCCTTGTTCTTCGCCGCAGATCATCCAACCGTTCGCCTGAGAAGCGAGCCCATCATCACTTCGAGTTCATCATACCAAGCTAGTATTCATATCGGTTCTCATCATTTCTCAGCCGCCTCTGGCAGCACTCGTATCTACGGCGAATACCATCACGGCGCTGCGCCGATTTCGTCGACCGACGACGACGACTTTTTGCGCTTCGCTGAGCGTGCACTTCGCGTCTTCAACGCACAGCCAGCTCGCTACTTCCTACATGCATTCTTGATCCGCGGCAAAACCCTGGAACTCTGGGTCTTCGACCGTTCCGGCGCCTACAGTAGCGGAGTGCTGGATATCGCACGCGACCCCAACCTCCCGCTGCGCGTCTTGGCAGGTTATGGCATGATGAGCGACCAAGAATCTGGCATGAATATGCTCATCAAAAGTCTCGGCCCTGGAGACGGCTATTACATACTTCCTGACCGGACCCCAAAGCCTTTTCTTCAACCCTAGACGATTGCAGCACCCGATTACTTAGTCGGGCGGGGAACCGTCTGCTTTGCTGCCTCAGCATCTGCGGCCACGGAGCCGACCATTGTCGTCAAGTTTTCTTGGCGGGTTGACACCACTCCTGTGGAGCTTCGAGTGCTTGAGCGAGCCCGTGACCGCAAGGTCTGGGGAGTCCTCCGTCTTCTAGAGTGCAAGGACCTGGTTAACGTCGCCGATCTTCGCCATGCACTTGACTTCCCTAGGCTATATGTCAACCGGACTCTGTCTTGCGTCATAACCGAGCCTCTCGGCCGTCCTATTCGCCAGTTTGTGTCGCTTTATGAGCTTCTAGAGGTATTCCGTGATCTTGTCAAGGCCCTCAAGTCTCTCTATATAGATGGGAGTATTCTCCACCGCGATATCGCCATAAAAAATCTGGTCATTGCTACGAAGTACAACGAGGACACTTCCAAGGGCATCTTGATCGACTTTGATTTGGCGTTGGATCTCGACGAGGCTCCCGCCGTGCAACAGATGGTCGGGTCGGATGGGTTTATGGCCATTGGAATTCTCAGTGGACAACCGCATACGTACCGACATGATCTTGAGTCTCTATTCTACGTGTTTCTGTGGCTAGCCATCGGCAATGACTGCGAGCACGATCATGCTCATGAAATTCTGCAAACCCTGCCCAAGACATCTCGGCTTTGGAAATGGTGCTCGATGGACTTCAACGATGTTCGACAGGCCAAGGTTGCTGACATGAGCCCGGACGGCTTTGAGCATATCCTGAATGAGTTTTCAGCCAGATTTGCCCCGTTGTGCGGGCTAGCAACCGAGCTGCATCGGTTGATCTTTCCCATTCGCGACGGTGGCATCTTTACGAAAACCGAGACAGACCAAGCAGCCGTCGAGCGGCTCTATCAGGGAATAGGTGATGCTTTCAACCATTCCATCCTCGCACTCAAGGACTAGGCTGGATGTACAGTAATGTCCGGCGCTCACTATCAGCTAAACTTAGTGCACTGGTTTTTATTCTACCAATCGTGGTGCTAACTGGTTAGGCGCGCATAGTGTTTACTACCTACTGCGCCTGAGGGCTGTTTTCTGACGTAAAACGGCCTAAATACTCAAAGGCTTACCATAGGGGTAGAAAACGCGGCAGGGGCCGGAAATGCTTTTTAAAAGTAGACCTATTAAAATAACAATAGATAAAGTAATAAAGTGCTATATTATTATAGATAAATTCCTAAAGCTTATGAATGAGGAAATAAAGAAATTGAGTAGAAAATATATTCTAGAGAGAAAACCTTATGAATAGAGTGTGTCTAGAAATACGTTGCTCTATAATTTGTACTCTGATGAGGTAAGCTCCTTGACCTCGCTTTAGCTTCAACACCAACCACCCACCGCGTTTGAGCTTTGAGCCGTGGATAACGTCACCTTTCTTCAAATTGAGCGACTGTTCAATCTATCCACACAATTAAAACGCCCAAAACGAACTGTATCTACCGGTGAGCTGACCCGGAAGGATCATGCGAGCGCCACTGTCGACACTGCCGTGACACCTGCGACACGACCGGCCCCTAACGATACCAATCTCACGCCCATAATGTCGAATCGCTACGCAGCACCCCCGGGCCGCGGCGCCCCCGGATACGGCAACTTTGGCAGGTCCGAAGAGGAATATGATGCGTACGGTGACGACCCACGAAATAACAAGAGCCGAGGCGAGCGGTACGGTTCACCGTCGCAGGGTCCCCCTCCACCGCGCGGCGAGCGGGCCCCCAGCAACGGCGGCGGCCCCCCGCCCGCAGTGCGCAGCATGCCTTCGCGGACCCGAATGACGGCGTCGACGGCCGACCGGCAAATCACGCAGGTGTTGGAGCATATCCGGGTCGAGTGGCCGTCGCTGTGCAGCGAGGACTGCATCCCCGTGCAGCTGGCGCTGCAGCTGCTCGACGGGAGCTCCGTGGGCCGCGCGCACGACTACCGCAAGTTCCAGGAGACGCACGCGTACGTGCAGGACGCGCTCAAGAACACGGTGCACGAGCACCACCAAGGCTTTAACTCGTCCATTGGCACCTTCCACAAGATCCAGAGCAGCATCCAGGGCTCGCAGCGCCGCGTGCGCGCCCTCAAGGAGTCGCTCGCCAGCGCCACCACGAGCCTCTGCTCCACCGACCCTGAGCTTAAGAAGCTGTCCGAGACGTCCGAGGCGTACGACGACTTGCTGCAGACGCTGAATGAGCTTGATGAGCTGCGTGCCGTCCCGGACCAGCTCGAGGCGCGCATCTCAGAGAAACGGTTCCTGACAGCGGTGGGCATGCTGCAGAATGCGCTGAGGAAGCTTCGGCGGCCAGAACTTGATGGCATCGGCGCGCTCAGCGACTTGCGCAGCTACCTGGTGAATCAGGAGACGGCGCTCATGGATATCCTGGTGGAGGAACTGCATGAGCACCTCTACCTCAAGTCACCCTATTGCCAAGAGCGCTGGCAGAGTCTGTACAAAACCCAGGGCGCGTTTTCGGATGAGTTTACAGACACAAGTTCGATTACGCCATTCCACGCCATCTTGGAAAGCATGGATATTGAAATGGCGGTGACGGAAGATCCGATGAAGAACCCGGAGGCCGACACTTTTAATTATATTGCTTTGCTGGTCGAGGCGCTGAACAAGCTTGGCAGACTGCAAAGCGCCGTCGACACACTGAAGCAGCGAATGCCTGTTGAGCTATTCGCTATTGCCAACGAGACGAATAATGAAGTTGATCAGCGTCACCCCAGCTCGCTGCGAGGAGGAACAACAAAGTCCGAGGGTCTCAACATTTACAGCTCGCGAGAGACTCAAATGCGCGCTGAAGTCATTCATGACCTACTTTGGAGCCTTTACGGTAAATTCGAGGCTATTGGTGAAGGCCACCGCGTGTTCCACGAATCCATCAAGGCATTGATTCGGCGCGAAGGTGCAGGCAACAACAGCGCGCTACTAGGTAGCTTCAAAGAGCTCTGGAACCTGTATCAAAACGAGATTCGATCGCTGTTGCGCAATTACGTCACGACCGATGCAGACGTGTTCCAGTTTGACACGCCGAACCCTGGGGGCTCTCTTCAGGACAAAAAGGACGCGGCGCGCGAACACTTGTTCAAATTCGCCGGGATTGATGCCAAGTCGGTCGACATTAGCACAGAGTACGACGCGTTGGAAGGCATTGTGCAGGCCACTGTGCCTGGCCTGACGGGCAATGACCGTAAGCAAGGTGCCGATAAACGGCGGGATAGACTAACTCTGGATGATGGAGGCACACGCCGACACACCTTCGGCGGTTACTCGGGCGAAAGCAAACTAATGGGCACTCACAAGCCTTTGGTTGAGCCGAGCGTGTTCAATATGAGTCTACTTCTACCGCCAACGCTCATCTTCTTACAGCGTCTCCGTACGATTGTACCGCCGGGGTCTGACCTCGCGACGAGTACCCTGACAACATTCCTGGATAACTTCTTGGTGAATGTTTTTCAACCACAGCTGGACGAGACGCTTACGAAGCTGAGCGACAGCATCCTGGCAGAGCTAGATTCGTTTGCGCAGGACGCCAACTGGTCCCAACACTCTAAACTACCTATATTCAAGGGTACTGCGGCATTCTTCCAAATTGTCACGGCGTTTTGCAGGATGCTTGGCACGATTCCGCCTGACCAGGCCCTCAGCTCGCTGCTGGTGACACAGATGATGCGATACTATGAGCGGTGCTTTGACTGGTACAAGCTGCTCGTGACCAAGACGCAGGAGCAAACCAAGGACGCCAACAACCTCCGTGCGTCGGCGCGATTCGCTGTGCAGCCTGGTGAGATTCACGAGGTGATGAAGCAGATGTGGTTGTCGGACGAGGAGGATAAGGCGCTGAGCGAGAAGGAGATCCACCTTTTGATTGAGCACACCAACGAGTCGCGGCTGGAGCCGAATGACATCATCCAGGATAGAGAAACGATTACTTCGCTGTGCCTGCTGTATACGAGCATGAAGTGGCTGGCGACGAGAATTACGGGGCTGCGACATATCACTGCACATGAGATGGATTCGTCGCGGCAAAGTATGACGCGACAGGCAAACAGACGCTGGACGTTGATGAACGAGCCCAGCAAGTCGACGAATGAGACTGCTCCTGTTGTGCTACCACTCACTGTGGACACTGTACAGTACGTCAATGCCCAATAAGAAAAGACAAGACGGTTAAAATGCTAATCACTCGCGCGCAGGACCTTTGACAATCTGGTATCCTCGTACGAAGAACTCGCAGGCACGGCGCTGCTGACGCTGCACATGGAGGTGCGGTGTCGCATCGTGCACTCGCTGCGCAACACGCTCTCGCCAGATGTGGCGCCATACCTCCTCGAACAAGAGGTGCGGGAGCCGGACCCGGCGATTCTCAGCCTGAACCTGGAGCTGGTGCTGTTTGACGAGACGGTGGCGCGGTACCTGCGCGCGCGCGAGGTGTCGTTTATCCGGACGGGCCTGAGCCTGCTCATCAGCTCGTACCTGGTGGGCAACGCGGGCATGGCGTCGCCGATTAACGCGCGCGGCAGCGGCCGCATGCGGCTCAACATTCTGGTGCTGCAGCAGAATCTCAAAAACGTCGAGCAGGGCGTGGACTTGGCGCGCGCGGCCAACTATTACGCGCTGCTGGACCGCGGCGCCGACGCGGTGGTGGCGAAAGCGGAAGAGGACCGGGATAAGAAGATGGGCGAGGAGGCGGGTGCGACGCAGGCGAGCAATACGTTTACGTATGAGGAGTTGAAGGTGCTCTTGGAGCTGTGTATGAGTGAACAAATGGCGAGTCCGGATCGGGGTCTGGCGGCGGCAGCAAAGAGGCTGTTGGCGGAGAAGTTGCAGGAGTTTAGCGAGAAGGCGTGAGAGGGTGCCAACAAGGTCGGACAGGGTGATGGCGGCCCCGAGATGTGATGCGATGGCGGTTCTTGCAACGTTCCGATGGAGCATTTGATTTTGACTTATTTTTTGTAATTTTATAGCTGGAATACATGATAGTTGGAAGTCAAGATGAACGCGCGGGTCTTGAATGTCATTTTTGCTTGGAATTATCGAGATGGGTTAAATGGGTGTATTCAGCATTGTGATTCATCTCGATTGCCCGAGTCAGAGCCGATCCGGCATAGATTTCAATGCCGCCGGTTTTCGCATATGTCCATTTCCCATTCTGCATGACGGTTCATCTCGTGGCTTTTGAGCCAATGACGCTCTGCCGAGGCAGGGACCCCCCCTAGTCCGTCTCATCTTAGGTGAAACGCGGCATCAGCGTCAAGGAGGGTTGGTCCCGCGCCACAAACGCCCGAAGCTGACGATGCTGCTTGTCATCTTGAATTGCAGGAACGTCGACACTTGACAGGCGTCTGTCTCAAGACGAGGGGTCGTGTCTTGGGGGAGGGGATGGAGCTAAGCGAAGGCGGCTCGGCGGACCAACAAAAGCTGAAGAAATAAAAGCAGGATAGGAACTAGACCGAAAGCAGCATCGGAGGAATCTATTAGGGGGGATTTTTTTTTTCGCAGTATCTTTTTAAGCTTTGGGATGCGTCGATCTTTGTTTGGTTAGGTTGAGCAGCATCTGTGGGTTGTGGGCATTCCGACGCGCGAGTGTGCTGTGCATACCACGGATCAGTGTTTATGCAAAGTGGGGTTTCTCTGTGGTTGCGTTGAATTTCTCATGCGTTCATGTCGGGGACGGGAGATGAAGGGATTTATTATGCAGAGAAGTCGATTACGATGTTTTTTTTGCATGTCGCTCGGCAATGAGCAGCCTCACCTTAGTTTAAAATTCCCCTGGGGCTTGTTTCGAAAGAGGGTTAGATACGGATGACTAAGACCCGTTAGATAATTGTACATGCCAGTAACTAACGGATACGGAGTACATAGTTCATTGTTACGTGTATTTGCGTTGCGCCTCGTGGTCGTTCAAGGAACGGGAACATGTGGCGGCGGGTTTTTTCTGCAGCTGGGGGGGCGCTGGGAGGCTTGCAGCTGGCTGTGCAGGCGGCGGCCCCTGGGGCAAGGAAGCGCTGGTGGCTTGGAGCGGTTTCCAAGGAAAACGGAAGAGGTGACGCTGGTTGGAAAAGAGAGGACCCAAACTGGTTAGCAGAGCAAGGTGACGAAGGTTGCATTGCGTTGGCGCTGCTGTCAAAATAAACCAGTCAACATCATGTATTACCGGGGGAGCAACGTTGGCATCAACCAGATGGTTGCCCGCCTGTAGGGCAGACTGGGCAGTGCAAGCGGGCCACAAGAAGCGGCATGTGCGAATTGCATCTTGGGCTTTTGCGTCGAGAATAGATTGTTTACGACTGCCATCTCTTGGCAGGGCTGCGTAGTTAATTATTAAAACCGGGTTTTCCTTTTGTTTTCTTGTCAACGGAGTACAATCATTGCAAGGCCTGACGTAGCTCCCTGTCGCCTCTAGATTTCAGGTGCTAATTAATACGGATAGTGCAGTCTCAAATGAGAGCGGTACAACAGACGCCCATGTCTACTCCTATGCTTTTACGGCTGCTACTCGTAGTCGGTTAGGTACAAATTACTTCGTACAACAAAATGGACAGAAGGAAAATACTCGCAATATCCGCAGTGGAGGCCCCCACGGCATCATCCCACTGAAAGCCCAGGCGTCACCCAGTCGTGGCCTAGCAGGCCGCCGAAAGTGTCCACCAGTCCACCAAGAGGGTCAGCATCCAGCAGTGAAGGCGCCGGGGCTTCAGTGGTGTGTCCACTGAGACAAGCTGCCTGCAAGGAGAGTGGGAAGCCCTCACCACACATGTACCCCCCTTATCGAATGTGATCACCGTCCTCCACCCGTGGCTGCTTCCCCTGGTGCCACAAACTGCTGCCGCCTTCTGCATCTTCCATCCGGGCTTCTGTCGGCTCCAAGCTTGTCATCTGCATCTTTTCTTTCACTCTCTTTTTCTCTCTCTCGTTGTTTGTGAACTCCATCGGGCCTCTTCTTTCCGCGCCAACACACATACGCCCGCGCCCAACACACAAACCGTGTGCGGCTCCCCAGGATCCTCACCTCGACCTCCCCCCCCCTTTGTCCCCCTCGGCCGGACAGCCATCGAAGCGAACCACGGGCCCTTGGTCCTGTCTTACCTGCTTATTGACAAAGAACGTCGCCGACTGCCCCTTTCGCCGTCGTCCTACCGGTTCCTCTGCGACATATTACTCGGGGTTTTTTTTCTTCTCAGCCACGCTGACCGTTCGTTGTATCCCGCACACCGCACAGTGCCAGTGCCGGCCAAATTGTGACGCGACCACGGCCAAGGCATCGAGCAACAGCACCCATACGCACCCTTTGTCATCTGCCGACCCTGACGAATCCCACCTATTGTCCTTGGTCTTTGTTTGATACTTGATTGCAACATTCTTCAACAGAAGACGACAAAGATTCTTCGCCGCGAATTCATTCGGCGAGCAGCATGCCGCCCACAATGGCCAACTCGTACGCTCTCCCCCTGTCAGTCCTTGCGCGGAACGCAAGGCCTCAATCGCTCCCGACGTCGCCTGCTAACCCTGCCGGCAATAGATTTAGTACCGCCTTTAAGTCATTTTGGCACACAATGACTACGTATGATAGACGTAAGCGAGCCCGATTACCACAAACATGTTGGCCGCTGCTAACCACAACCCCGCCCACCAACAGACTCATCCTTTGACTCGCCTCAACGAACCGGCCGTCATATTCCGCTCCGAGACAGTAGAAGCGGCATGCTCACCGGTGTCGCCACTGCATCCGACTCCCGCGCCGACGTTTCCAACCCCTACTTTGACGAAGGCGCCTCCTCTACCCGCTACGAAGGCCACGGCGGCGCCTCCACCCCCAACGGCTCCTACTCCCCTGGCCTGCGCTCGTCCGTCGCCAAGCAAGCCAACGCTGACGGCTTCGAGGTCCAGGGCCAAGGCGATGTCCAGATGCAGGCCTTCTCCGACGGCCTGCCCCCACCTCCTCCCATTCAGCATTCCTGGCACCGTATAGACACCTGGGCCGAGGACAACTACTTTGAGCTCTTTGACCAGCTCGGTGAGGGCTGCACCATCAACGACCTCAACGACCTCGAGCACCAGCTCGACTGCTCCCTTCCCCAAGACGTTCGCGACTCTCTCATGGTGCACGACGGCCAAGAACGTGGCGGCACCCCGACCGGTATCATTTTCAGCGGCATGTTAATGGATGCCGAGGAGATCGTTCAGGAGTGGGAGACTTGGAGACGCGTCAATGAGCAGTACTTATTGGACGCGGCCAATAACCACCCTCCTCCCTCCAGCCAGGAAACTGGCGAGAGCTCCTCCCATCAACGCCCTCCATCTTCCTCCTCAAACCCCGACGCGTGGCAAGAAAACCTGCTCCAGAGGCAGCACTGTGTTCCCCCCAACAGCATTCGAAAGGCCTACGCTCACGCTGGCTGGATCCCCCTTGTTCGCGACTGGGGCGGCAACAACTTGGCCGTCGACCTGGCCCCTGGTCCCGCTGGCCGCTGGGGCCAGGTTATTCTCTTCGGCCGCGACTACGACACCAAGTACGTCGTCGCCCGTTCCTGGGGCGCATTCCTGGCTCTTGTTGCCGACGACCTCAACTCGGGAAAATGGTACGTTGACGAGGACACCAACGAGCTCAAGCTGCGCGAATTCAAAGAGACTCGTATTGAGCCATCGTACTTTAACATCTTGCGGTGGCGCATGGACCAAAAGCATGGTCACCGCGCAGCCGCCGTTGCCGCCGGCAAAAGGAGGTCCATGGCATCACCCAAGGGCGGATCTCCCCTTGGCAGCCGATCTGCCTCGCCATACATGAGCCCCGTCGACGGCCCCAACGGCGACACGCGCGGCCGCTCCATGCAGCGACCCACAGCATCGTCACCCTTGGCCAGCCCCGGACGCCGCGGATTTGGAAAGCCCCCGCCTCTCAGTAGGGTGACGGAGGAAATGGTAATGCCCATTCTACGCGACGCCCATATTGAGCCTTCCACGCTTGTCGAAGTCGACGAAGAGCCCGACTCTCCCGGTAGCAGCAACGACCTCAAGAGCCCTGTTAGCGCCACGACAAGTACACTGCTTACTGGCCGCCGCGACTCCAACCTCCATCGGGAGAAAGAAAACGAGCCGCCCAAGGCCAACGGCGAGCAGCACGAGGTTGCTGACGACGCCATGAAGACGATTGAGATTTAAAGTGTAAAGATACAAGCAGCATATTAGGAGTGGGCATTGAACAGCACGATTGCATGACTTGATGGTGTCCTGAGGCGCAGGTACACGCCTCCAGCCCGGACGTTTTAGTACCAACTGCTCTTTTTTTTGGCGTTTACGGTGTCGCCGATTCACTTCGGGAGGTGGACTCATTGCCTCGTGTGCACTTTCTTTTTGTTATTTTTATATCTAGTGTGCCACTGGCCTGGCAAGACTGGGCAGGCCATGGGGAGGATTGAACACCACGCAAAATGTTTGTTTTGATACGAGAGGGGGTTTCCTTCCTTTGCACAAATGGTGAATATGTACATTATTACGTGTGATGTACTGGGTTTGAGCTCTGCCAAGGACTTTATTCTTTTCTGTTAGGGACAGTGGCCGAGAACTTAGGCAGCCTGTACAAAGAAACCACCTTTGTTACTATTTTGCTTGCTTGCGCGGGTGCATGTTCTGACGACTGCGTGCAGGAACATGTATCAACTTTTTGCTGATGTTGTGAGGAAACAGGGAGGTCAGCCGCGTCTTCTCGGCCTGCACAGCACCAGCACCAACTACCATATCAGAGGCGCCTTGAAGTTCGCTTTCAGACACCACGCGACTCCCGACACGGTCTCCAACCGCGGCTTCGTCACCAAAGTCGTTGGGCGCGCCCCATGAAGCCACCAGCTGCTACCTCGTCCCGACCGTGGAAGCCGCTTGACCAGTTCCATCTTTACAATGGGACCTTGAAACCCAGGACGTGTTTTCGGCGCACTGACGACGCCGGCTAGCACGGCAACGGGCAGTGATGCGGGTAGTTAGTTGTAAAGCGCCATGTATACTATGTGAGCAAAATGTCAACGAGATGAAACTGTTTACAAGCAAAATGTGTGTCTCTTTTTTTTTTTTTTCTTGGCCTCTATAGCAAGTCGCGAGGTACTGATAAAAGTTCAAAACAAATTTGTCCCATCCCATCCCCGTTCAGCGGGGTCTATGCAAAACAAACAAAAGCTATATACATGAACGAAGCTGCTGGGCGATGACGGGCACTGCCGATCGTCTCCAGCCGCTCCAACACAACACCAAGGTAGATGGTTCCCCCAAGATCAAGCATCAGCGCGAGCAGCGCGGCGCAAAGCGCGCTTTGCCGCCGGAGGGGCAGCTGACATCTTGAAATCGGAAGACTCGCCCGGCTGGCAGCAGACACCGGCCGCCATGGGTTGGACGGCAGACCACATGCCGGCGGCGCAGCGCTGAAAGGACGTGCCGCCGATGCAGTTCCACTGACCATCGACGGTGCAGGCAGTGTTGGGCGGGTGGCCGCCGCCGCCGCCGGGGCTGGGGCCGGCGGAAGGGGTGGCGGGAGCTGGTGCTTGGCTGCCGGCGGAAGGAGCGGCGGGAGCAGGTGCTTGGCTGCCGGCGGAAGGGGCGGCGGGAGCAGGTGCTTGGCTGCCAGCGCCAGCAGAGCTACCAGCGGGGGCCGCCGGAGTGGGCGCCGGAGTGGGCGCCGGCTGGGAGCCGACGGAAGTGGCGAAGCCGCCAGGGGTACCGATCGAAGAGCCGGCGCCAGGAGCTGAAGCCGTAGGCTGGGCAGGCATGGCTGTGCTAGGCGCAGGAGCGCTCCCACCGCTAGGGGCAGCTTTGGGGGCTCCTCCTCCCGGAACATCGGGACACGCAGGTTTTATCGGCTTTTGTTGATCCGCGCTCCCGACCTTGAGCGGATGTTTCTCGACGTCGGTGCCAGGGTTGGGGAACTCAAGATCAGAGCCTTCCTTGAGTTTGCACGTGTTGATGTTGGCGACAAACATGTCAGGAAGACCACTCATGAAGTCCGGCGAGCCAGCGGAGCCAGTGACGGTCAGGGGAGCACAGTTCATGTACATTTCGCGGTTGCCGACCCTGTTGAACCAGGTCCAGGCAAGAGTGTAGTTGCCGGCAGAAAGCTCCTTGGGAATGGTGAAATCGTAGCCCTCGGGGATCGGATACTCTGCGCTCGGAGTCACAGGCATATTGCCCACTTGGTCCTTGGCAGGGCATCCTCCTTCAAAGGACTTGATCACCTTCCAAACAGAAGTTTTTGTGGGCTTGAGATCGGTGGTGACGGAGACTTGGCAGGAACCACCGCCGTGGACAGCTGTTCCTTTAAACTTCATGGTCTGCTTGCTCCCCTGTGCGTAAACGTTGCTCGCACCTTGCAACTCGTAGGCATCAAACCCTCCGCCGTTCTTGCAAGGGAAGTTGGAGCCGTTATCGTCTAGAGGGGCCTGGGAGAGCTTGGCTTTGCTGAAGGGTACGGGGTTGGTCATAATGATGTGGCCATGGGTCATGACGATCAGGGCGGACATGGCAATAGATTTGGCCAGCATTGTGAGTTATTCCGTGTAATGAGTCGCGTAGAAAGCCGAAATGATGCGAAGAAAAAAGTGCCAAGAGAGCAGATACCTTGGAAAGTGGTGCAAACGTCGATGCTGTAGGATATGTGAGAATCAAGGGTTCCAGGCCAGGTTTCGGTGATGGGTGTGATTGTGCTTGTTGAGGTGTGGAATACGCTCAGGATACTCGTTGCCTTTTATATGCGACATGATAACTAGAGGAATGACGCATGTGAAGAAGTGGTGCCAAGTGGTAAATAGTATGTTGCGTGTCAAGTCTCGCCAGCCGCGCGCAAAGAGTATAAAGGCCAATATAGGCAGTCACTGAGGATGGCTTAATGAAGGGAGTCGCGCGAACCTGGACATGCACTGTTTGCCTGCTAGGAATGGGGCCGACGTGAGGTTAAAAAAAAGCACAAAGAGCCGTAGATGAAACACAAGAACTAGGCTGCGCTCTTGGTTAAAAAAACACCATTAGTTCTTTCGTGGGGATCGAAGTGAAGGCGACGTGCGCCAGGCGTGTTACTGCAACGAGAAGGTGTGGTGGTTGGGAGGTTGTGAATGTAGAGGCCCAACCTTTAAACAAGCAAATAAAAGCAAAAGAAGCAAGAACAGTGATGAGCGAGTCGGAGGGAGAGAGGGAACATAATCAGACGGAGCGGTAGGGGACAAGTCTGATACAATGTTGAGGCCATGGAAATACCAGCGGAACCGACGCAGGATCGGTCACCAATGTAGACGGTACATACTACAAATGAGAGACAGAGAGCGACCAGCTCGGCAAACGCGAGCAGCCAAGAAGAAACAGTCCATGATTCATCGGTGGTGGCAAGGCAAGAAAAATGACGGCCGAGAGAATAGTAAGCCAGTCGCTGGACAAGATATCGGTTTCTTGGTGAAGCGCAGCGCAGGTACCAGACAGACCAGACAGACTACCAGTGCATAGGCGTGGACGGAGTGGTATGCAAGTGGATCAGATGGCGTCGAAACGCGGAGATCGGGACATGGATAGGTCAGACTGATCAACAAGCCTCCTTTCGAATCAATCGGGCCCTTTTCGGTTCAAAAATTGTGGTGATGGGCTGCTAGGCGCGCGACTTGGACGGAGAGTGGAATCGGCGCCAATTAGTTTAGCCAAGCATGGATGTATTTCCCCCGCGAGTAAAGTTTTGACGGATTTTCTTTACCACGTCGTTTCCCTTGTCTTACTATCCTCAACTCGATATGTCGGGCGGGGACAAGACAACTAGACAGGGGATCGGCGCGGCCTGGCTCAGGGCGGAACGCACCGTGGGGGGAACAAAGGCGGCGCTCGGCAGTCTGGTGCAAGCCCTAGTCAGCTTTGGTGACGCCGGACACAGGTGACTGAACTGGCCCGTGACGCTGGAGGATGGCGAAACAAGTGGCCCATGGTGATGGATTATGCAAACGGAGGTGTAGATGGCCTATGTTACTGGTTCACTAGGAGGTTGCCTGACGTCTGGAGTTCTTGGCCACTTACATGGTCGCAAATACACCTCTTTTGGGAAGCAGATCAAGGCATGAGAGTGTCGCTTGTCACTCTGGTTGATGGCAAGATGTGACGAGAGTGATGTGGCTAGTGATGATGATGGTAGGAAACTGAGCGAGACCAGCTGCTGACGAGGTCCCGCTTTTCAAGTTGCCTACCTCTAGATTCTTATTCGTGTTGTCAACGACCACCGATTCACTGGCTCGTTGAAACATGAACCAAACGGCAGATGCAGTACACTGCTAGTCAGCGTTGTTGAACAACAATATTCTTGGCGAATGCATATCAGTTCCAGTTGATAAATTATACAATTTATTAACTCGTGACTCTCTTCTTCTGCCGCCAACACGCAGGGATGGCGTCAGTGGTGGCTCGTGGCTGGCGGACCCCTGTAAGCCTTGAAGCCTGGAGATCAGTGAACAAGGGCCGTCGCCCGCAACAATAACTAACACTGGTCAACAGTGGTCGGTTCAGTTCTCTGAATAATCACGCCATTTCTATTACCATGCAATCATTTTCAGAACTTTACTCGCTTTGGCTTCCAGAAGCGCGCTTCTTCTGAAACTCATTCTAGTTTCAGATTCGTCCTCTCGACAGCGCGTGGAAGCTGACAAAGGGGTAGCATCAGTCGCTGCCTTTCAGCAAGACCCTCCCCCCAACGGCGCCAAATGCCTTACGACAAGGTTGTCAGGGTTGGCTACCTAAACATTACGTTATGTTAAGTGGTCTGGAATAGATGCATGTATATCATGTATATCCTCGCGTAATAACGCGCCCATAAGCCTGGCATGTCACTGCCCGCCGCCAAGACGTTTCTGCAAGGAATTATATTATGAACAAGGAAATGCGATAGAACAAAGGCGACCCATGTCCTGGTCCAACTACAAGAACAATAAGAACCCAAAATGTCTAGTCTGTCATCATGGCGGCTCACTTTTGGAACAGTCTCGACAGACCAATGGCGTCAATTGTAGGCTCTACTCAAAGTAGGAAAAAAAAAACAGGCTGCTGATGCTGCCATCTACAGTCACCCATCGACCGGCATCCCATTCTGCCGCCCCGGGCCAGCCAAAATCACTGCACCCATTCCTTCATGTCCCCCTCGCAGTACCCGTTCCTCGTCCACAGCTTCATGCGGTCCCTCTTGAACTCCTCAAAGTCCCACTCGCGCGCCTCGAGCTCCTTGGGGTGCAGAAACACGTACGTCCTCGTCTCCCGCTCCGCCGCCTCGTCGTCATCAAGCCGCACCCGGACCGTCTCCAGCCGGTACTCGGACCCCTCGTAGTCGTCCAGCTTCTGCATGTTGGCCGTCGTCAGGCCCGTCACGTACACGCCGCGCACCGACCCGCCCGCTGCCGACACGATGCCCGGGTAGTCGGCGGCCCGCACCCGGTGCCGGCAGAACCCGGCGAGCACCGCGGGGACAAAGGCGTGCAGCGCCTGCACCGCCGCCGGAGGGGACTTGGTGCCGTAGCACACGCTGAAGAAGACCTCGGGGGCCATCTGCGCGTCTTTCTGTTAGTAGGGTTTGTCGGAGACGCGGGCCTGCGGAATTGCTCAGCAACCAACGTACCAGCGTGCCTGGGAGAGGTGTGTTAGCAGTGGGAAACGGGGCGGTTTGGCGGGGTGGCCTACGTACCATAGAAGAAGCCGGTGAGCTCGCCACTCATCTTGCGCGACCGTGTTTATACGCAAATAACAGAGGCTACCGTCTTTGAAAACTCTCTCCTGAAGCCACGCGACGCGAAACTGCCGTGTTGAGGGATGATGATGCTGAGTGATGGTTGGGTGCCTGGTTATCTAAGGGCCGAGCTGCTCCGATAATCGCACGTGGGGTAATGGGGGAGCCGCTCTGTGACACAACAAAGCAGAAGTTTCAAGTTTTGAATCTATTTTTTATTTATTAATTTGACACTATTGTTGAGATTACAGTACTCTATAAAAACTTACCGCTCAAGTTACCAGGTACTCTCCCTACACTGTCTACAGATATTGTGTTGGCGATGAAGCCAGATCGCTCACTTCAGTCCCCGCCTCCGTTTTGTTGATAGTCTAACCATGCCTCTAGACTCTAAAACGCGTCAAGTGGGAAACCCCGTCTGCGTAGTTCCAGTTCATTCCCGTGCCCCGATGCCGAGAGCCCGAAACCTCTCGTCGAGCCCACTGCCTCTCAGATCGTTGAGCTCCTTGAGCAAGCACGCGGCCGCAATCACGCGGAAGCTCTTGAGCTCCCCGGTCCCGCGATCCGGTGCCTTGACTCCGTCGGCCGGCTTGGAGCAGCCGACAACCAGGCACGCCCAAGACAACCGGAGCACGCTGTAGTCATCCTCGTCGCTCTCGTCGCTGTAGTACACATCCTCATCGTCGATGCGTTCAACCCCATCGCGAATGAGCTTGGTGATCCACGTCATGACCCTGTCCGTCTCATCTTTGAGCTGGATCGACGTCTCACGCTGCTGCCGCGACTGCACGCCTCTCTTGTTGAGAATCGAGCCGCAAAAAGCTTCTGCTTCCGTGATGTGGCTTCTCGAGTTCTCTGAAAAGTGCCACATGTTTTCCGAGATGGAGTCCTCGTACCTGTTCCGCGTCAGTTTCGAGTGCACAGCCCGAACACGGGAGTCAGAGCGGACTTACAGTGCGCGGATCTTCCATGCTCGTTGGCGATGACTTTCGTAGTACATGTTGATCCGGCGCAGGTTTAGTTCAGCCTGAACTCGCTCCAGCAGCTGCTCCCACACAGATGAGCTCAATTTAGGAATAGACCTGTAAATATTCTCGCTCCAAATTTTATTCTCGTCGATGCCACGATACAGATGGCCTAGGATCTTTTCGGATCGATGATACCTCGGCTTGGCGCTGTTCATATCGTTTCCGTCATCATCGTCGTCGTCCTCGGCAATGTGGCTGATTTGACCAAGGTCATAAAGAAAAACCGGAGGAGCGGGGGCGAGGCTATTCGTCAACGTTAGCATTGCGCAATGGAACAGTATAACAAGGAAAGTCGCGCTTACAAGTCAGGGCGCGAGCGCGGTGCCCGGGGCATGTCTCGCCAGTTCACCGCAATCCCAGTCTTGGAATAGTCGACGGCGGTCGAGTGCATCTCGGCCAGCTTGATGCAGCTGGCGTCACTAGTTCCTGCCTCTTGCACGTCAGCCAGAATCTGGTGTCTGGTGGCAATCAGCCCCAGAATATCCGACCTCATGAAGTCAATAAAGAAATTCGCAATGTCATGGCGGGTAACCGGTCTATCTAGGGAGGGAGGAACAACGCGTGTGTAATCGGCCGGATCAAATGTATGTTTGGGGTACGCCTTGGGGTCCCAAATGACATTGTACAGGTCTCCGTCAAGATCTCCCCCGCTCAACTGACTTGGTAAATCACGGGATCCTCTCTGGCTAAAGGCAATGCAGTTTCTCAAGCTCTTCAGCGGGTGAGAGTCGGGAGGTGTCACCATTTTCGCAATCTGAATATCGCCAGGGTGTAGAGCGGGCGATCGAGTTACAATGACGGGACCGTCAATCAAAGTGGCATCCATACGCTCCCCGCTCTTTCCCCGGGTTGAGTCAAAGGTGATATAAACTTCATTCTCGCCGAGGAAACCAGTTTCATCCATGACGCCGAAAAGGGTCACTCCCTTAGGGACGGGAATCCGGGCTTTGTGCTTCAACAGTCGCAGCTCGCGCAGCACAACGTGTTCGACAACCGACTTGAGAAACGTGTCGTGGCGGTAGTCAATGTCCATCTTGCTCAGTTGCTTGATGAAAGACGGTAGACCAATAGCGCTGCCAATGTCCTGATATTGCAAGAAAGTGCTGGTGTTCAGAGGTGTGGCGGTGACGGCCCGTAGGAAATCAAGTGCATCGTTTTGAAGTGCAAGAAACCACGAGGCACTGGTCCCCATGTCTTCCAGAATCTTAATAACTTGACGATTCAAAACTAGCCGCAATGGTCTTGAAGCTACATCACAAATCCCAAGCTCTTTCAGGTCTTGGCTGGGAAATTTCATCATCGATTCCTTGCGCACGCAAATGACCTTGCCCGGCAGTCTCGGATCAAGCACGAGCAGACCTTTGACTCCCGCCCAGCGGATCTGAAAACACGTCACACCAGCAGATCGCTTGGGAAGTGCCTTCCAAAAGTCTTCCACGGCGCCCCACGAGATTGTGCCCACGCCATCGCTGAAGACGCGGTTTCCGTCCGCTGATTTGACGTCTGGAATCCATCGAACGCCGATTCTGGTCTCAAACAAGTCCACAGCATAGGGGGTTTCTGAGAACGCCTGACCAATTCGGGCTGCGCATTTGGCGGGGGTCAAAATGTCGCTAAAGTTGCCCAGGACGGCGAGGATGGTGTCGCGGTTTTGACGCTGCCCATCTGCGTCAATGAATGGGGCCAGGAACCAGGTTGAGTGAGAGCGGAGTGAAGAGTGGGAGAATCCCAGGAAAGAAAAGTGTCTGCCAGCGATACGAATGCCCTTTGTGAGAACTTCGCGGAACCGCTCGTATATAGGGTCGTTTGAGACCCGGGGGTTGAACGCAAGACGCTGCCCATCTTCGTCGCAAAACGAAACGCGGAGAAACTGGTCACCACGATCGGGAAACATTCGCAATACCCTGTTGCGACTCTCCGGATCGGGACCTTGCAGAGAAATGCGTGTGGGAGACACTATCGCTTTGAAGACCCAAGTTTGATGTGGCGGTATGCTTGGACCGTACACTCCTGACCTGGACAGATCCCGGCTTCGGAGGCCGGCCTCTTCTTCCGCCACGCTTTGCAGAAAGGCCGCCGGATTGACTTCCACCGGCTCTATACCTGGAGTGGGATACGGGATTAACCGTATAATCTTCTTCATGGCCTCGGCTGTAAACGGCGGCGTCCTGCTTTTCCAGGACGGATCTTTGGCTGTTCTCTCGAGGATTTGGAGCACAGAAAGGCCGCCTTCAGGGTGAAAGTAATTGTTCCAGACAAGCGTCTCGACTTGAAAGAGGATTGCAAAGGGAATTGACGCGGTTCGCACATCGCCGAAGCTTTGCATCTTGCCCTCGAATGCTCGCATACCCGTCACGTAGTCCTCGACGATGGGTGTCGGGGATTTTATAAGCGGCATTTTTTCGTATTCGAGGGACAGGATGTCTTGCTGTCGAAGGGCGGCAATTGTTGGATAGTAGTCGGCAGCAATCATCAGTTGGTAGACCAGGCAGTGGGCCACATACTTGGGATGGTCTCTCCACGAAGGAAAACTTGTTTGCCGCTCCCACTTGCTGCCATCGTCATGACTTGTCTGTTGAGCGAAAAATCTAGGGGACACTTCCAGTATCAATGTCATGCTCTGCGCCCCGGGGTCCAACACGAGCCCATGGATGGCGTTGTACGGCACGTCCATCCGAGCCACGCCCTCCTGATGCACCACCAAGGACTGGTAATCAAATCTAGCATAGGCGTTAATGCGGTGCTGAATTTGCTGTACATATTTCAACTCCATTTCTGGCGGCCCAAATATGATCTTGCCACATGAGATGCTGTTGATAGGACATGAGATGGCCGATGCTCGCTGGCTTCTGTCCGGCTTCTTTTGACGCGCATCGCGCTCGTGTCGAAGTTGACCCAGCGTCAGCGAGGCCACCCTCCTTTTGCTCTTCTCCGCATAGATGGGCGTTGACAGGAGATGCAGCCGCGCCACTGCGCGAGTACGAGCGCCGGAGACGGGGGGGCTCTTGGGATCCGGCTTTCTGAGATCCGGCTTGCTGAGATCCAGCTTGCCTTGGTCCGGCAGAGCGCCCTCTTGGCCGGGTATAACCTGTTTGCCGTGTCTTTTCAGAAACCTGACACCGTCGTCTGCCTTGAGGAAGGAGATCCAGGCCATGGTCTTTCGCTTGGGTTTATCGACAATCCAGTCGACAATGCCGAGAATTGTCAGAAAAGGCTTGAGCTCTTTTCTGAGTTGGTCTTCAGGCAGAGTCTGGGGAACGTTGCTCAAAAAGACTTCCATGATATCTCATCCATGGGGCTTCCAACACCCTGAACTCCGGACAACCGAGAGTTTAGACGGCGAGGTCGGTATGTGAACAGGAGTGCTACAGGTAAAATATTTCTCGCTCAAGGACATGAATCAAGAGACAAATGAGGAATTAGATATACAGCACCACTGTCGTTTGGGAGGGTAGATTTGTTGATTTGTTGCTCGAAGATGGCTCGCATGGAAACTCGTGTCCCCGAGCTTAGCCAAAGCCCCGCATCGGCCCCGCTCACCGCTCCAACTGAGACATCAAACAATTTACTGCGTATGCACAGCAACATGCTGGTCTCGGTATGAGGTGCATGAGTGCCTGTTAACTAGGTATGTATTCGTAAGTTAATTGAGTTTCACACTTCAAGTTTGCTAGCGGGGCTGTTGGTTGGTGATAGGAAGGCCGGGTAGGTTGGAAAGGACCGAGTTCTAAGTTCTGACATTGCAAATCAATTCTTATACCCTTTTGGCACAAAGGGCATTTTGCAAACCAGTTTCTTTAGCCTCTGATGAAAAAGTGCGAAATGCCCAGCAATATATCTAACTAGCCGCCGTTGTCGATCGTTGGCGGGAGGACGGGACGCTAAACCTTAACATGTGCTCACATCGTAGGGGATAATGACCGATTGCTACACCCACTGTAGGTACATATCTATGTATGGTTCGTGCGGTCTCGCTAGTGTGTTTTATGATATTTGCAATTGTCGGGAGGGGAGTTCCTCAACTGCTAGGCGGAGCAACGGGCCATGGTTACGGAAACTCGCATGTGCTACTTGTTTGCTCTGACATTGCTTCACAGGATGGTATACATCCAAACAGTGATTGCACGGAATTCCTGGTTAGTTCCTATTTAGTTCGGTGCCACGGTGCCAAGGCGGACCAGTGTTGGAAAGTCCGCACTTACACGCTTGACCCAGTTGACGTTGCAGCGCCATGCCGCTGTTGATGACCATTCTTACCACGAAAATTGACGAAAGGATGGAAATCAAGGAAATAAGAGGGAAACGTTATTTTAATGCTCGGTGGTTCCCATTTCTCGATTGCTATTCACTGCGAACCTGTAATTCTGTCTCGACAGATGTGAGAGGAGCTGCCTATTTTGAAGCTGCCTAACACGATGAACTAGGTGGTCATAATAAATAAATGTATACACCGTATACTATTATTCTTCGATATCTGATTCCACCACCTCCTTCGCCTCCTTTTCACTACCCTTTTTCCTCGGCCGCAGCCACTCCTCCATTCCCAGCGGCCAGTACACGCGATTCTCCGGCCCTCCCATGCCAAAATCCTCCGCCGCCACCACCGCCTCCCCGCCGTTTGTTTCCCCCTTGGCCCTCTTAGCCGCCGCCTTTTGCGCCGGCCTCGGCTCGTCATCATCCCGCTCGTACGGGACAATGTCGCGCGCGCGGTCCCAGCCCGGCAGCCTGTACGTGCGCATGAGCTCCAGCACGGCCTGCTCCTTGTCCTTGGCCTCGATCATCAGGTCCATGTCGCGCGCGCACGGCGGCAGCACCTTGACGCGCGGCGCGTGCTTGCGGCGCTCGCGCGGCGTGACGGCGCCCGCCGTCGGCTCGCTGTAGTGCATCTTCTGCGTGATGCCCTTGCGCGCCCACGTCGCCGCGATGCGGGGATACAGCGCGGCGATGTCGAGCGTGCCCTCGCGGAGGCGCGCGGCGTCAAAGACGATGTTGTGGTGGTGGTAGTCGAGCACGAGCGGGATGTCGAGCTCCTCGCAGACAGGCAGCAGGTCGTGCACGCTCCACGCCACGTCGTCGTTTTCGAGCACGAGCCGGTCCCGGACCCCGCGCGGGAGCCGGGCGTAGTTGGCGCGGAAGCGCGCGAGCGTCGCCTGCTTGTCGCCAAACGTGCCGCCCATGTGGATGATCATGACGGCGTCGCGGTCCTGCTGCGGCGGCAGCCGCAGCAGCGACAGCAGCTCGTCGTGGTACGCGAGGTCCCGCAAGGACGCTGCGACTACCTCCGCCCGCGGGCTGCCAATCTGCGTAAACTGGCCCGGGTGCGTCGTCAGGCGGTGGCCGAGCGTGGCGGCGACCCGGCCGGCGGCGGCGAGCGCGTCGGCGGCAAACGGGGCCAGTTTGTAGCCGTACTCGGCGTGGCTGGCAAAGGGGAACATTTCGCTGCTGAGGCGCATGAACTTGATGCCGTACTTTTCGTTCCAGCGCAGCATCGGGATGATGTCGCGGGCGTTGGCGAGGCCCAGGCTTTGGACAAACAAGAGGCCGCGCGCCACCGAGGCCGGTTGGGACTTGTCGGGCCTGTTCTTGGTCGGGTGTTCGGGCTGTGAGGGGTCGAGAAGCGGGTGGCGGTGTTCCAGGATGGATGCGATGCGACATGTCCTGGATGAGAATACGGGCGGGTTGGCTGTCCTGAGATAGGTATTCAAACAAGCCTATGCATGTTAGTTGTGCTGGGGACGGGGAGCGCGGAGGCCGGAAGCAATATATCTTCGTACATATCCTAAGCGTCCGGACCACGGCAGTGGCAACTCGTCGCTGTTGACAGGCGGAGGACGTCTGGCACCTCTCTCGGCCGACGACGCTTCCTCGTCATTGCCAGCCTCGTCCTCTGCACTGACGTCTCGCACTGGTGGCTTCCGCGCGGCGCGCGCTTTCTTGGGCTTCTCGACGACTTTGATCTCTGATGTAATTTCTGTTAAAGTCTCGGTTGCTTCGTTTTTTGCTTGCAGGGTAGATCGTCGTGGGAGCTTGCGACGCGTCAACGTGGCTACCTCGGCGGCGGCCACGACCGTTTCTACGACGGCCGCTTTTCGCTTTGGTGCCATGATTGACGATGACAATGACAATAATCGCGAGTGTTTCAATGTCCCAGCGGTTAGGGTCCCGCGACAACAACTGAGAATATGTCGAAAGAATCGCATGCAGTGTCGTGGACAAAGATCTGCTGCCGTTTGAAGTAGGTGTAAAAGATTCAACAAGTAAATATGTGTCAAGAAAGTAGGCAGTAGATGTAGGGATGAAAAACAACAGGTTCGGAGCGATTTGAAAAAGTGAAACCCATAGAAAGGAAGAAATGAGACTGAAATGTGCTCAAGTCATCAATTGACGATCGAAGGCTTGTTAATCTCGATGTCGGATGTCGACCGCCACCCCAGATCCCGCGCCCCGTAAGCTGGTGATAGAATCGGGCATGTACGGGAATGAGGTACGACTTTTCTGAAAATTGCTGACTTCTTCTCCTTGAATATCTTACCACTATTGCCTCTTGATTTTTTTTTCTATTTGAAAATTCAACAACTTGCCATCGTTTCTCTTCCTCGGACTGCGAATCTCGAGATCGATGACGCTCAAAATGTGGGACTCGGGATGAGGCAAACGACCAAGACCATGCAAACTATGACGGGAAGAGACATGACTGGGATGAAAAACAGTCTCAATGAATATTGCGTTCTCATGGTAAAAAGTTAGTCATATTTTTTTACAAAAAAAAAATACTACTGAGCTCGACTAGCCAAGCGACTCCAACTTGCTGGCTTGCACCAACACTGCCGCGACACTTTAATGCTCACAGAATCCAAACTCGATCGACTTGAGGTCACTCACAAACCCATCCTGCTCCGTCCTCCTCTCCGCCATGAGCCTCTCGCGCACCCTCTTGGCCTCGGCCTCGTCGTACGGGAAATCAACATGCTCGAGCACCATGCCGCCGACCACGGCCGGTAACCGCAAACGCTGACGGACATAGCCCTCGCCCGGCCACCAGTGGCGCTGCTGCGGCGGCACATTCGCCGTCGAGATGACGGGGATCTGCGGGTCCACCAGGAACAGCGCCAGGATCTTGCGGTGCCCGGGCCGCGTCGCGTCTTGCAGCGCAAACGGCTCGACGCGGTGCAGGAAGAGGTTGGGGAAGAAGATGGCGCGGCCCGCGCGCGTCGTCACCGACCCGACGTCCTGCAGCGTGCTGGCCTCGTGGCTCTGCTCCACGGCAAAGGTGTGTGCAATAGAGCGCACGTCGTTTTGCAGGTAGCCGAGGTCCCTGCCCAGCTCCTCCGCGTCGGCAGCCGTCCGCAGGGCGAGCCGCGACTCGGTAATGTTGTCGTTGTCGTAGTAGTACAGCGCCGTGGCGACAATGTGCTCGTTTTGCTGGCCTTCAATGTGCCAGGAGCCGCCGTCGTAGCGCGGCTTGTCCGGTGACAAGTGAATGTTGGCGAGCTTGACAATGACCTGCAGCCGGCTGGCGTTGTCGAAGAAGCCCGCCGTCTTGACCTTGTCTTGGTAGGCATCGGTGGCGGGGACGCAGGGTTTGACGTCGGGAACTCTTACCGGGTGAGTTTCGTTGAACCATTGGTTGTCGAGCTGCTCGCGCTCGGAGCCTTGGTAGTCCTCCTCGTCGTAGTCCTCATCCTCTTCCCTCTCGGCCTTGCCCAATAGCCGGCTGGTGGGAAGGCACTCATACTCCGGCTTGCAAACGGCCGGTGTCGTGCACTCGAAGCCAACTTTCATGGTAGACAGACGCTGGTACCGAAACTCTGTGGGCCAGCGATACACATAATCCCACGCTGGCAGAGACTTGGAGATGAACTCCTCAATCACTGGATACAGGCCTCTGTGCTTAGTGGGATGCAGGTTGTTGATGTAGCTGGTGATGCGTGCTTTGCCGTCTTCGGTGAGCTCGACATTGCACGGTAGCCACTGAAAGTTGATGGACGACGTCGCCACTTCCCGATAGCTCCAGAAGGTGGCCGGTCTCTGCTCACTCTCGTTCGGTTTTGGAATCACCTCGCCTGCGCCGATGAAGCTGAGGCAGTCATGCAGACTAATTTCATCATCTGGCATAATGCGTGTCCTGCCGAACACCAGTGGCCACATGGATGGATGAACGAGGTCCAGCACCTTTCCGTCACTGCCGGGGTGCCAGTCTTTGGCGGACTCTGGCACGTCCTCCAGAGGCTTCAGCAGCTCAATCAGCTTATCGGTCAATTCGGCGTCGAGCAGGCTGTCTGATTTGAGGACACACGCCGAGTAGTCAAACACGGGGATCAGACCTGTCTGCTCGTACATGTCTGCTTTCAGGCGCAGCTCCTCAATACACTGTGCACCACGTTAGTAACTAGAGCCCTGCATTTAAAGAAATTTAAAAAAAAAAATCAGGCGGAGACTGACGGCATCGGCCATGTTTGGCGTAAAGTCTGCATATTGATGAAATGCTTGCCAATCCATGGCCAGCATCTCTGCCCTCCATTTCGCCGCAATGTCAGAGTCGCGGACCTTGCGCCACCACTCGGGCTTGTTCGTCAGACTCTCAACCGCCTCTAGCATGCAGTACTCCCGAATGAGGAGTGTTTGAGCCCTCCAGCCAGAATCTCTGTCGGCGACCAGGACAGGAAAATCGGTATTTTTTTGGCGGCGCGTGATGCTCATACCGTACCCAGGCAATTTCACTTTGTGTGTGCGAGGGGGGGTCGCTGGCCGGACCGGCGGCGGGAGAAAAGGAGCAATTTCCCGGATTGGGGGAAGCTCTTTTCTAGCATAGACCTGTTCGATGACGTCGCTCAGTACATGTTCGGGAAATGATTGTGAGAATTTGAGACGCAGATAGTCGTTGGCTTGCTTCAGCGACGGGGGTGAACTCCAGCTGAATAGATTCACCCAATTCCTAAAAACCTGCTCTTGGTCTTCAGTGAAGCCGTCGACGGAAGGGATGTCCTCTCGAGCGTCCATTTTCAAGACTTTCCGGGGGGCTTTGATGGCCAAGTAATGCTGGATGAACGGACTCCGTTTTGAAGAAAATCGAGTTCTGCTTTATACTTCACGATCCTCTGGCCATGGCACCTAGCGAGGTGGAGGTGCCTCCAACTTTCAGCTCCCCCGCACGGCTGCCTAACATTATATAACCCTTGGCATTTGGGGTAAGGAGACCAATAGGTAACTATTATGATACGGATATATTAGGGCAAGATAGAGCATTGGCAGTGGGTGCCCACCACCTTTTGCTGGCACACTCGTTTAATGCGATGTTTAACAGGTACAATACCCAGTATGGTGTGGTGCTGTCGCCTGTTTCAGGCGCCCCGCTCCCAAGTTAACTAAGCCCTCTGCTCCCACATCACACGACGCTGGAATGTTCGCCGTGCAATTATCAGATGAGCCAAGGCAATTCTTCTCTTGAATCTTGCGTCGGATTTGCAAACCACGAGAACCGTCAGATACCCAGGAGTGATGCGGGCGATTGGTCGTTTCCATGATTGAATCTACCTTGGTGTGTGGAGAGCTGGTATTGGGCCATATCTTACTACACCATCATTCAGCTGGCATCTGCTGCGAGTTGTCAACCTGAGAATCCAGTGAATTCCAGTGCAAAAGAAGAACAATGTGAGTGCCCCTGACCTCGTTATTCGATGTGGGGATGCAGCTGCCAGGGGTAAGATGAATGAACGAAACGGGCGGACCGCGACGCGGCGTCGGATGATTTCGCGTCTTGCATCTCCAACCAAAATGGCGAGCCCAGAACCAGACATCAAGATCCCCCCGTCGTCCCAATCGCATTTTGCCAAATTCGAAAACTTTGCGCCCGACGATGACGCGCCCTTTGAGAACGAGTTCGCACGCCTCGCCGCCTCCCAGGAATGGGTCCCCGGCTCCCAAGAATACGCCAAGGAGCGCACCATTGCCATGCGCTCCGAGCTCAAATCGCATTTCTTCAAGTCGTCGCAGGACCCCGAAAATGCCCTCGCCACCATTACTGAGGAGGACGAGCTCGAGGGGTACCAGGCCCTGTGCGACGAAGTCGACCTGCCTCGGTACGACACCACCGACGAGTGCAAGAAGGCGCTGAAGAAGACGCTGGTCAATATTGTCGACTTGATTGACACGCGGCGAACGTCAACCAAGGTCAAGGTCTGGCAGGACTTTGCCCAGTTTCGAGACTATACGCTCCAAGACGGCCACATGATCAACAGGGAAGAGGCGAAGAAGGATGGCGGATATCTGGCCTCGCTGCTACAGCAGCTATTTCCAGAACGTCGAGGCCGGAATCGAAGACGAGGTGGGAGGGGGGCGGGTGCACGCAAGAGTGACAAGGTCTCCGGGCGCGTAGTGAAAAGGGAGCGAAAGTGAGTTGCTTTATTGGCGATTCGAAGGGTCGGGATCAAATCGTGTACTTGTCAGCAAGCCAACGGGCTGCCTCCCACCGTGGAGGACTGTCGTTACAGAATTATTGCGATATCCTCACACCGATCGCGTGAATCATTTACTGCAATTATGAACATGACTCGCCTTGTTACTTGGCTACTTTGCCGGCACAGAGACCGGTTCTAGTCAACCGACTTTTCTATTCGTACCAGCAAGTCACCCTTTTCAACCATGTCACCGGCGACTACGGCCATCAATGCTATACATCCGCTTACTGGGGCACTCACATGGACCTCCTATTCAAATTAGCCGCCAGTTATCGAGAGATCCAGCTTGCTTTTTGTACTGCTTACCATCTTCATGGCGCTCACAACGAGCAAAACTTCGCCAGCCTCTACCATGTCCCCGGCACTCTTCTCCACAGCCACAATCCGTCCGACCATGGGCGAGGGCACATCTTCCTTGACATCTGGTCTCGCCTTTTCAAACATGTGCGCCACAGTCGCTGGTTAAAAAAAAAATTAGCCGAAAATTAGGGACAAATCTGCTACCAGCCTTCCTGCCTTACCACTGTCGTCCTGCACCTCGACGAAGCACACCTGTCCATCAAGTCGAAATAAGACGCTGCGTTGATTCGATCCTGGCTCGGGAGGCAAAATGGCCAGCATCTTTGCCATGATAGATTTCTTGTCTCCAAACTGCAGCTCTACCTCCTGACCAATTTCTGGGCAAGATAGAAAGTCTGGGGTAGACAGCACCGAGAGGTCGCCGTGCAGACGACGGTGTTGGCGGAATTTCATGTATACCTCTGGAAACATGGTGTAGCTGGCCACATCATGCCCCGTCACCGGCATCCCCGGGAACTGCGACGCGATGTGCCGTCGAATACCGTCAAAGTCCGCCGAGACGGGCTCCAAGCCCGCCTGCGCAATTCTGCTCGCTTGCCGCCCACAAAGTACATGACTGCGCAGCGGCTCCGGGAACCCATCGAAGGGGCGTCCCATCAGCCCTCCAAAATACTCCAGCACCGACTGCGGTAGATCCAGCGTCGAGGCGTGCTCCCGGATGGCCGACGCGGACAGCCCTCGACTCACCATGAACTGCGCGAGATCCCCCACCGCCTTGGACGTTGGCGTCGCTTTGATGATGTCGCCCAGGAGTACGTTGGCCTCCTGGTACGCCTGTATAGTCTCGGCCCACTTACCGCCGAGACCGTTTTGCCGCGCCTGGAACATGAGGTTGGAGTACTGGCCGCCCGGAATCTCGTGCCTGTAAACTGTAGGATCAGGGCACCTCAGATCGGCGTCGAAACCGGCATACACGAGCCGCAGCTGCGCCCAGTAGGCATCAATCACCGCAACATGGTCCAGCGCCAGACCGCACTCCAATGGCGTGTTTTTTAGCGAGGCAAGGACGGCACTGGCGGCCGGTTGGGACGTCGTGCCGGAGAGGCTGTCAATGGCCGTGTCGACAATGTCGGCCCCGGCCTCAACGCACGCGACCATGGTGGCGACGCCGGTGCCGTTGGTGTCGTGCGTGTGCATGTGAATCGGCAGAGCGGGATACCGGGCGCGGATCGCCTTGACCAGCACGCGGCCTGCGGCAGGCTTCAGGACGCCAGACATGGACTTTATGGCAAGGATGTGGGTGTCGCACGCCACCAGCTGGTCGACGATGCGCATGTAGTAGCTCAGGCTGTACTTGGTCCCAGGTGCCAGCATGTCGCCCGTGTACATGATGGCGCCCTCGACAAGGCCACCAGCGGCGTGGACCGCTTCGATGCCGACTTTTACATTGCCGACGTCATTGAGGCTGTCGAAGACGCGGAAGATGTCGATCCCCGTGTCTTTTGCTAGGCGGACAAAGTGGAAGAGCGCATTGCGCGGGAGCCTGCGTTCCCATGAGAAATGATGCATGCCTGATAATGGGCAACTTACGCAGCGTATGCCAATCCGTTTGTACTTCTTAGCAGCATCTGAAACGGGATGTTGCTAGGTACAGAAATATTAACTCGCGTTACGCACAGTGGAGGGGATACATGGCCATGGACTCACGGAACGAGCTCCCGAAGCTTCCTCTATCGTGTGGCGTCCTCGTCAGTGGTATCCTATTGTGGGATATAAAGGAAAGCGCAACATACCAGACGTTCCCATGGATCTTCGTGCAGGAAGCGAAGCATGACATCAAACGTGGCCCCTCCCCACGCTTCGAGGCTGTAGGCGTCTTTGTAGGCATGGCTCATGTGTTTGGCTATGGCGGCCAAGTCTCTGGTGCGCACGCGGGTTGCGAGAAGAGACTGCTGTCCGTCGCGCCATGTCGTGTCTGTTATCAGCGTCTTGGGGTGTGCTCTCACCTGTCGCGCAAACGCGCGCGGGCCGTCGCGGAGAAGAATGGTGCGCCACCCATCGCGGCACGGATGCTCTGTCGAGATGTGCTCTCGAGTGGTTTGGTTGGTCAGTTTCCCGATGGAAATACTTCTTGTCAGTCCTGGTGGCTTCTGCGTCACTTCATCAGAAACTCATCCCTTAAATCCGCCCGGGTGTTCCCACCACTTGACCTTGAATGCGGCTCCCATTCACTGCAGCATCTGCCAGGAAGCGCAGCACACCTTGTTCGGGCGCACTGTGGCCGTCTTGCACAAACAACTCTGATGTGTCGTCGACAAACGAGGTCCAGCTCGTACCGTTGCGGACCGCCGGTTGCTCCAGAAGTCGGACCAAGAAGCGAACATTGGTCTGGATGCCCCGAATGTCCAGCTCGTTCAACGCCCGGATCGCCTTGTTGATGGCCTGCGCGCGGTGAGAGCCTGTGCAGATGCACTTGAGCAGCAGGGAGTCGTAGGACGCGCCGATCTGGGCACCGAGGAAACATTCGCTGTGGTCGAGTCGTATCCCGCTGCCGGAGGGGAGCCAACAAGCACCAATCGTGCCCGTGTCTGGGCGGAAGCCCTCAAGCGGGATTTCTGTCACAACGCGGCACTGGATCGAGCAGCCTCGGGGGATGATTTTGTCCTGCAGCAAGTCGAGATCCTGCAGCGTGGCGCCACATGCAATACGGAGCTGCGCCGCCACGAGGTCAACCCCCGTCAGTTCCTCCGTGACGGTGTGTTCTACCTGACTGTTTGTGTGCGAGAATGAGCGTCTGTCGCAGGGCTGAAACGTTTGCGCAATAGTGCATACATTCGGGGGTTCATTTCGATAAAGTAGAAATCTTGGCCCTCTACGAGAAACTCAACCGTGCCGGCATTTTCTGGTTTGCTTCAATTAGCAAACAGGGCAACAGCTGAGGGAATGAAGATGGAAACGACGTGCCGTAGTTCAAGCCTCGCGCAAGTCGAACAGCGGCATCCGTCACGCCGCGGCGAACAGTGTCGGATATGCCCGCTGCGGGAGCCATCTCGATGATTTTCTGGTGTCTGCGTTGAATGCTGCAATCGCGTTCAAACAGGTGAATGTGATTGCCGTGTCCGTCGCCGAGGACCTGGACTTCGATGTGCTGTGGCCGACGCAGGTATCTTGGCAGAGTCCAAATCAGTCAGCGATTGCCAATTGCGCCAACACTTTTTGCTGGTTTTCTTTGCTAGCCTTACTTTTCGATGAAGACAGCGTCGTTACCAAAGGCCGCGCCTGCTTCCGACTTTGCTTCCGCCATTGCAGACTCCATGGCCTCCTTTCGATGGATGACGCGCATTCCACGCCCACCACCTGTACTCCAGTGTCAAATACGAATACTCTGACCTCTATCCGCAGCCCCTTTTCTTACCTCCGTGGCTTGCTTTGACGATGACAGGGTAGCCACAGCTGGACAATGTCACCTTTGTATCCAGTCAAGACGATCAACGTAGCTCACCTGTCTGCGAATGCAAGCGCTTCCTCAACATTTTGCAAAGCAGCACCCGTACCAGGAATGGTCGAGATACCAAGACGTTGCGCAAAGGCGCGTGCGGCCACCTTGTCGCCCATTGTCCGGAGGACCTCTGTCGATGGCCCGACAACTAGATCTCTGCTCAGCTTTCAAATACAAAGACAAAAGTAGAAAACAGAAACCGTCGAGCCCGCTTACATTTCATGCCTGCAGCACGAACCTGGGCGGCAAAATCGGCGTTTTCGGAGAGGAAGCCATATCCTGGATGACTAGACATAACCATCAGTTTTTTTGCCTTGAAAGTAGTGGATTTCTGCAGCTCAGACGCACACGAGGTCTGCCTGGTTCTCTTGTGCAATGTCTACTATTCGCTTGGCGTTGAGATATGCCTCGCTGCTTCAGAATTAGACGTCATCTTCAGCAGCTAGCTTCATCGTGACCGAACATACACCGGAGTGCGGTCGTGTTCAGACCATGCTGAAACCGCCTCATCGGCCTCTAGCATTTTTTTAGCCAGAGTCACTGTTTGAACATGCTTTGTACAGCCCTACTCCGGAGAAACCCTGCCTTCTCGTCTTGGGCGGCGAAAATGGCAAGGGTTGACATGCCCAGTTCCCGTGCGGCGACGAAGACGCGGGCGGCGATTTCACCTCTGTTGGCCACGAGCACTTTGGTCGGCTGGCGAGCCGTCATTTTGTGTTATGGGCCAAGGGCTAATGTAGGCGTAGAAGCGGGTAGTGTTTATGTGAGGCAGTTCTTCAGCTACAATGGCAGGAGATGGCTTGATCTACTACGCTCCCTCTTGCGGAGGCCTTTGTCTACATATCAACGCAGCTTTGCTTGACGAGCTGTAGCAATGGAGATCATCCCCTCAAGTTCATACGAGCTGCTGAACTTTGTGAGCCATCTTTGCTTGCGTTGCGAATTTGCCGAGTGCAGAGCTCAGTCAAGCTCCTTGAACATGTGCCAACTCGATGCAGGCAGATGATCAACAAGTCTTGCTCGTGGGTTGCATCGGAAGCTCAAGCAGGGCATCCATGGTTGGCAGGCGCGCCGGCAGCAAGCTGCTTGTCTGGCTGCAGGTAAGCTGCTGACATCCATGCTTGCTAAGGAGAGCTCCGACGTCGCATGCAGCCGTGCGCGTTGCAGGGCAGTTGCATGGTGATATATAGCGCATTTTTTAGTCCCCAATAGTGTGATGCGTTTGCATACCTCATACAACGCCGTTCTGACATGCACGGGCTTGACAAGACGGCAAAGGCTGGCTGGCAAGCAAACCTGACGGCTCCGGGGCCTTTGTGCCACCGACGCCGATCTTCGGATGTCTTGATACGGCACGGATTCGGAGATTTCCGGTGCCGGTCTGAGACACGATGCAGCTCCAAGGCGCGGAGTATGGGTTTTTTGTCCTCGCGAATACGGAATGTCTCGAGAATTTTCTACTTGACGTGTTTGCTGCGATTATGCCATCCTGGGTTTTGCCAAGTCGGGCATCCTCCTGCCAACAGCAAGTACAGGGACTTGCATCACATGTCCAGGATGTAAAGGAGAGGCCGATCATAGTTGGCAAATAAGCTGTCCATTGATCGGCAGCCAACGTAGTAATGGCTTATAATTCTCTCGTCCAGCTTATCGATTGCTGGCAAAGCTGAGCGGGGGTCTCCGATGATCGCTCACATGGCACTGCCATCTTGCTGCATACGCCATGTGCCTCCTTCTTCAAACGGAAGAGGCGAATTTTGGTTACGATTACTTGCTCAGATGAATGAAAATAACACGAATTTAGGACCTCAGCATACCGGCCTTTTAGCGTAGCCCGCGCGGTTTGTCTCTCCGCAAGGGCTGGCCAAGGGTGTGCATTGGCAAGCAAGCATCGCGGCTTCTTTTCGGGGAGCCTGATTACGCAGGATAATCAAGATATGTGTACAGTGCAGAAGACGGCTTCCGTTGCATATAATTGAGACAAGCTGATGCACCTGACTGGTCGCATACACGGGGAGCGAGCAGTTTCTTGCCACACGAAGATCTTATCGACATATAATACAAGCGTGCCTTTCGCGAAAGAAGTGAGCTTTTGTGCCTCGCAAACTATTCTTCCACAACAGCTCCCGCCACAATGCCAGCTCCTTCGGTCGCCGCGGCTCCGAATGCCAGCACTCCTCTCCTACGCGACACATGGCCGGAGGGGCGTGACGACGACGACGACGAGGCCACGCCCGTGCTCGAAGTGCCGCCGTCGACGGTCCTCGTCATCATGTGCACGTCGTGGCTCGGCATCTTCATCGCCGCCATGGACGCCACCGTCGTCGCCACGCTCGCCGGCCCCATCAGCAGCGACCTGCGCTCCCTCTCGACGCTGTCGTGGATCGCGACGGCGTACCTCGTCGGCAGCGCCGCGTCGCAGCCGCTCTGCGGGCGGCTGACGGACGTGCTCGGGCGCGGACCGGGGCTCGTAGCCAGCCACGCGCTCTTCGCGAGCGGCAACCTCGCGTGCGGGCTGGCACGGGCCCCCCACGCCATGGTACTCGGACGGGCCGTCGCGGGCGTCGGCGGCGGCGGCCTCACGTGCATCGCGGCGCTCCTCGCGTCGGACCTGATCCCGCTGCGCCGCCGCGGCGTCTTCCAGGGCGTGGCGAACCTGTGGTACGGCGCGGGGGCCATGGTCGGGGGCGTGGCGGGCGGGCTGCTGTACGATCGGACAGCGCTCGGCTGGCGGTGGGCGTTTCTGGCGCAGGTGCCGCCGTCGGTGCTCTGCGCAGCGGCGGCGTGGCTGCTTGTCGGCGGCGCGGTGCCGCCGAAGCAGTCGGACCGGAGCTTGCTCGCGCGCATCGACTACACGGGCGCGCTGCTCACCGTGTCCTTTGTGGTGCTGCTGCTGCTGGGGCTCAGCGCGGGCGTGCCGTGGACGCACCCGCTGCCGCTGACGGCGGTGCCGCTCGCGCTGCTGCTGCTGGCCGCGTTTGTGTGGTGGGAGGGCCGGCGCGCGGCGCAGCCCATCATCCCGGTGCGGCTGCTGGGCGACCCGACGGTGCTCGCGGCGTGTGCCATTAGCGCGCTCAGCGTCGGCGTCATGATGGCGGCGCTCTTCTACGTGCCGCTGTACCTGCAGGTGCGCGGCGAGACGGCGACCATGGCCGGCGTCAAGCTGCTGTGCGCGCCCGCGAGCATGCCGCTCGGCGCCATGGCCGTCGGCTACACCATGACCGTCACCGGCCGCTACGTCGGGCTGACGGCCGCGAGCATCCTCGTCATGGGCGCCGGCGTCGCCGTCTTCACCGCCCAGCACGACCGCAGCAGCCACTGGCTGACGTACACCGGCTTGTTCCTGCTCGGCGGCGGGTACACGGGCGTGCTGACGACGACGCAGATTGCGTGCATTGCGGCCGTGGAGCATGCGCAGCAGGCCGTCGTCACCTCAGCCATGTGTAAGTTTTGACGACCCAACTTGGGGTGTGGGTTTCATGCTGACAGCTTTTTTTCGTTCCAGACTTGGCTCGCAGCCTGGGCGGCACGATAGGCCTCGCGGTCGCATCGGCAGTCTATCAGAACGCACTGAGAACCGGGCTGTGGCAGGCTTTCGAGGGAAGACCGGATGCCGGTGAGCAAATTCGGCGCATTCTAGACCATCTGGGGTATTTGGAGCAGCTGCCGCCAGACTGGCGGGCGGGCGCGACCAAGGCATTTATGGATGCCTTTCATGCCACTTGGCTTGCCATGCTTGTCTGGGCTGTGTTGAATCTCGTCTGCGTGTATCCAATGAAGAATCATAAGCTTCATTCGACGTTGAAGCGGTAATGGTACTACGGGCAACAAGGCGTAAGTCATGGTGAGTGATAATGGTGCCCGCAGAGACCTATAGTAATAGTATTATAATAACACCCCCTACTAATTATATATATATTGTCCTTGGTAGAATTATGATTAGTATCTTTATACAGTTCCATCTCAGAAACCACTACCTAAGAATTTTTAGGAACTATTCCTGCCTAGTTACTACTACATAGAATAGAGGTAGTTCAACCTATCTATTTCTCCTATCTTACTATATTTAGTAGAATAGGTTAATTCCCTTTCTATAATAGTAGGGAAATAATATTAAGAGTATTTTAGATCTTTATCCAATAACGGAATAAACAGGGAGAACCTTTGTATAGTTTGATTGAACAAAGAATGTAGCGCTACTTTAATGGTAAAAACAACTTAAACCAGACTCAATCATCAATCATCCTCACCCGGTGCCCACTCAAGATACCTGAGACTATGCTCAAACTTGTATTCATATCCCTTTTCTCGCAACCGGTGCTGCATGACCAGGCCTACAGCCCCTTCTTCATCCCGTTGCCATTTCGCCCGGCCCCATTCGGCGTCAGACTCGTGCGCTTGACGGAGCCTGCACCAGCCAAAGTCGATGATAAAGAGTTGGTATTCATTGATTACCACCGGCACAACCATGAAATTGGAAGGGCGGACGTCATAATTGAGAATGTTGAGATCGCCTAGCACACGAGTAATGCGGACTGCCTCGTCGATGACGCCCTGCCAGTCCGGCTGAGGTACATGCTGATCTAATTCCGACAAGGTGAATCCAGGCAAGTATTGAAGCAGGATTCCTTTGACTTGTAAGTGGTCCAGCATATTGCTGGGTACCGGTGTTTCTGGCGGTAGGTCGAATGTGACCTTGCCCAACAAACGTGGCACGATTTTGCCCTGATGACCTACCAAAGCTTCGTAGGCGGCTGTCTCGGCGTTGTATGCAGCTAGGAGCTCTTTGGAGAGAAGAGCTTCACTCTCATAATCGTGCCATTTGTCTTTGCCAAACTTGAAATACTCGTCATTGGTCATCTGGTCGAAAAGACTAGCCGCCTGGTCGGACTGCAAAAAGTTGATGTAGGAGTCCTCAATATCCGTTGTCCAGGGCGGTATCTTGTTGTCAGCGCGCAACTGATATGCGAATCGTCTGTCAAAGAGCTTGAGGAAAGTGACAGCTGCTTCCTCAGCACCGTCTACAACAACTGCGACCATACCACAAGAGAGTGTCCATGGCTGTTGAAGAGCGCGAACCTGAAGTTGAACCTTGGAGCGTCCCTTGAGAAAGCCGTGAGATGACTCGATGTTTAGGGAAAGAACTTGATTCTCACAATACGCACTGGCTGGCGGTTGCGAGCGCTCCATGGCTGCGTTTACCAGAAGGGAGGAATCAAGGGTTGCGGTGTCGTGAATAAATTTGTATAACCTGGGAGCGACGGGGGAGGGTGGCCCGTTAATAACGAAACGTATCGAGTGACTGACTCACAGCGTGGGCATTACCTACAAGGGATCTACAACGGAACCTACAACGAAACCTACTTGCTTGAGTGCTCTGGAACAGCAGTTACACAGAGCGCTAAGTAGCGGCAATTTGCCACTCCGTTGTTTCAGCGCAGAAATTAGGGCTGGGCTGTAATACCTAGGTAGTAGACAGTATTACTATTCACGACTAGGAAAAGGTAGTGTCACTTCTAACAAGCAGTTTGAAAAGGTGAAGTATCTTGTTTATAAAATAATGAATCCTCCTTGAATATACCTAAATAGTTATTAAACCACTTTATAGAAGTTAATAATGAAACTCTTTAAATATCAAGACTGATATTATAACATCTGGTGACTATCCAAACTTGGCCTTCATATCAGCGACAATAGTCTTGAAGCTTGGCCGGGTTCTATACTCGAAAGTATAGAACACTCTTTCGAGCCCAATAACCCGGACTTTATAGGTGCCAGTCAATGTTGTCATTGTTTCCAAGTGCCAATTTCCACCGGTTCCAGATTTGCACTCCCCGTGAATCCAATGCCAAGTCCCTTTTGGGGACCAGACGCCTGTCATGCTCCTCGCATCAAGGCCAGCAACATAGTCGCAGATAGTGTAGAACTGTGCAGAGAAATATTCTTAGTACTTGAATACCAGTATCTCACTATGACTTACCATTGTTTGGATAGATTGGCAGTGTGGTAAGCGCTGGCGAGGACAAGAGTACGGGGACCAGGTTTTAGACGGGGGATGGTGTGCAGCTGGGTATTTATTAAAAAAATAGTGAACGCTGTGATTAACGATTGACTCTCGTTTGGTATCATGCTTTACCACTCTTGTAGCACATACAGACTCACATGTTGATATTGTCTCACCCCAGGTCACCCATCGCTTTAAGAACTTTGATGCCGGACCATACTACTCTAGCATTGCGAGTGATTACGTCCATGTCTTTCTTACAGAGTTATATACTTCTTTCATCCTCGTCAAACTTCTTCCAAATCCATTTACGGCGTCGTTCACAACATACCGTGTCAATGGTGGGGTGAAGATGGCAAGGTGTTTGTAGATGACGAAAGCCTCGGGGAGATTGCGAGATGAAAGTTGTACTTTTTGATAATATGTACTCTTATATGATCAAACTGTCCCTTATTGTGGACCATCGCCGTTGCCAAAGGGGCTGAACGTATACTGGACACCCAGCCCAGAGAGCCCGGGGCCACCACCGTCGAGCAACGTCTTGGAGTTGTCGGCCGTTCCAAAGTACGAGTAACGGTAGACGCAATCATTATTATCCAGAAACGGAAGCGCTTTCCGTATAAACTCGCTCTGCTCCTCAGCGCTCCCGCTGCCTTCAAACTGCCCGCCTCTGTTAGCACACCACCGGGAACGAGCGTACTTGACATGCAAAACATACCTCGGTCACCCAGACTTTGCGCCCTCTGCTCATCTCGCAGACCCTGTCGACGAACCTCTCAAACTCGTGCTCGTACGCGGCGCCGCCGTACCAGTGGACCGGCACAAAGTCGACGTGGCAGCCGCCGCACTGGTCGAGAAAGGCCTGCAGCCAGTCGAGGCCGGCGGCGGACACGGCCGGGGCGCCGAGGCGGGCGCGGCCCGCAAACGGCTCCATGTGCTGCCACCAGGCGCGCACGGCGGCGGCGACGTCCAGGGCGGCCTGGTCGGCGCGGTCCGGCTCGTTGAACGCGAGCAGGTGGCCGCTGCCGCCGGCGTCGATCCAGCGCTGCGCGTCGGCGGCCCAGTGCTCCGTGTGGAAGCTCTGCGTGCCCCACAGCATCGGCACGTACTCGGCAAAGTCCTGCTTCTGGTCCGTCGTGCTGTCCCAGTTGTACTGCCAGTTGACCCCGGACGCCTGGTCGGCCCAGCGCCCGCCAAACTGCCAGATGGGCACCCCGTCGTTGGCCGCGAGACCGCGCTTCGGCCACGGCTCCGCGGCCGCCCGCCGCCCGTTGGCGAGCAGGGCGCCGGCGACAAGGGGGCCGGCGAGGGACAGCATGCTGGTGAGGCGGCGGTGTTCTTTGCGGGAGGCTGTAGAGGAACTTTCAGGTTGGCACCGAATGGACCGATGGAGGAGGCTGGGGACAAGGGAATCCGAACATGAAAGAGACTTGACTCTTTTATACCATAACCTCTTTTGATCGACGCCAGGATATCTTCATAGACGGCCGTATCTCTCGCTTGCTCTTGCTCATCGATCCGAAGGAGTCTCTCTCAGCCGTAGATGTTGTTTCTGCGCTGTTTTCTCACAACCTCTTGGCGAGGGATCCGGCTGGGAGCTGCTCCAGGATTTACACGCGTTGGTTCTTCCCATCGGAGTATTCTAGTACGTTGAAACGCGCCTCAACCAACGAGGCTAACCTCCAGACTATCCTCTGTAGCCAGGACGTAGCGTGTTCCTGGCCTGGTCTGGAACGGTCTCGACAATTCAGGTACCGAATGTACCTTTTCTATCAAAATGTACATTATCTGCAGGAACATGGGTATCTATCTGCCATAGGCTGAGTGCTGGATGCTTCGCAAGTCGGTAGCTCGCCGGTTTTGTGCTTCTCAATTGAACAAGGTTGTCAACGTGACCTTGCGAATTAGCATACAATTGTGACCTGGAAACTCTGACTTGGTAGATTGACTTTTTGCCCATCTATAGCATTTGCTCTTCTTTTGTGATTATCATCAAGTCAGGTGGTCGCGCCGGACGCCAAGCAAGCTCGATGTGTTGATCGTCGGTCAGAACCTCAGGTTTTGTACAAGCTATATTAATTCAATGTCGTCTTTTTTTTTTACTCCCGTAGCTCGCTTATAAACCATGTATTTCTTTTTCGGTCTTGAGTCTTGTCTTTCGCTACACCTTCAGTGAGTTCCTTCTAGTGCGTGTCTGATAGAGATAAGCAAGAGGGGCCGAACGTGAGTCGCCACCCGTGATAGACTACAAGATTGCCTTTGCCCGTGACATAAACTCGACCTATGAAAATACGTTGAAAAATTGTCGAGTTCGTTTACTTCGTAACAAGCTGCCTCTGTTTGGCAGCGGCCAACAAGTGGCGTTGCTAATGCTGGTAGCTCGCCAGGCACGCCCAGCCCAAGACCACTCGACAGTCAGCGATTGATTCCGAATCTAACACCATTCACACACAGGTACACGGCACTGATGCAATGTATAGGCCATCTCTTTCCCAGTCTAGGCAAGTGATGTTCAACACCGCTGGTGGCTTGTCGCTTGGCACAGGTATTGCGTAATTCCCACTCGTGATTCGTCGTCAAGAACAAACGCAGTCGCTGCGCGCGTCAGCTTCAGACATGGACAAACCTGGAACACGACATCAAGGTACGAATCAACATTAAGGCTACTAGAACTATCAGCTACCACCCCCTCCTCCACAACCTCCGCCGCCGCCGCCGCCGCCGCCGCACCCTCCTCCGCCTCCTCCACATCCTCCTGCTCCGCCGTCGCCAAAGCCGCCAAAGCCACCACTACAGCCCTAAGAAAATTAGTATTTCTTCATGAACTGCTGTAGACACGAATCACACTTACCCCAGCTTCGTTCGAACAGCCTCCGGCTGCAACCCCCCCAGAGCCGCAAGTGCCTGCAGCACACGCAGCGCCGGCGCCAACCTGACAAGGATCGGCACCATAATACATACCACCCGTGAACCACATTGGATACATCCATGGCCCATACGCTAAGATAGCAACCAATTAGTAACCTGCGCAGAACCAGAAGAAGCTGCTACAAGACGTTACCGTAGTATGAGTAGCCCCAGTGGTTGTAGTATTCATCTTTCGGTGGCAGCTGCCGGCCTTTCTTGGCTGCTCGCTCTTGGGCCTTCTTATATTCCTCTTCGATTTTTTGTGCGTGGCGAGCCTGTCTCGCTCGCTCAGTGGCCGAGGCGATGCTGGCAAAGCTCACGGCGTTGTGCGCCGACACGTGCGCCGAGTTGTCAGGAGGGTAAAGCTTCGCAGCTTCAGGAGTACAGAACGATTGCAAGAGCTTGTATTCCTTAGTACGGAATGTAGCGCTCATGGAGGACACGAATGAGGACCGGACAGCTGTTCATTCTAGAGTTAGTCTTGACTAGAACCGCAGAGCCAGCATGCAACGTACTTTCGCAGTACCAGCAAGTACACTCGCTGTAAACCTCGCCATACATATCCTGGTACGTTTTGGTGGTAAAAATGAATGCTTCCCCGAGCTTGCTTTCGTCAATCTTGTCGTCATGGTCAATAAACTTGCCCTGCCTGTCCATCTTGCCCGTCTTGCGCACTGTGTGTTGGTAGTAGGACTGGGGGTGGAGCTGATGTGTGTGCCAGGCGAGGTCGACATCGAGAGTCGGCACAATCGTCTGACCTGGAAATATGACCATGATTTCCAGGAATCGTTGGTACTTCTGGATCAGGCGCTGCATTGTATCTCTGGCCGAGGGACTGTGCAGCCAATCCAATTGGACCATCTTGTCCACAAAGATGCCCTGACGCATCACCGCGCCACAAAGATCGAGGGCAAAGGGGGAGAAGTTGTCCCAGTATCGGCTCATCATCTTTCGCGTAGATAACCGTGCGTTGGGCAATATGCCATATTTGCCCCTCCGCCACGACCGGAAGTCGTCGATTTCGCGCACCTTGGCGTTATCCTGCATGACCTCTTCGATAAAGAGTTTGATTGTGTCCATTGTTGGGTGTTGATGGTCACCACCGGGCCGGAAGAGCGCCGTGACACGGTTGATGATAAACTTTCGAGTCATACGATTGGGAAACGTGCGGGCAAACCCGTTGGAAGTTGGGCTCATCACGGGATCCTGCTCAGGCCGTCCGCTCTGTGGGTTCAGAATGGTGCCAGGCATAGGGACTCCGTTAGCGACCAACAGATCTGAGTCGTGTAGGAACTTGGACACTGAAAGCAGTTCTTTGTAATTTTCCCGACCGCACGAAGTGCACGAAAACGTAAACTTCCCATCACCATATCCCTCACCAATTAAATCTCTGGATCTGTAGGAACTGCCACTTTCGTCTGTGCCGCATGTAGTCCACGGTGCTTGATACCATGTACGGCAGTAGGGGCATTGCAGAGATTTTGTTTGGGAATCATCTTGGTTATGCCAGTTGCGTTGACTTTTGGCCACCCAGGCTGCTTGAGTATCGTCAGCGGCTCGGTAGGTGAAGTCATCCGCAATTGCCTTGTTTATTAGCTCCCAGGGTAGGCCAGTCGCCCAGAGCTTGTTCAGGCCATATCGCATAGTGTCTTCCAAAAAAGCTCGAGGGTTAAGCATATGTGTATGCATGACCATAAGGACGTCTATTTTCCAAGTTGGCAATTATTCGGGGCAAGTCTGCCAACAGAGGCTTACCGAGAGGAGGCAATGTAGACGGTTGCCAGTCGAGCTTTTGGTTTGTACTCGGAAATCGCATATAGTTGTTACCATTTTTGGTAGTCGTGTCGCCCTCCGAGAGCATCTTGATATCTTGAGCGTTCCACCAGGCTTCGTAGCGGTCAACAGCTCGTGCTACAAAGATGGCCCATCTCTTTTCACGAAGTTTGCTAAGCATCATCTTCTTCTCTTCTTCTCCAGTCAAGTCAGACTTTCTCATGTCGGAGGGTACTTCTGAGGAGTCAAAGGAAACCCCCTTGCCATCGAGGACCAGGCTGTCCCATATTCCCCAAAGACCGTCGGTGTAGCCAACGTCTTGCTTCATTGCCTCGATAGCATGGAGCAGTTTGAGATGGGCAAGGCAACAGCTTTCGGTAACATCGAAGCCATAGTTTTTATTGGATGGGTCCTTACTCTGTGACGACAAGGCATTACCAGCAAAGGTGATCTCTGGTAAGGGAGCTGAGAATGACTGGTCGGGAACTGCTTGGTAGCTTGGCGGCTGATTGGCAACTTCTTGGTAGCTTGGGGGGGCCTCAGCAAGCGCACCATTCGGAGCGTCCGTTCGCTTGGCTGGTTTCTGGTGCGCCGAGGGCATGACGAAGAGTGTGCCTTCACTGTGATTTTGATGTGGTTTCTCTGTGCTAGCGTGCTATCGGCACATGAATTGCGAGGGTTGCCAGAGTTCTTATAGCAATCTAAATCCAGTGCTGGACGGCTGTGCGGAGTGGCTTGCCACTAGGTGGCGAGTGCATGTTGATAGCCTGATGTCTGCAGTGTGATGTCAAACTTGCAACTAGAAGCGCCGTGGATGAAACCAGGTTACTGGCTGTCGGATGACTGTGACTGGCGATCGCCTGGGTTGGACAATTAATTTCTAGCGCGCTCAGCTCTTCAAAGCCTCGTCTTCAAGGCTCATCCGGCTTGTGTCAGTTGACCGCTGCTGGTGTGATGCTAGCCCAGGCTTGCGGCGGATTGAATGATAACAGGCTACAGGTATTAACGGGGCGAAAGATGTTCGGTCACCTGGACCAGTGTAGTTAGGGTTGGCGAGCTGTGCCAAGACGGAAGGACGGGAAGAGCCGCGAGTTGCTGCAACGCCTTGCGATGAGCCTGAATAGAAACAACCATGGCATAAGTGCAAAGGCGACCAGAAGGTTGCAAAAGAAGTAGACATTCAGATATGGTGCGTTGGACGAATTGGCGCGTGCCAATGCCAAAGGCTGCGGAGTAACGTAAAAGAAACCGTCGTGCTACCATTTTCAGTTGGATGGATCATGTGTGGTCTTTTGTTGATTCGAGGAAACGTCGTTCATTATTCAAGATTGGAGACGCCCGCCGCGTACCCGAAAGGATCCTGGAGGAGGCCCAAACGGCCCAAACAGACTAACGGACGCGTTCTGTTGCCACTACTCCCAACCTTGTTGCGCTGGACTGATTGCGTCTACCCGAACACTTGAAGGGCGAAATTCGCAACTTCTCGTTTTCTTGCAGTGCGTTGCCTGTCGCAGGCGTGTTGATGCCTTGTGGCAGCTCGTATTGTATGTGCCCGGGCACAAAGCTTACGCCCAGCTCTGGTGGCGCTAACTAACTAGTCGAGAGCCTCGTGCGATCGATCATTTATGCGTATTTTTGAACATATTTTCTTACTGTCCCTAGCGCTTCGTACTTTGTACTAGATCAGTCGCGATGTGACTCGGTACCACCAATAATTTCGTTGTTTGCGTGGTGAATAACCCCAACCTGCTGTGGCGCCATCCCTAGAATCAACATTTACCCAACTGTGGCTCAGCAAGGCCGGCGAGGCTGGTGTTGTGCAAGGCATCCACTTTGTGCATCCACTTTGGATTGTGCATGCCATCCACCACAGACCGCAGCACCACAGTGCTCCCTCCGCACTGCAAATGCCAAAGCCGCTTTCCACTCACCTCACATTTGCGAAGGCTGCCTTCCTCCGCGCTCCTCATCGACCCGACTGGCAATTTCACCAGCCACGCTGTGCCTATCTCCGCCGCTGCAGCAACATTTTTTCACCGTTAGCTGTATGGTCATGGGCTTTCCGTTTGCGCCGCTCAGCTTCGTCTTTTAGCAGCTTCCCCCATCAACCGGTGTTGTGGGTGGCCACCCCCCCCCCCAATCACCAAGTTGCGGGCGCGAGCGCACTCTCAGTCGCGCCACTTCCAGACCTCATATCATCGTTAGACGCCAAGAGATCATTGTCGCGCGACTTTTGCGCCCGTCTCTTCACGAGTCAACATGACGCTGCGAGCCGGAACGAACGGCTTGGTTCCCAACGGCCACAGCCACAGCAGCAATCCCGCCAGCATCAATGGCGAGCCGTCAAGATTCAAGACCCAGGATCACTCCCGTAACCACAGCCCTGATGACCACGGTCAGCGCCCTTCTAGCGCGCCCGGCCAGAAGAATGGTCTTTCCTCCAGCGCCGAGACCAGAGACGACGTCGGCCGGCAGCACCCACAGCGCTTTACGAAACCCTTGCTCGTGCGCTCCAAGAGTGACTTCGCCAGGCCGCAAGAGCAAGACGACTCGGAACCTGGCGAGGAGGAGATTCCCGAATGGGGAGCGAGGCATGGCTTCGAGGATCATTATCAATCAGAACACATCATTACACAGCTCGCAACTGTACGTCACGCGCCTCCACAGTACGACCCTGAACATGCTGACTCTGTATAGAATTGGTGCATGTATTTTACCGACAAGCGACACGAAACGACGGGCAAACCCAAAGCTCTTCAATCTGAGCTCCACGACTGGCGTCAAAGAGATCGTCTAAAAACCGTGTCGGCCGCTCTCGCCGTCTGTCTCAACATTGGCGTTGAGCCCCCCGACCAGCTCAAAACGAACCCAGGCGCAAAGCTCGAGGCATGGACCGACCCGACTGTGCCGCCGGCTCAAAAGGCATTGGAGAACATCGGCAAGGGCCTCCAGTCCCAATACGAAACCCTAGCCATCAGAGCTCGCTACAAGCAGTATCTAGACCCGTCCGTTGAAGAGACTAAGAAGTTCTGCGTCTCGCTGCGTCGAAATGCCAAAGATGAGCGTGTTCTTCTTCACTACAACGGCCACGGCGTGCCCAAGCCCACAGCATCTGGCGAAATTTGGGTCTTCAACAAGACGTATACCCAATATATTCCAGTATCATTATATGATCTTCAGCACTGGCTGCAGGCTCCTACCATCTATGTGTGGGACTGCTCCGAGGCGGGCAACATTCTCAATAATTACCATCGCTTCGTAGAGAAGCACGAGGATGAGGAAAAGGAGACTGCCCAGCGCGATCCTCATTACGAAAAAACCGCTTTCCGTCCCTATATTCATCTGGCTGCCTGCGCCGCCAAAGAGAATCTTCCGACGAACCCGCTACTCCCCGCTGACTTGTTTACTGCCTGTCTTACTACTCCCATCGAAATGGCTCTCTGGTTTTTTGTCCTGCAGAATCCTCTCCCGACAACGTTGACCCCCGAGCGTGCCAAGAAGCTCCCTGGCCGTCTTCAGGAGCGCCGAACCCCTCTTGGTGAGCTCAACTGGATATTTACAGCCATTACGGATAGCATCGCCTGGACTACGCTTCCCCGTGATCTCTTTCGAAAGTTTTTCCGCCAAGATCTTATGGTTGCGGCCCTCTTCCGCAACTTTCTACTTGCTCAACGAGTTATGATGGTCTATGGCTGCCACCCTCAATCGTATCCACAGCTTCCTGACACGCACCAGCACCCTCTTTGGGAGACTTGGGATCTGGCCGTGGACATGGCGCTCGCGCAACTTCCCATGCTTGAGAAGAAGGAAGCTGACGGCACCGAATACGAGTACCAAAATTCGACCTTCTTCACTGAACAATTAACCGCGTTTGAAGTCTACTTGACGCGTGGAGATGCGCTTGCTCAAAGGCCGCCGGATCAGCTACCCGTGGTGCTGCAGGTTCTCTTAAGCCAGCAACATAGAGTTCGTGCTCTGATCCTCCTTGGCAGATTTCTCGACTTGGGTCCGTGGTCGGTGCAGCTGGCTCTCAGTATCGGCATCTTTCCATACGTGTTGAAGCTTCTCCAGTCAGCCGCGACCGAATTGAAGCCCGTCATGGTGTTTATTTGGGCTCGACTCATCGCCGTCGACATCAGCTGCCAACAAGATCTGGCCAAAGACAATGGCTACGCCTACTTTGCCCAGATTCTAAAGCCCACGGAGGCGCTGCCGGTTGTTGACAGCGATGAGCACAAGGCCATGTGTGCCTTTATCCTGGCTATGCTGTGCAAGGATTACCAGAATGGTCAGATGATTTGCAATCAAACCGACATCATGACTTACTGCTTGACACATATTCAAAACAAAGATAATCATCTCTTGAGGCAGTGGGCATGCCTGTGCATCAGTCAGCTATGGCAAGATCTCCCAGAAGCCAAGTGGCGCGGCATCAGAGAGAATGCTTACGTGACATTGGCATGCCTCACCAAAGACGCTTGCTGTGAGGTGCGTGCAGCCGTCATTCATGCCATGACTACCTTCCTCGGCATCCCAGACTTGACCGAAGAGGTGGCGAAAATTGAAGAGTCGATTGCTTGGACGATTCTTGACATGGGAACCGATGGCAGCCCCATGGTGCGCAAGGAGTTTTTAGTTTTCTTGTCGCACTTTATAGTCCGCTTTGAAAGTAAGTTTTTAGTGACTGCGTTTGAACAACTGCAAGAGGAAAAGGATTATCTACTTTTCCCTCCTCAAGATGACGGGCACGACCACAAGATGGGATTGCACTATGCACGCCCCGAAAACCGCAATAAGGATGGGACAATCAAGCCCGCGGCGCATGGTCTCTCACATAACAGTGTCTACATGGCTTGCTGGAAGCATGCCCTGATCTTGAGCGTTGACCCTCACCCAGACGTCCAACGCTCAGCTACTGTCATCGTTGACTATATGCACAAAGCCCTCATCAACTCGCCTGTCGGCGAACAGGCTCATGCGTTGATGCGAGATATCCAGAGAAGGGCAAATCGCGCTACTTTCAAGAGTGCTGCCACGGCCCATCAGCGGAGAAGCCTCATGAGTGGAAATGGCGCCCCTGTCACAGCGCCCCTGCCGTCGCCAGGCCTCCTTCGACGTACGGCAAGCCTCCTCTTTCAATCGTTTGTCGGTGCAGAGGACAAGTCTCGGCCATCTACACCGTCTGGCTCTGTGACTTCAATGGCTCCACCCAGATCCCCTGGTGCTTCCCTTCCTCCAGATCAAGCTTCTGCGCCGCCTGAGCAAAATGACACTTTTGGGGCCCCCGCCACCTATAACACCGCGCGTGAGCCCATCTCTGGTGAATTTGAGGAGCGGGATTTGACGGAAAGCCCCACTCTACCTCTGGTTAGCAAGTTCTTGGACTGGTCAACGGAGTACTTCCGAGAACCCCAGATGAAAAACAGTGAGGCAGATGAGCCCGGCAGCACAGACTACAATGAGAGGCTCTGGAGAAGACAACGAAACGAGACAACCCTGCGTGAGACGCAACCGCTTAAGCAATTTGCGGGAAGCCATCGCTGGAATAACCAACTGGGCATTATTAACAATACCGTGCAACCCGCAAAGATGACCTTCCACCAATATGAGGATCACCTAGCCGTGTCTGACGAAGGCAACACTGTCATGGTATGGGATTGGAAGCGACAGGGTCGTCTGAGCAAGTTTTCCAACGGCAACCCTGAAGGATCGAGGATCAGCGATATGAGGTTTATCAATGAAGACGACCAGGCAATGCTTCTAACGGGTTCATCGGATGGCGTCATTAGAATATATCGCAACTACGATTCCGACTCAGAAATTGAACTGGCCACATCATGGCGCGCGCTGACGCACATGGTGCCGAGCAATGTCAACTCGGGCATGGTGTTTGACTGGCAGCAAGTAAAGGGGCGAGTCCTCGTTGCCGGCGATGTACGTGTTATTCGCGTGTGGTATGCCGCCAGCGAGACATGTGTCATGGATATTCCTGCTCGATCCGGATCATGCGTTACCTCGTTGACTTCAGATCAAATGACGGGTGATCTCTTTGTGGCCGGCTTTGGTGACGGAGCAGTTCGCGTCTTTGACACACGCCTGAAGCCCCAGGAATCCATGGTTCGCAAGTGGAAGGATGAGTCGGACCGTCAATGGATCAAAGCTGTTCACATGCAGCGTGGCGGGCAGCGTGAGCTGATGAGCGCCAGCCGGAATGGCAAGGTCAAGATTTGGGATATTCGGATGGACAAGGCTCTGCGGTCGTTCCAGACGACGCGGGATACGCTGCGCACTGCCAGCACGCACGAGCACCTACCAGTATTTGCAGTGTAAGTGACGATTACCTTGTCATTATTCCTTGAGCTAACGAACACAGTGGTACCTCTACACATTCGGTGAAGATCTTTAACCTTGAAGGAGCCGAGCTCTCGCGGCTAGAGCCGTACTCGAGCTTCTTGCAGCAGAATCGCGGTGCGCCCATTTCGGCGACGGCGTTCCACCCACACCGTCCAATCCTAGGTTGTGCGGCGCGAGGCGATCATCACATCAACCTATTCACCTGCGAAAAGGGCGAGCCACTGAATCTGTCCTGAGCGGACACTGGGTAGGGTTGCTTCGACATACATTTCCTCTTTTTACTACTACATATATGAGGTTCTTCTCAGCGTGTCTATTTTTTTTTTTTTTTCTAGTCGGATTTTCCTTGCTGGCCAATTTTGAGTAATGAGATGGATGGCGTTCGGCAAGACATGTATTTTGAGCTGGCCGCTGCATAGTTTGCGTATTTGGCTAGGAATATTGCCGCAAGACAAGCGGTATTAATATCAGCGTTGAATATACTATGATTGTATTTTTAGATTGATACGCATGATATCGACCGGGATCGCTGTAATTTGTAGGAGTCATGCCGAAGCAACAGCCAAGTCACCCCACCCTGGAGAATGACGCGGTGGTGGAGGGTTGGCGGGGTAAAAACTGCCACCATCTTTTCTGACTCTTTTTTTTACCTCTTCTCATCATCTTGAGCCATTCCAACATTGTCCGTATCCGCCACTGGGTTTCTCCTTTGATTGACGGTAGAAATTCACATTACTATCGTTTTGCAGCTTGCCATTGACTCGTCGTCGACACGATACTAGTTCGAGCGAAGGCAGACGACCTACCCCGCCCGAATACAGTCACGCCACAAACGAAACTCTCGATACGATCAGGAACATGGCTGACACTCCCGCCCCCGAGGCGGTCAAACCTGTTGAGCAGCCCGCCGCTGCCACTGCCGCCGCTACCGCCGGAGAGGATGAGGCTGGCGAGGCCGGCCCCTCCAAAAAGGCCCTGAAAAAGGCCGAAGCCAAGGCCAAGAAGGAAGCAGAGAAGGCCCGCCGCGCCGCTGAGCACCAGGCCAGCCAGGCCGCCGCCAAGGCCGCCGCCGGCGGCGCCGAGGATCTGGCCAAGGACAGTTACGGCCCGGCTCTGCCAACGACCAAGGTGGACGGCCCCCGTGCGCACCTTAAGCACGTCGACGCCGCGCTGCTGGGCAAGACGGTCAAGCTCCGCGCGTGGATCCAAAACTCGCGCATGCAGGGCGCCAAGATGGCTTTTGTTGAGCTCCGCGAGGAGCGCGACTGGGCCATCCAGGGCGTCGTGGCGGCGTCTGCGGAAGGGACCCCGGTGAGCAAGCAAATGGTCAAGTGGATCGGCGCCATCAACCTCGAGAGCTTCGTGCTCGTCGAGGGACGCATCGAGAAGCCGCTCGAACCGGTCAAGAGTGTGCGCGTGTCCGATTACGAGCTGCACATTACCAAGTGCTACGTCATCGCGCGCGGGCCCGAGGTCCTGGGCATGGGTCTCGCCGTATCGAACCGGCCCGTCGCCAACTTTGACGATGAGGAGCCGGCCGCGGGTACTGACGCGGACGTGGACGCGGCCACCAAGGCGGTCGAGGCGGCGTCGCTGGAACCCGGCGCCGTCCTGCCGGGCGCCTCCATGGCCACCCATCTCAGCAACCCTGCCATGCACAAGCGGTCGCCGGTGCAGCAGGCCATTGCCGACGTGCGCATGACGACGCGCAAGCTGTTCGCCGAGTACCTCGACAGCCAGGGGTTCAACATGTTTGAACCGCCGTGCCTGATTGGCGCCGCTTCCGAGGGCGGCTCCAACGTTTTCAGCCTGCCGTACTTTGACAAGCAGGCATTTTTGGCGCAGTCGCCGCAGTTCTACAAGCAAATTGAGATTGCTGGCGGCCGCAAGCGCGTGTACTGCATCGGTCCCGTGTTTCGCGCTGAAAACTCCAACACACCCCGCCACATGACCGAGGTGTGTATCTGGAGCTTTTTCCTTTTTATGCGGCTCCGCTAACATGGACAGTTTACTGGTCTTGATTTGGAGATGGAGATTGAAGAAGACTACGTCGAGGTCCGGGACATGCTCGAGGCGACGCTCCTGCACATCTTCCGCGGCCTAGCCGAGCGCTGCGCCGAGCAGATTGCCCTCATCCGTACCGTCTACCCCTCCGACGACTTCTTGCTGCCACCGGCCGGTAAGGAAGTGCGCCTCACTTTTGCCGAGGGCCAGGCGCTGCTGCGCGCCGAAGGCCCGGCCGAGTATCGACACGTGACGGACGACGAGGACATGTCGACGCCACAGGAAAAGGCCCTGGGTGCGCTAATCCGTAGCAAGTACCACACCGACTTTTACGTGCTTGACAAGTTCCCTGAAGGCGCAAGACCGTTTTACGCTCTTGAGGACCCGGCGGACCCGCGCGTGACGAATGCGTACGACTTTTTCATGCGCGGTCAGGAGATCTTGTCTGGAGGGCAGCGCATCCACGACCCGGAGGCGCTAGTGGCCCGGATCAAGAAGAAGGGCGTGGACCCGAACAGCCCGGGCATCAAGGAGTATGTTGACGTTTTTCGTAGCGCAGGCGTGCCCCCGCATGGGGGTGGTGGTATCGGCCTGGATCGCGTGGTCGCGTGGTACCTGAACTTGCCGAGTGTACACCTGTGCAGCTACTACCCGCGCACACCGAAGCGTCTGACGCCGTGAGAGGGTAGGTAAACGTGCTGTAGATGGCACGGGCAAAAGGATGAAGGACAAAAGTTGTTATAGTTGGTGGAAGAATCAATCGAGTTTCGTTGCATGTAGTTGCCGCCGGAGATGCCTCGTTTTGGTCGCAGGGATGGTCCAGAAATATGGCACGGAGACTTTCCGTGATTAGCTGTCTTATTTCCTCAAAGAGAGGTCCCATGACTCGACTCTGTCGCATAATCCAACTTATGATACTATTTTCCTTGTGATCTTCGCTTTCTTTTACCCCTCTGTCGCATTACCTAACTAGTCATGATACTATTCCTTGGGATCTTCGCTTCCTTTTACCCCTCCGTCGCATAGCCCAACGAGGATACTATTCCTTATGATCTTTGCTTTCTTCACCCCTCTGTGAGATGTGTTATTAGCTGCGGTATGTAACCACATGATGGCTACATCACGAGACATCCGGTCTGGGCCGGCCGTTAGTGTTTCGCCCAGGATCTCGGCAAGCCCAATGTTTATCTAATCATGTAAATTGAAAGCCGATGACGGGTCGAGCTAGTGAAGCATTCGTCAAAAAGCGTGAATTGTACACCGGCACAACAGGAAATGCAACCATACAGTCTAGTTGTGTAGTGAAATCACGCAGCCATGATCCACTTGCGCAGCCAATTCAAGGTGCAGGAACTGAGGGTGATAGGTTACGTATAAGCCAGAACTTGCCCTTACTATTAAGTACATATTATGCAGCTCTACATATTCTATCTATAAAGATGTCTGAAGTTATCCCTGTGAAGTGGCTGTCTTTAGAGTGGCTGTATATGGCGGGGGTAGTCTGTTGCATAAAGAAATAACATAATTTTAAAGGTACCTCTATTTCCATGTGAAATTCACCTAAAGCAACATACCTCGTAAGGTCCTGTTTTTCTACAAGTTATGTGAGTAGTCCCGCCGTCCAGCTAACCAGATGAGTCGGTTGGGCCAGTCGATCCGACTAGCAGATCAGCCCAGAGGGCGTATTCTTGGACAATTCGGTAGTTTCAGCTGTTGGCGACGTCGTACGAGTTTCGGCGATGGTCTCCACCAAAACTGTCACATCGCCAAAAGCGTTATTTTCAACGGGTTGTAAACAGATTTTCCATTGAGACCGGCCTACGGTATTCGTTGTGTTGGCCCAGCACCAACTCCGGCGGCCAGCTCCAGCACGGAGGTTCGCAGACACTCGAAGTCCCGAGGCAATGATCATCGTGGCGGCGGAAAGAGATGTTTTTGAAAAATACACATATTTTCGTGGGTAAAAAGGTCTGCGGATAGGCTATATGTCGTGGATAAATGTTCTTTGAATAGGCATGCAACTAGCCAGCGCCAGGCTGACCAATTACCCCCCCTCTTTCCAAGGCGTAGCCGCTCCAAGCCGTAAATTTAGGCCGAGCGCTCCGGGATGATAAATGCACTAACTAGTTATGGATAGTATGTCAAGACCATTCAGCTCGCCGATCCCTTTAACTGCGGAGGAGGAGGAGAGCAAGCAGGGAACTTGCAGGGTATGTTTATCCAACCAGGTATCGCGAAAAACAAACGAACACTTTTAACAGGTAGGCAGTTAGGGCAGTTAGTTAACAGGAGGGCGCGGGAACTGTAGTTACTGGGAACTAGTACATCAGGATAACGATAAGCGGCCTATCATCTCGTGACCCTCCTCCGCAATTGAAGGGGATTAACGTATAAGTATCGCCTCAATCCATCAAGACTCTATTCGCGATACCAGCAAGAAGAAAATTTATATCTTAGCAGGTCACATCTAAAGGTCACATCTTGGAAGGTTACATTTTGGAAGGTCACATCTTGGAAGGGCATCCAGTAGGGTGTGGCCTGCCCGAAAAACCCCTCTCTAACTAGCCCCCTTCCCGCACAATACATCATCTATCATCTATCATCTTCCACAATCACCGTGCAAGGCTGATGCAGCCCAAAATATCCCGTCGACCGGTTTCGTACCCTCTGCACGTCATCACCTTCAACCAACAGCGTCAAGCAGCAAGCAAAACATATTAAGAGGCGATTTCCCAACCTATCAGCCGTCAACCCATCCACCCATTTCCCACGTCGCGGCCAGCCACTGCCTCCCTAGCCGATGGACTTTTCCTCTCAGTACCAGTACGGCACCGCCGCCGGCGCGCAAGCGTACGACTTCATGCCGCCGGTGCAGCCCTTGACGCCATCACAATCTACTTCGACTGGTTCCGATGATTTTGGGCACACATCACCGCCTGTGCGGACCCCCCTCTCCAAACGCCCCCCCTCTTCCCCCTCACTCAACAACTAACAACAGCCCGCGCGGCATCATGTAGGAAGGCTTCGACGCCGCTGCCCTCACCGGCGGCGATGACTTTGGCCGCTACGACTACGGCGCCACTGGTCTCACACCCCGCGGCCTCCACGCCGCCTTTCCCGATCCTCCCACGCTGCCTCCGAACCTCGTCGGCCAGCAGCAGCACAGCCCAGGCGACAAGGGACAGTCGGACGACGAAGACATGACGCCCGCGCAGTCGCGCCGCAAAGCCCAAAACCGAGCAGCGTAGGTTTCTTCTGATTTTTTTTTTCTTTTCTTCTCGCAAATCCAAGCCCCGAAGAGGTCAAGGCGGACGAGAAGGGAGGCAGCGTTTCGCTAACCCCAAGGGAATACGCACAGGCAACGGGCGTTTCGGGAGCGCAAGGAAAAACACGTCAAGGACCTCGAGACCAAACTCGCTGGTCTCGAGGCCGCGCAGCAGCACGTGGCGACGGAAAACGAGCGTCTACGACGGGACCTCGACAAGGTGTCGACGGAAAACGAGATTCTCCGCGCCACCGCCTACCTGATCCCTCCCACGTCGGCCTCGTCTCTCCAGGCGAACAACAACGGCCCCGTCACCACCACCGGCCCGACGGAATACCACCCGACCGACTTTTACGCACAGGTCCTCCAGGGACACGCCAGCTCCTCGGCGCCCCTGCACCGCATCGTCATTGGCGACGACGGGGGGCGGCTGCTCGCCGCCGGGGCGACGTGGGACTGCATCGTCTCGCACAAGCTGTTTCGGCGCGGGCTGGTGGACGTCGGCTGCGTGAGCGAGAGGCTGCGCGCGGCGGTGCGGTGTGACGGCCAGGGACCCGTGTTTCCGGAGGCGGCCATTCGGGAGGCGATTGAGCAGAGCGTGGCTAGCGGGTCGGACGATTTGCTATGATGGCGAAAGAAAACGGCCACGGTCAATGCAAAAGAAAGAAAGAAAGTAATAAAAAAAGCAAGAAAAAAAAAAAGAAAAAAGGAAAGAGAAAAAAAGAAAGAAAACCCCGAAAAAAGATAGTCTGTGACTTAGCAGAGGGATGGTTGGGCTTGTTGATTGCAATACTCTGTATAACCGGCTTTTTGAACATTTTCGAAGCAGTTCTCGTAGTTAACGAAGAATAATATTTGTCCCACAGACACGTGTACATGCTCCTGATAAAGGCGGCGTCTACAAAACAGTACAAAGATGAAGCCAAATCCTCACGACGCTTTAGAATAGAGAGAGCGGTCTTGTTGTGATACATTAGATTAAAAAAAAAGCTCAACGCCCACATCCGAACAAACGCCCGTCCTCGTCCATTTTCCGATCTCTTGTCCATGCAACAAAAAGAGCAACCAAACTTATGCTAATTTCCCAAATATAATAAACTGCTTTACAAAGGCCTCCAAACTTGGGCAACAAGAAGAGAATGTAAAGATGCCACGCGCCAGTGTTCCACTAGCTCCCTACGAATTAACGCATCCACATTGTCCTGTTCAACGTACAACAAAGGTCCTCTCCCCACCTAACCTGATACCATACCAACTCTCGTATTTAGTGCGTCTTTTGCGTCTTGGACCACGCAGGCTCGGGAGCCTTGGTGGTAGAGTCGTCCTCGACGTGGTGGTACTTGATAGTGAGGCACCAAATATCGAGGTAGTCGCAAATCGTGACAATGACATCGACGACGAAGCTTCCGTAGACGCCAAAGGCGGTGCCCAGCATGAAGAAGACGTAGGCAATCTGGTACGGGCCGTCGCCCAAGGCGCTCGGCCAGCCGAATCCAAGGTGCTCAGCAAGGATGGGGCCCATGGAATCCGCGACGCCAATCATGAGCAGCGCGCCGAGCACGTTGTAGTAGGGGAAGTCCTGCTTGAGGAGGTGCGCGGTAATCATGCGGCCGACCGAGTAGGCGTTGACGAGGCCGACAAAAATGGCAAACGGCACCAGGTGGTTGCGCAGGATCACGGGCTGCAGCTTCAGGTACGAGACGACGAGGAACCAAACGGAAAAGATGGGGCCGAGACCGATGAGGGCGCCGCGCGTGTTGTCACCGCGGGCACGGCGAGCGCGGATGACGTTGAGCGAAGACTCAATCGTGTTGAAGACGAGCACGACGGTGCCCTGGACCAGGTACCACTCGGTAAAGGACAGGTTGTAAATGGCCATGGGGATGCCCATGTTGTCCGGGAGGCCGAAGGCGCGCAGCATGCTCTGCTGCCAAACATGGGCGCCGCCGAGGAAGCCGGTGAGGGCGTAGACGAGGACGAGGATCAAAACGCCCTCGACGGGGCCGTTGACAATGCCGAGCGTGAGTGTCTTGGTATGGTACTCGTCCCAGGTCTGGACGTAAAAGGTGAGGAGCGCTAAAAGAATGGATTAGCACGTTGTACGGCGGAACACTACAAGGGAAAATCGTACAGGCAAAGAGGACGGCGACCGTCTTCCAGCCCTGGCCCATGTTCTGGGAGGCGGCAAAGATGAGGACTTCGAGGGATGTGTTGAGGGCGTCGACGCCGTGGTCAAAGAGTTCACCGAGAGGACCGGATTGCTTGGTGCGACGACTATTTTCACTGTTAGTCCAGTCTTTTTTGTTTCCCTCGCTTCGCTCGACGTGGGCCGTAAAAGCCACCGCATCTTAAAAGCAACGCATCGTTTACAAGAGACGCCGAGCGAAGCGAGAAGCCAAGAAAACTTACGCCTGGGCGCCGTCGACGGCATCAAACGTCTGGTACAGGAACAGACCAATGGCCCAGCTAAAGTACACCCACGGCGGGCAGTCCTGGTCCAGCGTCGGGTTGTACCACAGCAGCGTCAGAAAGTTGACGACGACAAATACAAAGCCCGTCAGCGTAATCATGTTGGGCGCCATCGTCATGGGAAACAGGTGAATGACGAAATTCGTGTAAAACGGCTTCAGGATGTACTTGGACACGAGCGACCGGTCCACCGCCGAGTACTTGTACTCGCGCAGCGCCGGCAGCTCGTTGTGACGAATGTAGACCATGGTTGGAACGCCTTTTGTTCGTGTTTCGCTCTTGTCGATGGGGTTTGTTTTCGCGTAGACGGGATCGTGGGACTGTCTGTCTGGTCGTGGTTGGTGTGGGCAGCGAGAATCTCTGTTTTTTTTTTCCGTTGGGGCGGAAGGCGGCGGGCGCGCGGACAACGACGGGTGGAAAGTCGGCGGATCGAAACAACGACAGGGTCCGTAACAGCGGCGCGTCGCAGAGGCAAGGAGAGGCCGAGACGGTATATTAAAGAAGAGATAAAAAGAATGAAACGAAAAAAAAAAAATTAGAACCTGGCGCGCAAAAAGAGTGCGACAACAAGGTGCAGAAGCGACCGTAGAACAAAGTTGGTCAAAGCCGAGGATGGGGTGAAGGGAGGAAAAATTGGCCCTGTTCCGACTCTCAGGAGGCAGGCAGCTGCTGCAGATGATTTGATGATTTGACGGGGCAAGGGGACCCACGTAAGCCAGATTAACCTATGACGAAACGTTCAAACACGTGTGCGCTCTAAAACACACCAAAAAGACGATGGATGAGGAAAAGGGCACAAAGATGAATACGAATGGGATGTTGTTCGATGTCTGTTCCCTTTTTTTTCCGTCTTGTCTCCCCTTTTCCGTCAACTAACTGTCTTCGGGAACTGCGCACGAGACCCTCAGCCCAGTGAGCGGGCCCTTTGATTGTGCCCCTTTTCTTTTCTCAGGGGTTGTTGTGCGCCCCCAGCGACATAATTCATAATTTTATACAGTATTATTCTAGTTATAATAAGAATAAATTGGTTTGTTCTGGTCATCAATACGGGCACCAGGCTCACCATCGTCGTCGTCAAAACAGTTGCTCCGTGTCCTGCCCTTCACATGCCCACTCCCCACACACACAATATATCCCCTGAATATCACGCGCTCCCTTTTCCGGCGCACCATAATTTGTACACGTTAGGTCCGTAGAATAGGTACGTAGATACACGTCGCTTGCCAGCACACCCAGTCGCGCCCTCCCACATCACATTTCCTCCTCCTCCTAGCTTAGTCCCCCATTCCATCTCTCATCTCTCCACTCCCCCGCTCCCGGCTCCTCTACAGCCTTATTCCGTCCCGTCTTTCGCTTGCCGCGCTCTGATAATTTATTGACGACAAGTCGACCGTGTCGCTGAAAGCTGCTCGGTACTACCGAGTTGCCGGGAAACCATCAATCTGCTGTCAGAATAGTGACCTTGTGCTGCCTGTTTTACATATATGCTCCATCCCGACACCTCCCATCCCCATCACGCACATTCTCAAAAGTATCAACACTCCAAAAGTAGTTAAAATCAACACCTACCTGTATTAACTCGCTTAGGCCATCTGCAGACCCATCCTTCAACCAGCCTCATATTCCAACCGCCCTATGATATACACTCTTCTGTCAAACACAACATCGCTACAACTATGTCTTATTTAGCTACACCTGGCCTACCATCTCCTATCGCACCGAACCCAACCCTAGTTACAGTTCCTCTTCCCTAGTTAGTGTCCTGCTCACGACCCTTCTTGAGCAGCTCTTCAAGTCTGCGCTCCAGGTTCGCCATGGCCATGTCGAGGAGCGGCTTGGTGTGCTCTGACACCTCCATTTTGTTGGCCTCTTCAATCGCGAGCGGACTGTGCCTGTTCCATCCACTCTGTCTCGGTCGTCCATCACCAATCACACCCACATATGTGTCCCTCGCCTTGTCCGCCTCTCCCACTGCTTCGCCGCACAGTGTCTCACAGCCATGGTACCACAGTTTATTCATCTTTTCCGTCTGCGTCGCAAGATTGGCCTCGTACTCGGCGTCTCCACGAAACTGTTGATACGACCCCTTCGTGCCCCATTCAGGCCGGGTTAGTGCTGCGTCGGAAGCCGTAAACTCTTCCACGCCACGTCTCTTATAGCCCTTATCAGGAGATCCCACAATACCATAGCTCCCGTTGGGCGAGCCTCTCGGCAGCTGCTGGCTGCCTTGGAAAAGCTGCGTGTAGTTGTTTGATTCAGACTCATGTCGGGATAGCGAGCCCTCGAGCCTGCCACGAGCATCGTCAATACCGGCGTGTTGTAGTACTCGCGCCGTAATAGCATAAGCGTCATCGTCGTCCATCTGCTTCGTAGCCTTGGTCTCGGTGCTGAGTGCTTTGAAGGTAGACTTGAACGTCGACGCCCGATACTGACGCTGTCCCGGGGGCCCAGCAGTCAAGGGCCTCGGAGCCCCAAGGGCCATATGCGTAAGCCAGGCATTCTTCGCCTCAACATCCTCGATATTGGGCGGCGGGCTCACTTCCTGGTGCTGGCTCCTTGCCGTGATACTCTGCAGTTCAGCTTTCGCCATCAGCTGCGATGCCACAGAGTCCGAGTAGGACGGCCGCAGTTTGGCCCAGGATCGGTCATAATGGTCAGGGCTTGGTCTTGGGTCCCAATGCTGGACCGGCATGTCGTGTGCACTATATGTGTTCTGGGGGTTGAGTCTCGGCTTGATCGGACGGAGGAGGGCTTTCTGAGCCTTCTTCTGATTGGGGTTCGCGTACGAGGCAAGATTGTGAAGCGACTTGACCGGCATGTTCATCATGATGCTGTCCATTCCGTCATCTCCATCTTCATCGTCATCGTCTTCCTCGGGATCCCGGCCAATGGCATTGTAACCCACCTCATCTACCTCTAGGCCAGCGTCGCCTGGGGTACTGTTCCAGCGGTGACCCATCTCATCGAAGCAGCCGTTTTTGCTGATGGGGTTGGCTGCTCGGTCGTAATTTTGCTGCAAAGGGGTATATTGAGCCACGTTATACGGGGAGCTCCGTCCGTTGCTTTTGGCTTGTAGAGTTGCAATGAGAGAGCGTGGAAGTAAGGATAAGTCCGAATAGGCACCGCCAGATGTCCACTTGGGTGCCCGGCCTCGTCTGGTGGGAGGCTGTAGGGGTTGTGACGTATTTGGATTGTAAATGGTACCGGCCGTCGTGTAGGTAGGTTGGATCGACGGGTTAGAAGAGCCGCTGGCGGTGGTGGAAGGAGAGATGCTGTCTGTTGGTGATTGTTTCTCCATCTTGAGAGTCGTTCGGCTCGGGTATTATTATTTTTTTCAAGCGTGTGGGTAAGTCCTGCTCCTCGATTATATGACTTGGCGAAGATGTCGAACAAATAGACAGAACAAAGGAAAAACGAGATCTGGGAAAGTTCGAATTAGACGAGGCAAATAGGAGGGCGCCAAAACAGCAACGCTCGTGTCCAACACAATCTCCAACAAGTCAACAAAAACGGAGAGAAAATTGCACCCAAGAACGGCCAAAGTATCAGTGAAGTGTAAGAGACGGAGGAATCGTCATTCCAACATTAGAGCAAAGATGATACCTATTCATCAAACTGAAGGAAGTTGGGTAGAGGAGGGAGCTGGTCAAACCCATCGCCGAAGGCCCGAAGCGAGCGCACCTTCCCCAAGAGTCTGCAGCATCTCCACCAGTCTCAAAGAGGAAAACAGAGCGAGAAAGACCAAGAACCTACCTGATGAATCCAAAAAGATGTATAGAAAACCCTGAACAATCAATTTCTCCAAAGTGCAAATGGACAGGAGGAGACAGAGGATGAAGATATGCGAGTGGCAGCCGCCGATGTCCAAAAAAGATTCGTCTTCGAGGGCAAGAAAGGGGAAAACAAGATGGCAAAATTTGAGTTTTGTAGATGGTGAAGAAGGGTAAATAAGTGAATGGAGGTGTTGTTGTTGTCGTCAGGCGTCTACATCTGCGGCGGCAATACACCAGGTTTGGGCCATAAGGAGTGAATGGACTGATGGTGTCTGGAAGAGTTGTTTTGGATGATGCTTCGGCGAATGGAGAAAATTTCTCTAGGCCGCCGGATGAAAATAAACGGTCAAGTCGGGACTGCAAACGAAGGGCGCCAGCTGTGATAATTGGCGCCCAAAATGCCCCCTCGCGCCGTCATGGTGCAAACGACCCTTCAAACACGGCCCTCTCTCTACGCTGCAGCGGCTCATCCAGGCAGGTTCTTCTCAGGTTATTCTCAAAAGACGCGTCTTTTGTTGAATTATACATATATCCATTTAATATATATATAGTACCACATGATATCCCCATCTTGACAAGAAAACGCTCGCCTCCCTTTTTGAAACCCAAGCGCTTGTACCATGATCCATATCTCTTCCACGCTATGGTATACCTCGTAGCACGCGCTTGGCGGCTTTCTTCCAATTTTCCTGTCCCGCATCCTCCTCTCCTGGCAATATTCCATAATGAAAACAAAAAAAAACTTCCATGGCCAGACTTTGGCCAAGTAGTAGCCGAATGGGGCTTGAGAAGAAGTCTGGGGGAAAAAATACAATCGAGCAAGCCGCAAAAGAAAAGTAACAACTATGTATATAGAAAGAATGCGCATACCGCCTGCAAGTGTCAATTCGACAAGAAGCGCAAGCAATGGTCGAGAAACCCGTATATCCGAATCCAAGACAGGTTGGAAAATCTAATCGAAAAAGAACAAAAGGTATAAAAGCGATTGTGGAAACAAGTCAACTCCCCTATATTTGCGCAGGATACGCGCTCCCAGGAACCATGCCAGCCGGGTTGCCGTGCTTGAGCGTGCCGGACCGGCTGCCTGCGATCTGAAAGTCGGGGTTGTCGAGGAGCACATCCTGACGCTGCTGCTGTAGCGCCCGACGCGTGCTGTTGTGCGGCATGGGATGCTGATGCGGGTTCCAACGCGGGTTGACCCCTCGCTGCGAGACCGACGTAAAGTTGGACCGCTCTGAGCCTGCGGGGCTGCGCGAACCGTCCATGGCGTGCACGTCCTCGTACATGTGCGTGGGAGGCGACCCGACTCGACTGGCGTGCGGGCCGGACGACTCGTATCGCGGCTCCACGTCCTCGTAATAGGTCGAATTACCGCCGGCCAGAGGACTCGCCGGGCCGCGGTAGTCGGCAGCTACGGGACGGCGATCGATGGCGTGGACGGGTGACTGACCTCGCGGGGATTGTCTGCCAGAGCCTTGGTTCCAGGCGGTGCGTGGAGCGACGTACTCGTCGGTGCTGTACTTGCTCCCATCGCTCGCGTAGCCAGGGCGAATCTGCCCCGTAGGATGGCCTTGCTGCTGCATGGAAACCATGCCGCCAAGGTTGTTGTTGCTTTCAAGCGTCGTGCTGGTGGGTGGTGCGCCGTAGCCGTGATGCGCTGACGGGGTGGTAGCCATCTCGGTAGGTGGGCCAACGCCCGAGCCGGCTGCTCCGGTGGGCAGAGGCGGCGGCGATTCGGCACGCGGCAGGTCTGCGTCGGTACGACCCAGGTTACTTTGCGAGCCCCAATTGCTGTAGTCTCCTTGCTCGTTAGCTGGCTGATTACCGTAGGTGTCATACGGTCCCGGAGCTGGAGACCGTCGGCCGTAGCCCTGGTGGCCACCACGAGCCATTGCAGCTCCGGCCATGGCACCTCCCGCAACGGCGGCGCCAGCCATAGCCGGGCCGCCATATCCATCGCGGGACTGGCCATAGGGGCTACCTCTACCGCGAGGGCCCATTCCACCACGGCCATAGCTATCTCTTCGCTGCGCTGGAATGCCATAGCCACCACGACCACCACGCGGGGCACCGCCTCCGCGATAGCCAGGCATACTTCCTCTACTAGGGCGGCCGCTGGGGCCATAGGCTTGGGTCTGCGCTCCGTAGGGGTCCACTTGGCCGGGCTGGCCTCCATATCTGTCACGCGAGGCGGCGCGCGAGGGTCCGGCGTTTGCCAGGTCGCTCGTGTTTGTTACGGGGGAGGGTTCCGCGGTGCGCACCTGTGTAAGAGGGATGCGCTCGTCACTAAGTTGGTCATCCTTTTGGTGGTTCCTCTCGTACGAGGCAAACACGGGCAGGCCGTCGGCGCCAGAATTTGCGCCAGACATGGCGACCATGGGCTTCATGGGGTCCTCGCCGCGGTTGTAGTAGTTCTCGCCGCTCATCTCGGCATTTTCGGCAATCTGACGGCGGCGAGCCTTTCTACCAACCATGGAACGGCGCATCGAAAACGTCACAATGGTGCTGAGGAAGAGGATGATGGCGGCGGCGAGGACAAGCCAGGTGCCAAAGGCAATGTGCGGGATGAAGAGGATAATGTTGATGATTGTGGCGGCCAGGGTGACGAGAAAGGCGATGAGAGTAAAGATGAAGAGGGCGAGAAGGTAGCGGGCCGAGTGTGCGGCGGCGTGTATATGGGAAACCCCCGCCATGATCAACATTGGGAGTGTGACGGCGGCGGCGACTGGGTGCAGGATAAGAGTTTTGGCAAGGGTCTGACGGGTAGCCTCGGGCAGGGTGAATGTAGCTGAGCCATCGGCGGAAACTGCAGAGCAATGTTAGTGGGAGGTTGTTGAAGGAAGCTTGTTCGCGCAAAGCTGCTCACCATCGTAGCCAATGGCGGCCTTGGTGCACTTGTCGCCGGTGCATCTGCCCAGAACACCGTATATGGTGTCGCCTGCCTTGCCGAGATAGATTGATTTTGTGAGGGGCGCCGATATGACAGATATGATGAGCAGACCCAGGGCGGCGGTCAAGAGTATCGTCAGCGGCGTCGCGGGTCTCAGCATGGTGTCGGCCGTCGGCTGGGAGCGCGACACGAGGTGAGGAAGCAACTAGAGGGGAGCGAGGGGAGGGAAAGTCGGCGATGTGGTCATGGGCGCATCGGTTGAAGCTAATTGTGGTTGCGCGGGGAAGAATAATATTGAAGCTCGAAGAGAGGGGGAGTCGGGGTGACGCGAAGAAGATGGAAAACGAGCCCGTTTGTATGACGTTAGATTGGCGTCGTTGATGGTCGCTGAAGACGATGTTTGGTGGTTTCGGCGGAGCAAGTAGCGCGGGCCAACAGCGAGAGGAAGAGCAATGGTTTGTTCGTAATTAGTTATATGAAGAGCGAGTGCCGCCAAGAAATGCGAGATTGGTCGCAGCGCAGACAGACAAGAATTGCCGAACCAAACACTCGCTGGCAGGGCAGAATGATGCAGGATGCAGGTGAGGCGGCAGCTTGTCAAAATTCAAGAGGCGCCTAGTTACTACTACTAACCTATCGGGCTCTGATTGATGAGAGGAGGAGTTGTGGACAATGGAGGGGGGGATGGTCCAAGGTATCCACGATGTACCGTTTGGACAGGGGACGACGGCGGATTGGGTGGTTCCCTGTAGGCCAATAGATGTGCACAGTCGAGTGGACTCAGCGCTGTTTTTAGCGATTTTAGTGGGATTATCTTTATGGGAGGGGGGAAAGGCTGGTGGGCCATTCCACTGGGGGGCGGGCAAGCAGGGCAAGCAATTCAGGCACACGAGGGAGAATGTGGGAAGAGAAGGCTGGGATTATTCTGGCCTGCTCTGTCAGTTGGCACTTGGCAGTAGGGAGTGCGTATGTGCCTATTACTCGGTGCATGGCGACGCTGTCGTGCATGCGGCTGTGGAACGACGAGGGCATGGGATGGATTGGAATGGGGAGAGCCTTGTCGTCATGGTACCGGGCAAGTACCTGGAGATGTGGAAGGATTTCTCCATGACGCCGCCCACCAAAAAAGAAGGTGATGAATATGCAGCGCAAAAGTGCCCTGAAGGTGGTACCTGGTAGTTATAGCTATTTGCTCTGAATCTCATCTTCGGCCCGCGCCACGGAAAGGGGAGGACCAGCAAACTGCACCATGTCTACCCAGTAATACCCTCTGCTTCCCACGCGACGATGCTACATAAATCATCAGTGACTGCCTCAAGATGCCCCCATTACCACGAGTAGCCAGCCCTTGCTAGTTAAACAAATTCTACACCTCATGTCGCCATCATGGCCATCATGGCCATCATCAGGCCTGCCCTCGCCAAGCTTCATCTGTGACCCCACGCCCGTTGGCCAGACTCGGGCTAGTTCACCCCCCTCGACGCCGGGTGGTTGACGTCAACGGCCCAACAAGCTTCCAATCGAAGAATACGAACGCTCTCTTTCTGTCTGTTTTTCTGTAATAGCGGCTACATACTAAGTTAATCCCATCTTGACAGGATCTAGTTCATCGTTCAACCGAACCTCACTTTCGCTCGACCTGCAGCTTGGTGACGTGGCCTCGCTCGTGGCGGGCGCTCTCTCCTTTTTTTTTTCTCTCTTCATCTACATCTGAATGAGGAAGGTTTACAATGCGCGCAAGCCGTGTGGCGCTCAAAAGCCCACACACCACTCGCCAACGCCACCAACAGTAATAAAATAAGTGGTGGTTACCTCGTAGCCTGCCTCTTCTTTCATGCCGCGACTGATTCATCGAGCTGGAGCATAACGAACAAGAAAAACTCAAAAAAATGCTTCCCATGGTCGATCCCGCCAAAAAAACTCAAAAAATTACATGGCAGCAAAAACTGACTTCTTATTAAATCGAAACAATAGGTACATGCAGACTATCTTCTCTCACTGATTAATCCAGGAGCGTTGATCTCCCCCCCCTGCACCAATAACAGTGACACAGTCCACGTTTTGCCCACACCACGATGTACGATACAAAGCTGCGCCTTCAATTTTAAATTGGCCCAAGTTTTTCCTTATTAACCCGTACAAGATCTGTGACTATCCGTACAGATCTGCGTCTCGCCGCCAAGAGCCGCAAACCATGCGAAACTTTCTTTCTGACAGTCATCATCCGCTGACATGACAGCGTTCTTGACTCTGCGGTTCATGCGCTTTTGCTTGCACAAATCTCATGCCGCCGCCTCAGCGCAGAGCAACTGCCAACGGCTGCATAAATGATGCAGCTGCACCGCAAAAAGTCGATCCGTTTCGTTTGCATGCGTCCAGGCCGACGCGTCTCCTGCAGGAAACCGAGGGTTCTCGTCAACGCAACATCGGGAGAGCGACCGCATCTGCGGCCGGTTCGTGCATCACCGCACTGAAACAGCTTTGCGCTTCATCTCATCCTGCGCCCGCCCCCCCCTTCCCAGTAACTAGCACATCGTTGAATCTCAATATCATAAAATGCGCAAAGAGGTGTGAATATTGAATCAAGGCAAAAAAGTTATCGTCAAGGGTCAAGCTTACGTACGCTACACCAAGTTCCCAACATTTGAAGCATATACGATGTACGTAGAAAGGCACTAGTTCCCATCCTCCTTGTCTCATGTTTGGCCACGCAAGCCGGGCTGTGTCCTTTCTCGGCTCCATCTTCAGCCCGCAAGCTCCCACCTGTTCGCGCATACCCTGGAGTTGTCGTTTTGGATGGATTCAATCATCGATGCACGCCATTTTGCTTTGGATAAAAGATAAGAGACGTCGTCACTTACCTCACCCATGACTTGTTTCTAGCATTGCACTGGAGACTTGGCAGCACACCGGACCTGGTGGCGCCAAATGCGCCACGGGCATGCTGTCACTTGCGCATGACGTTACAGCATCAATCAAGACCATTCGCTGCCACACCCTCTCATGCCATCAAGGGTCCAAGAATTATACCCTTTCCAGTCTATATATCAAGCCAGAATATCCAGGCCAACTTTTGAACCGAAATACATGTCTGCCAACAAAAACGCCAGTATGCTTCAAATGCAATGGTCCACCCCAGCTAGTTCGCACAACTCTCATACTGAGCTCGGAAGAGCGATCCCTCCGTCGCCAACAGCTCCCGCGGCGCGCCAATCTCGGCAATGGAGCCCTTGTCCAGGAACACGACGCGGTCAAAGTCGAGAATCGTGTCTAGCTTGTGCGCAATTGCAATCACAGTCTGTCCTTCAAACTCATCATGGATGATGCGATGCATCATGTCGTCCGTTTCGGCATCAACACTTCGAAAAAAGGTTAACTCAATTAATAGTGGGCGTATTTCCATAACATACCTGCTCGAAAATTCATCCAGAACCAGGATGCGGCCGCTGCGGACCATGGCCCGTCCAAGGCAGAAGAGTTGCCGCTGTCCATGGGAGAGCAGATCCGCGTCCATGTCCTCGTCAAGACCGCCGTGTTCCTCAAAGACTTCCCACAGCTGCACGGCCGTCAGCACCTCGATGAGACGCTCGTCAGTCGCGGTACCGAGGGGGTCAATGTTCTCGCGCACGCTGCCGTAGAGGAAAAAGGGCTGCTGCGGAACCGTGTTGAGTCGCCGACGCAGCTCTTCCCTGGGTGCCTTGGCAATGTCGACTCCGTCAATCACGATCGATCCAGTATCGAGATCGAGCATTCGAAACAGGGAAGAGACACAAGAAGATTTGCCGCTGCGACTGAATTAGAAACAAGTTATGCGTTACAAGTACCTGGGAAAAACTTACCTGCCGGTGCGGCCACAGATGGCGATTCTTTCTCCACTCTTGATGGTGAGGTTCATGTTTTGGAGAACAGGCGGCAGGCTTGCCTCATATGACGCAGAGACGTCTGTAAAAGTAATTGATCCCGTCTTGGGCCACTCATCGGGTAGATCCTCCGTCTCACCGCCAGCATCCTCTCGCTCAGTTCCGAGCACAAACGAGCGAATACGGCTAACAGCTCCGATGGCCGTCTCCAGATGCGTCCATTCCGTCACGACCAGCTGCAGAGTCTGACTAAACGAGACAATGTTGAAGAGCGCGACACCGAGGAAACCGGTCGAGCCGCTGCGGATATTGGTCGCAAGGCCGACTAGCAAGATGGCGACCGCCGCAACGACCAGGTTCAGAACCAGAGTCAGCCACCGCTGGATGCACCACATGAGGTAGTAGGGCTTCTGCGATGTATTGAGAATGTCCATGCTGCGCTGCATGTAATTGCCGGACCAGTTGTAAGCACGAATGCTGGCAAGACCCTCAATGCTTTCCACAAAGAGCGAAAACAGCGGTGCCTTGGATTCAATGTCCAGCAGTCGGAGCTGGCGCGATGTGCGGAGGTAGTACAGCTGGATAATGTACAGGGCGCCAATGCAGAGCGGGATGGCGGCTCCGACATAGCTGGAGCCAATGAAGACCAGAACAGCGGAGAAGAGGGCTGACAAGATGGCAATAATCGTCTTGTCTAGCGCACTAGGGAGCTCGCTGTCAATCAAGTTGAGATCTTGGCTGAACCGATTGAGAATCGTGCCAGTGTCTTTGGAGGTGATGAATCTCGTCGTGGCATGCATCGTCGTGGACAGCAGACGGTTGTGGAATTCAGTCATCATCTTGGGGACAATCTTCAACTGGAAGACGGAGTCGGAAGCGACACTGCCCAAGAAAGCGGTCGCTGCAATGGCACCATAGACACCGAGCCAGTATCCGATGCGTTCGTTTGGGTGGTGCTCATTAGCATTTGCCCACCACTGAAGCCAGAGAGCTGCACAGTTGTTAGCTTGGGGAGAAAGAGTTGCATTTTGCGCGGGTGACTCACCGGGAAATCTGAGACCAAAGACAAAGGAAGAATAGAGGAACACATAGAGCACCATGTACCACCAACCAGCCACACTGATAAAGTAGCTATAGATCTTGGCGTCGCCAACACCTCGGTTGCCCTCCATATCCTCTACTTCAGCGGCGGCCATGTGCTCCAAAATTTCATCTGGAAGTTCAAGATCCAACTCGGGGTCCCTGTTCACCGGTTTGTTATCCTCTGAGCGCTCCAGGTCAAGCTTGATGTCAGACAGTTCCTCTGGCGTGCACTGTTGAGTAATGTTGCCTTGCCTATCGAGGACAATGACAAAGTCTGAGTAGCGCAAGTGATGAACTAATTTGAGTCAGTACACCATGTTCATGGTGCGGCGGCGGTACTTACCTGAGCTTGTGGCCAAGATGGCTGTAGCATTCCATCGACGGAGCAGTCCGTCACGACCAAACACGTTTTCGAGAATGCTTGACTCGGTTATACGGTCGACTCCTGCCAACACATCATCAAGAATGATGACATCCTCACCTGAAAAGAGGGCTCGCGCAAGGGACTGCGCACAATTAGCTACGATGCATGCCAGCTTGCTCGAGACTTGTACTTACCACCCGCATTTGCTGGCCACCACTGAGGTGCGAGCCGCGCGTACCGACCTCGGTGCGGTCACCGTTGGGCAGAATATCAAAATCAGCCGACAGAGAGCATGCTTGCACGACACTATTGTACCGGAGCTCATCCCATGTAGACAAGCCAACAATGTTGTCACGGATCGTGCCTCGGAAGATCCAAGACGACTGGGGGCAGTAGGCGGAGCTGGGAAACTTTCGCTCAATAGAGCCTCCCACCTCGGGCACTTCGCCAAGGAGAAGTCGCATAAGCGTAGACTTGCCGCAGCCAACAGGCCCAATCACCATGGTCGTCTTGGACTTGGGCATGTCAAAGGTGAGAGCCTTGAGAACAGGCTCCTTCTCCGAGGAGTAAGCGGCTGTGGCATTGCGAGCAGTGAAAATGGCACCAGTGCTGATCAGAGCTTGTTTTTGCAAGACTACATTCTCTTGAACAGCTGCGTGCTTCTCCTGCGAGGAGGAAGTGCTCATATCGTCCTTTTCGTTGCTGCCCGAGACCTTGGATTCGATCTCTTCAGTGCCGGAGTCACCTTGCTCATTGGCTGTCAGGTACTCTTGGATGCGCCCGAAGCAGTTCAAAATGGTCTGTGCATGCTCAAGTGCATCGGGAATATTGACAGTGGGTTGATCTGACAACTCGTACAAGGTCAGAGCCGGGAAGATGATTTGTTCGGTAAGGGTTTGCGAGTTTCTTGACCTCGCTAGCAAGATGAAGACTCCAAAGCCCCAAACGGGGGCAAAGGTAGACGACACGTAGACTATAATTGTCAGATCTGAGCATTCGGGGTGTTTGACCATTGTACTTACATCCCGCATTCAGGAAAATATTCCAGAGACGATAACGAAGCGAAGACCGAATCTCGTCATGACGAAGGCGGGTAATCATGGCGGAAATGACACCGCTCAGGCCAGTCATTCTCATGCCTTTTAAGGCGCCCAGCGCACCAGACGTTGCTTCCAAGCGAGTCTCTATCGCCTCGAGCCATGGAACTTGAGCATTTCCTGCGATTGTGGCTACCTTTAAGCTTGCAGCGAGACATACTAGTCGGGGTCAGTGTCGAGTTACTATCGAATTGGGGAGAAAGGTGTATCTACCGACGATGAAGGCGGTCGAAGCAGACATGGCCACGCCAAGAAGCCTGTACAGAAGCCAGAGGGTAATACCCAGCTCAGTCGGGCCGGCATACAGCTCGTGCACGTCCTCCATGCTTATGCCGATGCGGTCAATGTCTGCACTCATCAGGGTCATTGCCTCAGCATCGGACGCAGCGTTGGAGCTGACGCGCAGCGTCTTGTTGAAAATGATGGAGACGAGACTGCCACGGAAGAGAGTAATGGCACGATACACCTTGAGCTCGTAAACCGAGTACGCTATCTATATGCTACCGTTAGTTCTGTTCAACGCTAGTTGACGTCGCGTCACGTACGGCAATTCCGATATAGACGAGAGCGTAGGCGGCAATCAATCCGTAGGCTGTCCTGTTGTCGGATTCGGTGGGAGACTCGGCAACGAAGTCAAGGACTCTTTGAACGAGGAATGGCTGGGCGAGGGTGAATGCAGAGTAAAGAAGTCGGGCAGGCGTAGCGGCGAGTAACTGCCACTTGTAATGCATAATAAAAGTCCAAAGCAACGCATGTTTCTTGGTTTGGTCGGCTTCCGAGGTTGTTAGCATTCGAGACATGTCCCGCAAGTATGCGCTACCAACCTTTGTTCCACCTGGCCAGGAGCGTCGACGGCTCCGACGCCTTGAGCAAATCGCCATCTATGGGCATCAATGTGTCAACGGTCAAGGATGAGCGGAACCCTTGCAGCAGCAGATTATTCAACCAGATGAACAGCGCTCTGGCGTATGTGCTGCTCGTCGCCTCGGGCGCGGCATCTTTCCATTTCGGGCGCAGCAAGCGGCGCTTTTCGTACAGTTCCAACGCGAAAAGGACGGCCTTGACGCAGAAGCCGGCCAGGAATACCGCGGCCAGATGGTCGGCGGCGTGCAGGTAAAACAAGGTCCGGACGCGCGCGAGGTCGAGCAGCGTCGACAGGCCCAGGTACAGCGTCAGGAGGGTCGAGGGCCGCACCGAGCGCGTGTGCTCGAGGTACGAGAGGTACAGGAAGAAGAGGGATGTGACTAGGGTGACGGAGAGCGCGGCGAGGGTCGACGTCGTTTTGGGAGCATGCGGCTGCGCCCACAGCGACAGCAGGACAATCTGCAAAACAATGTACGTCCCGTACGAGACCTGGAAGAAAAAAAAGATCAATTAGCCCCCCAGCGTTTCAAGTGTTGGCAACCGGTCGTCAAACGCAGCCTTACCATCTTCACTGGCAAAAGCCATGACTTGTCGACTTTGGCGAGCGCATCTCGCAGTTGCAGAGCGCGTCCAACAGAGAAGAGGACTGTACATTGGTGGGTTAGAAAAGCTGCCCGCGCGCAGACGGGGGAAAGGAAACTTGCAGGTCAGGCTCAGCGGCAGGATTGTGAGGACGGTCTCTTCAAAGAGCAGGGTGAAGTCGAAGCCGCCGAGGCATGCAGGCGAGACGGACGGGCCAAAGACCCTCTCGACGTCAATTGTGCAGCTGTTGTTGGAGCGCATCATGGCGGCATTGCTGTTGGGTGATGAGGACGGCGGCAAATGTCAATTCGAGAACCGAAGAATCTTCAATGGCCTCTACTATCAAACGGAGGCAGTCTACAGATGCAACAAAGGGCAGAAATCAGTATGCAAAATGCACAAATGCATGTTGTTTGCTCAGGTTGGGTACTGGGGAATGCTGGCTGACCTCGAGGGGGGAAGAGACAAAGCCCGCACCGCCTCTAAACGGCCTAATGCTGGAACAGGACAAAGGAGGTTTACAGTTATCTACACACCCATTTGGCCTGCAAGATGACAGCACGCCCTTAACCGGTTATTATGTGGTTTTTTTTTTCGTTTATCCTGTTTCTTTGTAAGATTTTTGTTCTTAAATTTTATTCTTGTTTGTAAACGAGAATTCGTTATGTCCGGTGCCGATCTAGACCTCGCTCTGGACTACGCCGATTCTACTAACGCTAGGTACCTTACCTAGTAGGCTTAGGCTTCCGCCACCAGTCTAGATTATAAGGCGCTTACTGCACAACGCCAAATTATTAGTTAGGGCTGATGTATGAATTAGCTTCCAATCAAAACAATGTCTGGCTGGGTTCGAAAATAGCCGTGAGTCCTCTGGCTCACACAGGTCAGTCCCAAGAATACTGGCCTGGCTTTCGCAAACCCACCCTTGCCCCCCACGGCGACTTCTTATTGCGGATAGGATCGGCGGTTTCTTTTCTCATCTGATCCACGTCATCCTCCTCTGCAAGTGGATGATGCGAGGGGCGAATCACCATCACTAGATGCACCACTCATTCATCAAAGTCTGGAGCTAATCCTGAATAATTAGGCCACGCCCCCTCAAATGCAAGACCCAGTTGTCAAATCCAAAGCCAAGACTTTTTCTTACGGCGTTTTCGGATCTATCCTAACTTGTCCCGGTTGGGCCGTGCCATACGCCCCCGCTAGTGCAACTTGGGACGGCATGTTCAAACGAACGAAACAACCTCGCAAGCCTGTTGGGCCTGTTGGTACACTTCCTCCTTGCCTTTCTCTTCATCGACCAGCTAACTTATTTGTACTGCATGCTGACCGACCCTGCGCATCCGTCAGAGCCGTAGGTAGTATTTGTCACAAGAACAGAATGACCCTGCCAACGTAGCACGCAAAAGAAAAGTCTTTGAACCGCCGACCGAGATCAAATGCGACAGCCGAAGGAAAAACTGGAGAGGAAAAAGCGCTTGGGGCAATGGACATACCGTCCTTCTCAATCCCGTTACCCGTGGCCCTTGTTTCATTGGCATCCCCGACGCTCATTCTGGCCTCATTACTCGAACCCCCCAGACAGTATACACGCGTTCGCTTATTCGCATTCAGTCGCTTGTAATCCCTCACCATGGCGCGATCACGGCATCGTCATGACGAGAAGGAGACGTCTTCCCTCAACTGCCGACCGACGCCGGCTCCAATTCTTCGCGGAGTCATCTAAACGAATTCTGTGTCGCCCCCCTGCTGGCTCACGTACATGGCCGCAAATGCAAGCTGATGTACGAAGGAGTTTGTAAATAGATCTGTCCCAGCGTCGGAAATCTACCTGTTGTGCTGCCCTTCCGAGACATGCAGACTGTATCCGTCAGGGTTCATTTCCGAATACCCTTGGACGTCTAACTACTGTTAGCTTCTAGAATCGTCGTGTAATCACCGTTGGAAATAAAATCAGCCTGCTATTACTCCATTGTTATTTTTATTGATGCATCACATAATTTGTAGTTCCATTATAAACCTTTTTGCGAGTTCCCCAGCCCGAAACGTCAGCGAACAACGTATCCCATCCTGTCTGTATGTACGCGTAATGCTATTTTTATATTTTATTTTTACAATTGCCGAATAGCCACGCGGCCCCTCACGCCTTTTGCAGTCTGCGAAAGAGCACATCGCATCGCAGTCCGCGCGGCAGTGCATTTTCCGTCCCCAGCTGGCTCATGGTCGACGCATTGGTACCCGACTGCTCATTCTCGTACACGTCAAAATGCAGCAGCAGGCAGGCCAGCAGCACCTTGATCTCGGCCAGCGCAAACGCCTTTCCCAGGCACACGCGCGCGCCGTAGCCAAACGGGATGTAGCAGTTCTCCATGGCGCGCAGCTCGTCCTCGTCGGCGCGCAGCCAGCGGCCCGGGTCGTAGATGTGCGGGTTCTGGAACACGGCCGGGTTGTGCTGGAGGGCCATGGTGGATGTCGAAATGATGGTCTGTATACAGGGGGTTAGATGAGTGTGTAAAGAGTTAGTTAGGGGGGGTGAGAAAGACGTACCCCGGCGGGAATCATGACGTGGTCGTACAGGTGCGTCTCGGGCACGATCCTCTCGGCGCGCCCGCTGGACAGCGGCTTCGTCCGGAGCGACTCGCGCAGGCAGGCCTCGAGCACCGGCGCGTTCCGGACGGCGTCGAGCGACGGCAGCCCGTCGTCCTCGAGCGGCAGGCGCTGCAGCTCGGCGCGCACCTCGCGCTGCCAGCTGCGGTGCACGGCCAGCAGCCAGACGGCGTAGGTCAGCGCCAGGGACACGGTCGTCTGCGCGGCGTGGATGTTGTCGAGGCACTCTGCGGCGAGGAGCGTCCTGCGGGGCGACGCGTCGGCGCCGCCCGTCGTCTTGTGGTCCCCGACGAGCCGGCCGACGAGCGATGGCGGCTCGCCGGTCGTCGCCGCTCCGTCAATGCCCTGGACGGCCGCGTCCAGCCGCTCCATGTTCCACGCCGACAGGCGCTCCTCGGCGTGCAGGAACCGGGGGTTCACGAGGCGCGTGACGGCAAACTTGACGAGCCGGTGAGCGAGGGGACACGCGTACCGCAGGTTGTTCCAGACCTCGCACTCGGCCCAGTCCTCGAGGATGGTCTGCTTCTCGCGGGCCGAGGCGAGCGAGCGGGACGTGTGGCGGGGGCCATACACGAGGGCGGCGATGTTGTCAAAGGCGTACACATTTGCGAGGCGCAACATGTCGGCGGCGACGGTGGCGTGCGCGCTGCCGCCCAGCTCGTCGACGAAGCGCCGGGCGCGGCGACGCAGCGGGCCCATGACGGCGTCGCCGTACACGGTGGCGGGCTGGTAAAAGGCAAACGTCGTCTTGCGCGCGGCGCGGTGCTCCATGCAGCCGAGCGCGGTGAAGACGGTGCGCTCGCCGTACAGGGTGAAGTTGTTGAAGAAGGCGCTCTTGGGGTGCCGCGTGCCGGCGCGGTAGATGAGCCGCGTCGACGCCGCGCTCGACACGGACACCTCGCCCGGCGCGACGAGCACGACGGCGCCGTACTGCCCGTGCCACTGGTAGATTTGCTGGTTGCGCCGCAGGAACACGTCGTGCAGGTCGACCCAGAGCCGCGTCACCTTGCACAGCCGTGGGCCGGGGATGTGCGCGTAGGGCGAGAGGAAGAGGGCGTAGACGACGCGCCCGGTCAGGAGCAGCGCGGAGAGGAGGAGGAGGAGGATGCTCAGAGAGTAGGAGCTGGGCCGATACGGGGGTTCCATGATGGGCCGGTGTCGAGAGGGAAGCAACTGATAGCAAGCAACAAGGCAAGATTGCTGGTATGATAAGACTTGAAAGGTTTTATATGCAGTAATCTGCTCGATTGGTACGTTACCCTTTCAAATACTAATCATAATAGGCACACCCAGTCGTGTACCTCTGGCTCACACCCAGTGTACCCTCTCTGCCTCGACCACAACCAACCTAGTTCTGTGATTACCTCGCCACACAAGTGCCAGCCCATCGGGCCGTCGACTAGGGGCCTGTTGCATCATGTTGCTACGGAGCAACTCCAGCTCCAAGAAAGCAGAAGCAAAGCAGGACCCGCCGCAGGTTTCTGCGCTGGGCGTTGATGCATGGTGCCTCGGCAGGATCCCAGTGGTCGGCCGGCGTCGACGCCATCCAACTGCAGATTCAATCCCCCCCCCCAATATACTGCCTCCCCCAATAGATTACAGAGGATCGTAGACGACATGTACCCTGTTTCAAGATGGCTTCCGCACTATTGACCAGGCACCGCGGAGCATAAGCAAGAAAGAGCCGATCAGCACCGTGTATTGCCCAGTTGGTGAGACTTGGGAACGAAACATCAGCGTAACCCCTTGCGGCTCCAACAGGACATGCGCCGGCCACTTTTTTCCCATCTATATATTACTGTTATTAATGACTTTCCTGACTGTGTTCTTTTCGGCGCCTTCCGCAAAGGATCAAACGTCATCGCCCTTCGCAGACAAGTGCGGGATTTCGTACGACGGATTTCGGGCCGCTTTCCATTCAAGAAGAAACAAGGTGACCCGCCACAGAAGAAGCCCTCTCGGATCACGACATGGCCTTCTTTTCACATCTTTTGCATATGTGGCGCCTGCCTGAAGCTGACGGTTGAGGCAGGCTGTTGTAGCTTTTAGTGGGGGTGATGTTGAAAGAAATGGGAGGCGCCCTTGCCTGCCGTAACAATTAGAAGCTTCTTTGAGGCTTGCTTTGAGGCGGCGATACTACCCGCACAAATATCTGGTAGCCGTCTTTTTGGCGTGGACAGCGCACGTCTCCGATGCCAAGGAGGAGATTGATAGTTGTTACGATGGCACCCTTGTAGAGGAACAAGAATGTCCGGCTTGCTCTTCGTCGTCGGTTGTCTCGTTGGTTACAACTCGTCTCTACACTACCATTCTACGGCAACCTCAGCGCTAACATGCTTGCCCTGCCGCGTCAGCAGGTTTCACTACTATGTACTACTAGGTGAGCTTGAACACGAAGCAGATCCAGCGTCCTTTTAGGCGGTGAGCACATTTTCCGTCCATGTTGCGAACCAAGACTCACGACAGGAGCAACTCCGGCACATCTGAACCCGGCAAATCGGCACACCGGCAGAGGGGCAGTTTAACTACCTAATAATAATAAAGGAGAATTTTCTCTTCCAGTCCCACGTTTACTTACTGTACACACACCCCCCGCGTAAGCGCTACGTAGATCCGTGGGACCCGTCAGCCCTGGCTGGGGTACGTGGGCCAGACGCTGCGACGACGGGACGGCGTCGACTAGCGCCGGCCGTATCCTCAGTGGCAGACATTCGGCAAGACATCAAGACATGATCTGATTTGTACAGGATGCTTTTTGTGTGTTGCGCCCGCTGTGGACTTTGCGGCAGGCCAACTAAGCATGAGTGAACCGCAGAGGGGCGCGCGCTCGCTGACTGCTCCAAACCCCCAGCCCAGTTGCCGAAGACACGGTGGTACAGCAGCAAAAGACTTGTCCGGGTAGATGCCGTGGACAGTACAGTCGGCCTGTGTGTAGAATGACTGCATCTTATAAGCAAAGCCGCCGGCTACAGCCCGGTAGCTATTGGGATAGAACTGGAGTCGACGAGAATCTTACATCACTTATACTAAAATCGTTGCAACATACTCACAGTGACTGTCGAAATCACCAATACTCACCGTGAACATACTTACAGCAAAAGACCAAAACCACTCACTACGACATACTCACAGTGAACCATCAAAATGAATCCCTCAGAGGCCCCCCACGACATATCCGCCTCGGATCTGGAACGCATCTGGCGCTGGAACGCAACCGTGCCCTCACCCGTGAACCGCTGCGTGCACGACATGATCGCAGAGGTCACGGCCCGGCAGCCCGCCGCCGAGGCCATTTGCTCCTGGGACGGCAGCATGACCTATGCAGAGCTCGACGCCTACTCGACGCGGCTGGCCCACCACCTCGTCGGCCTCGGGGTAGCCGCCGGCACAATCGTGCTCTTGTGCTTTGAGAAGAGCATGTGGACGCCCGTCGCGATGCTGGCCGTCATGAAGGCCGGCGGCGCCTCGGTCGCCGTCGACCTCGTGCAGCCCGAGGACCGGCTGCGCGTCATCGTCGAGCAGGTCGCGCCCGTGCTGATCCTCTCCTCGGCCGCGCAGCAGCTCGTCGCCCACAAGCTGCTGAGCTCCATGCCGGCGGGCGCGTCCGTCGTCGTCGTCGATGGGGACCGGGTGGCCGCGCTGCCCACCGCCGCAACCAGCGACGTGCTGCCCGCCGTCGACCCCAGCAGCCTCCTCTACATCGTCTTCACGTCCGGCAGCACGGGACGGCCCAAGGGCGTGTCCATCCGCCACTCAAACCTCTGCAGCGCGGTCCGGTACCAGCAGACGGCGCACGGCTTCCGGCCCGACTCGCGCGTCTACGACTTTGCCTCGTACGCGTTCGACGTCGCATGGATGAACGTGCTGCACGCGCTGACCGCGGGCGCCGTCCTCTGCATCCCGTCTGAGGAGGACCGCCGCGACAACTTTTCAGAGTCCATTGTCCGCCTGCGCGTCACGTACGCCGAGATGACGCCGACCATGGCCTACGTCCTGTCCCCCAAGACGGCCGAGACGCTGCGGACGATTGTGCTGGGCGGCGAAAAGGCCCACGCCGACGCGCTGGACCGCTTCCCGCAAGGCGTGGAGCTCATGAATACGTACGGGCCGTCCGAGTGCACGCCCACGTCGACCATCTCCACCATTGACCGCAGCGTGCCCTTTTCGGGCAGCATCGGCACCGGGTACGGCGTCAACACGTGGGTCGTGTCGCCGGCGGACCACACCGCGCTGGTGCCGATCGGCACGGTCGGCGAGCTGGTGATTGAGGGCCCGCTGGTCGGCGCGGGGTACATTGGCGACCCGGAGAAGACGGCCGCCGTCTTCATCAACGACCCACCGTGGCTGGTCCGCGGCGCGCCGGGCCATGAGGGCCGCACCGGCCGCGTCTACAAGACGGGTGACCTAGTGCGGTACAGCCAGGAGGGCGAGATCATCTTTGTTGGGCGGCAGGATACGCAGATCAAAGTCAACGGTCAGCGGACGGAGCTAGGCGAGATTGAGCACATTGTCAAGGAGTGCCTCGTCAAGACGGCGGGCGAGTCCAGAGCCATTGTCGAGCACATTATCCCCACCGGCTCCAAGCGACCCGTCCTCGTGGCTTTTTTGGATCTCGACGCCATGCCGGACGGAGACGCCTACTTTGCCGACTTGAAAGCCAAGGGCGCCGTCCTCGAGCAGAATCTCATCCGCGCTCTGCCCGCCTACATGACCATCTTCGCCTTTATCCCCATCCACGGCTTCCCTCTGACCGTGTCCGGCAAGCTCGATCGGCGCAGCCTGCGCGCTAAAGCCGAGTCGTTCAACCTGGAGCAGCTCACCGCCCTGAACCCCTGCCGCAAGGAGAAGCGCGCGTGTACGACGGAGACGGAGATGACTATCCAGCACCTGTGGGCGTCAATTTTAGACATCAGCCCGTCGAGCATCGGCGTCGACGACAGCTTCTTGCGGGTTGGCGGCGACTCCATCACCGTCATGAAATTTGTCAGCCTGGCGCGCGAAAAGGGCCTGCATTTGACTGTAGCAGAGATTCTCAAGAAGCCACGCCTGGGAGACCTCGCGGCGGGCGTCGGTGAAAATAGCGACCAGGACGAGACGGTGCAGCCATTCTCCCTACTACAGCCAAGTCTCAGCGCCGAGGACATCCGCTTCTACACGTCCAAGATTTGCGGCGTCGCGCCCGAGACGATCCAGGACGTGTTTCCCTGCACGCCGCTGCAGGAGGGCCTGCTGGCGCTGACAGCCAAGCGCGCGGGCGAGTACATCGCCACCGAGGTGTTTGCGCTGCTGCCCGAGATTGACGCCGGCCGCTTCCGGACCGCATGGAACACGTTTGTGGCGCAGACGCCGATCCTGCGCACCCGCATAATTGACATTCCCGGGCAGGGCATCGTGCAGGTGGTTCTCAACGAGGGCGACGTGCTCGCCCGCGGCGACGACGCGCAGAGCCTCGCCGACTATGTGGCACAGCACGAAAAGGTACACATGGAGCTCGGCACGCCGCTTCTGCATGCCCGGCTGGTTGAGCAGGCCGGCGGCAATCACCTCGTGTGGACAATCCACCACGCCCTCTTTGACGGTTGGTCGATTCCGCTCATGCTGCGCCTGCTCGAGACCATCTACCACGGCGGCAGTAGCGAGGTCCCGCCGCCGCCGTTTCAAGACTTCGTCAAGCACATTGTTAAGAGTGATACGGACAAGATGAAGTCCTTTTGGGACGGTCAGCTACGGGGCCTCGAAGCCCGGCCGTTCCCTGCGCTCCCCGCGCCCGACTATGAGCCGCGCCCGACGGATGTGTTGAACCACCAGATGACAGACGTGCAGTGGCCGCAGGCCGGCGTGACGCCAACAATGGCGCTCCGGGCCGCGTGGGCGCTCGTTATTTCACAGTACACGAGCTGCAATGACGTCTTGTACGGCGCCACGGTGGCGGGACGGCATGCACCGGTAAACGGTGTGGAAGCCATGATTGCGCCCACGATTGCGACGGTGCCTCTGCGAATTCGGCTAGACTATGCCACGAGTGTTAGCCAGTTTTTAAATAGTGTGCAAAAGCAGGCGGTCGACATGATTGACTATGAACAGGCCGGCCTGCTCAAGATAAGCCGCGTCAGCGCCGACGCCCGAATAGCCTGTCAGTTTCAGACATTGCTCGTCGTGCAGCCTAGCCAGGCCGACTCGGCGACTCCCTCCACTGTGTTCGCGCCCGGCACCGACGAGGAGGAAAACAGTCCCGACTCGGGGTTCCTCGGCGCCTTTGACACCTACGCCCTCAACCTCATCTGCCACCTTGCGCCCAACGGCGTCTGGCTTCAAGTCAACTACGACCCGGCCGTCTTCTCGCGCGACCGGACGGCACGCATGGTCACGCAGATAGAGCACGTGCTGCGGCAGCTATGTGTCCCGGCCAACCTGGACAGCTCGCTCGCCGATGCCATGACGATGAGCGAGACGGACCTGGCGGATATTTGGACGTGGAATGCGCAGGTCCCGGAAGCGGTGAATCGGTGTGTGCATGAGCTGATCGGGGAGACGACGCGGAAGCAGCCGGATGCCGAGGCCATCCATGCGTGGGACGGAAAGCTGACCTATAAGCAGCTGGATGTCTGGTCGAGTACCTTGGCGGCTTACCTTACCAGCCAAGGCGTTGGGATAGGTTCCATCGTCCCCCTCTGTTTTGAGAAATCGATGTGGACGCCGGTTACTATGCTCGCCGTCATGAAGGCGGGCGCTGCCTCTGTTGCCATGGACCCTGAGCAGCCCGAGCAGCGATTGCAAGCCATTGTCCAGCAAGTCCAGCCCAAGCTGCTGCTATCCTCGACCAAGTACCAGGATCTTGCCAATACACTGGCCGCTTCCAGTGCTATACAAGTCGTTGCTATAGACCAGATATGGCTGGCCGCCCAAACACTCCCGTCCGAAAGCCTCGCCCTCGCCGCCGTCAACCCCAGCAGCCCGCTCTTCATCCTCTTCACCTCGGGCACGACGGGCCTTCCTAAGGGCGTCGTCGTGACGCACGCCAACTTCAGCACAGCTATCCGCCACCAAGCGGACTTTTTCGGATACAACAGCCCGCAGGCGCGCGTGTACGACTTTTCTTCATACGCCTTTGACGCGGCTTGGCTCAACCTGCTCTTCGCGCTGGCCGGCGGTGCGTGTCTGTGCGTCCCGTCGCAGGACGAGCGGCGGGATGACCTGGAGGCGTCCATGGCGCGGTTCAACGTCACGCACGTTGACATGACGCCGACCGCGGCCAGCCTGCTCACCTCTGCGGCAACGGCACGGCTGCACACGCTGACGCTCGGCGGTGAGCGGCTGCTGCCGGCGGATGCCCGGCGATGGTCCCAGACCGTCAAGCATGTCAACAACATGTACGGCCCGAGTGAATGCACAGCCACGGCGACGATTTTGCGCGTGACGCCGGACATGGTGCCCGATAGCATCGGACACGGCGTCGGTGTGTGCACGTGGATTGTCGACCCGCAGGACTCGTCGGTGCTCGTTCCAGTCGGATGCGCCGGCGAGCTTCTTCTCGAAGGCCCTCTGGTCGGCCCTGGCTACCTCGGCCAGCCGGAGAAGACGGCCGCGGCCTTTATCGAGGACCCGCCCTGGCTGGTGCGCGGCGGCCGCCGCGGCCGGCTGTACAAGACGGGAGACCTGGTCCGCTACCACGCCGACGGCAGCCTCATCTTCCTGGGCCGCAAGGACACGCAGGTCAAGTTCAACGGCCAGCGACTCGAGCTGCAGGGCATCGAGCACGTCCTCCAAAATTGCCTGGCAGGTGTCGGCGGCGGCAGCCGCGCCGTAGTCGAGGTCGTCACCCCGTCGCAGGGCAAAAAGGCGGTGCTAGTCGCAGTCTTAGATATCGGCGTCGGGGACAAGGATGCGTTCTTCGCGGCCATGCACGCGCGGCAGGCGGAGATGGAGGAGAGGTTGCTGCAGTCGCTGCCGACCAACATCATAATAAGCGCCTTTATCCCACGCAACGGGTTCCCGCTGACGACGGCGGGCAAGATTGATCGACGCGTTCTGCGCGCGGAAGCGGAAGCGTACACGTTGGAGCAGCTGACGGCGCTCAATCCATACTACACAGTACAAGAAAAGAGGCTGCCAACAACGGACGCCGAGAAGACGTTGCAGGAGCTGTGGGCTTCGACCCTGGGCATTAGTCCAGACACGATTGGTGCCGACGATAGCTTCTTGCGCATCGGTGGTGACTCGGTCAGCGCCATGCGCGTGGTCGGACTCGCACGCCAAAAGGGTGTCTACCTGACCGTGGCCGAGATTCTGAAGCGGCCTCGGTTGAGCGATCTGGCAACCGTCGTTGGTACGCTGATTGAACCTAGCCAACAGGCGATTGCGCCTTTTGCCCTGGTCCGATCTGGTGCCGCCGCGCAGCAGACTCGACTGGACGCCGCCAAGCTGTGCGCAGTCAGCCCGGAGCAGATCCAGGACGTGTTCCCCTGCACGCCATTACAAGAGGGCTTGCTCGCGTTGACGGCACGACGCGCTGGCGACTATGTCGCGCAAGAAGTCTTTCAAGTGCGTCGCGAGATTGACATCCCTCGCTTCCAGGCGGCATGGCAGACCTGGGTGGCCAGCACGCCGATTCTCCGGACGCGCATCGTTGATCTGCCCGGCCAGGGACTCGTGCAGGTCGTCGTCGATGAAGCCTATCCGTGGCCCGCGACAGCCGTCACCACCTCGTCGCAGGACCTCGACTACCACATGCGCATGGACAGCAAGCACTCTATGGGCCTCGGTGTGCCTCTGATGCGCTTCCGCCTCGTCCGGCAAAGCGACGACCGCCACTTTCTCATCTGGACCCTCCACCACGCCCTCTACGACGGCTGGTCCATGTCCATTATGCTGAGCACGCTGGAAAGTACGTACAACGGCATCACGCTCCCGCCTGCGCCCCCCTACCAGGCCTTTGTGCAGCACGTCAAAAGCGTTAGCCGCGAGCAGGTGGCCCAGTTCTGGCGCCAGCAGCTGCAGGACCTCGAGGCTCAGAGCTTTCCCGTGCTCCCGTCGCCGACCTACCAGCCCGACGCAAGCCGGTCCCTCGTCCGTGCCATCAGTGGCCTGTCGTGGCCAAAGACAGACGTCACCCCGACCGTGGTGCTCCGCGCCGCCCTCGCCGTCATCACGGCCCAGTACACCGGCCTGCGCGACATCATCCTCGGCACTACCGTCGCCGGGCGCCACGTTCCCGTGCCCGGCGTGGAGCGCATCGTGGGCCCGACCATTGCCACCGTACCACTACGCGTACAGCTCGACTACACGCGGAGCGCCGCGCACCTACTGACCAGCATGCAGGCGCAAATGGCCGCCATGATTGAGTACGAGCAGGCCGGGTTGCTGCAAATCAGCCAAATCAGCCCCGAGGCCAAGGCCGCGTGCCAGTTCCAGACTCTGCTTGTGGTACAGCCCGACGAGGAGACGCAGACGGCGGCCGGCTTGTTCGCGGCGGATACGGAAGAGGAGGAGGAGGCCAGCACGGAGCAGGGTTTGGCTGGCGCGTTTGACACGTACGCTGTCAACATGATTTGCCAGCTCAAGCAGGGCGGCGTGCGACTGCAGGTCAACTATGATACGAATATCGTGGCGCCGGCGCAGATGGACAAGATGATCGCGCAGATGGAGTTTATGCTGCGCCAGTTTTGCAACGCGGACCTCGACGCCAAGCTGGCGGATTTTATCACCCTCCACACGGCCGACTTGGCGGACGTCTGGACCTGGAACGCGAGTGTGCCTGAGACGGCAAACCACTGCGTCCAGGATCTCATCGCCGCCTCTGTCGCCCAGCACCCCCACGACGTGGCCGTGTGCGCCTGGGACGGGCAGCTGACCTACTCCCAACTTGATACATGGTCGACCCGTCTGGCGCATCACCTGGTGACGCTCAACGTCACCGACTTCGTCCCGCTGTGCTTTGAAAAGTCCGTGTGGACGCCCGTCGCGATGCTAGCCGTCATCAAGGCCGGCGCGGCCGCCGTGGCCATGGACCCGGCACAGCCAGAGGAGCGACTGAAGACGATTGTGCAGCAGGTCAAAGCGACGCTGGTGCTGTCCTCCGCGAACCAGCAAGACATTGTGGGCAGGCTAGTGGCTTCTTCCGTCGCCAGCGCCGTCATCGTAAGCGAGGCGGTGCTGGCGCAGCTCCCGCTGCCCGACCCGGCGGCCACGTTGCCGGCTGTGAAGCCGGACGATGCGCTGTACGTCGTGTTTACGTCCGGCAGCACCGGCAACCCCAAAGGCGTCGTCGTCACGCATGCCAACATCAGCAGCGCCATCCGGCACCAGCAGCAAGCGCTCGGTTTCAGCCAATCGTCGCGCGTCTACGACTTTGCCTCGTACACCTTTGATCTCGTCTGGTGCAATCTCCTGCAAGGCCTCGCCGCCGGCGGCACGCTCTGCATCCCCAGCGACCAGACGCGACGCACCAACCCGCTGCAAGGCATCGGCGCGCTCTCCGCCAACGTCTCGCTGCTCACGCCCTCGACCATTCGCGCCCTCGACACCACCAGCCTCGCCAGCCTCGACACCCTCCATCTCATCGGCGAGTCCTTTCGACAGAGCGATATTGCTAGCATTCCCCCCACGACGGCCGTTTACAACATGTACGGCCCAAGCGAGTGCACGACGTTTGCAACACTACACCGCGGCGGCCCGGAAAAGGTCATTGGCAGGGGTGTTGGGCTGAACACATGGGTGGCCGAGGTGGCCGACCACAACATCTTGACCCCCGTCGGCGGCGTCGGCGAGCTGCTCCTCGAGGGCCCGCTTGTGACGCGCGGCTACCTGGATGAGCCTGAGAAAACGGCCCAAGTCTTCATCGAGGACCCGGCGTGGCTGCTGAGGGGCGGACCGGGCCCGGATCAGGCCGGTCGCCGCGGCCGCCTCTACAAGACGGGCGACTTAGTGCGATACCAGCAAGACGGCAGCCTAGTCTTTATCGGCCGCAAGGACAACCAGGTCAAGGTCAATGGCCAGCGCCTCGAGCTCGGTGAGGTCGAGCATGTCGTTCAAACGTGCCTCCCAAGCAACACGACTGCCAGCGTCGTCGTTGAACTTGTCACCCCCTCCCAGGGCGTCAAGCCCATCCTGGTCGCCTTTTTGAACCTCTCCTCCGCGGCCCTCCAGCCCATCGTTGCTGAACTCACGGACCGCCTCGCCGAGAAGCTGCCCGCCTACATGACACCGTCTGCGTTCCTCCCCGTCCAAGGGTTCCCGCTCACCGCGAGCGGCAAGCTCGACCGCCGTAGCCTGCGCACCGAGGGCGAGGCCCTCACGCTGGAGCAGCTAACGGCCAGCGCGGGTTCGCGGGAGAAGCACGCGCCGCAGACTGACGCGGAGCGGCAAATGCAGAGTCTGTGGGCCGCGGTGCTCAATATTAGCTCGGAGAGTATCGGCAGAGAGGACAGCTTCCTGCGTATTGGTGGTGACTCCATCAGCGTCATGAAGCTCGTCGAGGCCGCGCGCCATCAGGACCTAGTTCTCACCGTGGCTGACGTCTTCAAGAGCCCGCGGCTGAGCGATCTAGCCGCCGGCATTGGCGCGCGCGGCCACGTCCAGGTGCAAGACGTCGCGCCATTCTCGCTCCTGCCACCCGACATCACCCCCGACGAGGCGCGCGCCCAGGCGGCTGCGCTCTGCTCCGCCGTCGTCGCCGCCGAAAATGTACAGGACGTCTTCCCGTGCACACCCCTGCAACAAGGTCTGCTGGCGCTCACGGCGAAGCGCGCGGGCGACTACATCGGTCAGGAAATCTTTACGCTGCACCAGAGCATTGACCTCACCCGGTTCAGGGCAGCGTGGGACGGTTTGGTGGCCGCCACGCCTATTCTGCGAACGCGTATTGTTGACTTACCTGGACAAGGCATCGTGCAGGTCGTGGTCCAAGAACAACCGGCGTGGCCTACGGAGGGCGAGGATGCGGGCAGCCTGGAAGCTTCTGCCAGTATCGATCGACGACAGCCCATGGGCCTGGGCACGCCACTGACACGATTCCGAGTCGTGCGCGAGGCTGGCCACCATCACCTCGTGTGGACCATCCACCATACCCTGTACGATGGCTGGTCGCTGCTGTCGATGCTCAACATCCTCGAGAAGCTGTACAACGGCGAGACCATCCCTTCACCGGTGCCATTCCAGGGCTTCGTCGCTCACATGATCAACAACGACGCCGCGCAGGCCACCACCTTTTGGGGGCGTGAAATGCAAGGCCTGGAGGTGCCCTGCTTCCCCGCGCTGCCCAACTTGCGTTACCAGCCCAGCGCCAGCCAGTCCACCACCCGACACATTACCGGCCTGCGCTGGCCGCGCGTCGACGTGACGCCCTCCATTGCCCTCCGCGCCGCCTGGGCCCTCGTCGCCGCGCAATACACCAGCGTCGACGACGTCGTTTTTGGTGCCACCGTGGCCGGCCGCAGCGCCGCCATTCCCGGCGTCGAGTCCATGGTCGGCCCTGCCATTGCCACCGTCCCGCTCCGCGTCCGGATCGCCAACCGCGCCGCCACGACAGTCGCGCAGTTCTTGGTCGGCATGCAGGAACAGGCGGTCCGGATGATTGAGTTTGAGCAGACGGGCCTGTCGCGCATCAGCCGTGTCAGCGCCGAGGCCAGGGCCGCGTGTCAGTTCCAGACTTTACTCGTCGTGCAGCCAATTGAAGAAACGCAAATCGGCAGCGACTTGTTCCTCCCGGACAGCGAGGATGAGCAGGGCGGCTTCGTCGGGTCCTTTGACACGTATGCGGTCAATGTTGTCTGCGACTTAGAACAAGATGGTCTGCAGCTGCAGATTACCTACGATGAAAACGTCATTCCGGTGGAAACCATGGCGCGAATGACCGCCCAGCTGGAAAATGTCCTTCGACAGCTCTGCGACGCCGATAGCCTGCATAGTACGCTCGCCGACGTCATGTCCATTAACACGCTCGATTTGGACGACATTTGGAAGTGGAATGCCACCGTTCCAGAGGCCCTCGACCGCTGCGTGCACGATTTGATCAAGGAGACGGTCGATAGACAACCGCACACCACTGCCATACACGCATGGGACGGCCACTTGACCTATCACGATCTCGACACGTGGTCCACGCGCCTTGCGCACCGTCTGGTGGACATGGGACTCCGCGCAGGGTCCATCGTGCCCATTTGCTTTGAAAAGTCCATGTGGACGTCCGTGGCCAAGTTGGCGGTGATGAAGGCCGGTGGCGCATCGGCGGCCTTGGATCCGGCCCAGTCAGAAGAACGGTTGGCTACGATTGTACGGCAAGTACAGCCACAGATGGTCCTCGCGTCGTCCGGTTGCCAACAGCTCGCAGAGAGGCTCGTCAAGTCTCCCAGCACAATCATCATTACTGTGGGCGAAGCGCAGCTCAGCCAAATTGCCATCCCGGACAATGCCAGGCTGCCCACCGTGGCACCCGCCGACCCTCTATTTGTGCTGTTCACGTCTGGCACAACCGGCACCCCCAAGGGTGTCATTGTCACGCACGTCAATTTCAGCAGCACGATCCTGCACCAGCACGCCTACTTTGGCTACGACAAGTCCGCTCGAGTCTACGATTTCTCCTCGTACGCCTTTGACGCCGCCTGGCTCAATCTGCTGCTGTCCCTGGTCGGCGGCGCCTGCCTATGCGTGCCGTCGAGCGACGAGCGCCGCAACGACCTCGCCGGATCCATGGAGCGCTTCCAGATTTCGCACATTGACATGACGCCCACAGCCGCCGGCCTGCTGCCGGAGAGCGCCTTGCGTCGGCTGCATACCATGACGCTCGGCGGCGAGCAGCTCCGTCCTGTGGACGCGCAGAGGTGGGCGCGCCTCGTCAAGAATGTGCGCAACATGTACGGTCCCAGCGAGTGTACTGCAACAGCCACGATTCTGAGCATCGATTCCAAGGCCATGGTCAAGGACAGCATTGGTAAAGGTGTCGGCCTCTGCACTTGGATCGTGGATGAAACAGCCACCTCGCTAATGCCCATTGGTTGTGTTGGCGAGTTGCTGCTGGAGGGCCCGCTGGTTGGCCCTGGGTATCTGAATGAACCTGAGAAAACGGCAGCGGCCTTTGTAGAAGATCCTGGTTGGCTGGCCCGTGGAGGACCCAACCATGCTGGTCGCCGTGGTCGCTTATACAAAACCGGCGATTTGGTCCGCTACCATCACGATGGTAGCATCATCTACGTCGGCAGGAAGGACACGCAAGTCAAGGTCAACGGCCAGCGCCTCGAGCTCGGTGGCGTGGAACACGTTATTCAAGAATACCTCGCCAGCACCGGCGGCAAGACTGGCGTCGTCGTCGAGCTCGTCAAGCCCTTACGGGCACATAAGTCGGTTCTGGTGGCCTTTTTAGACACTACAGCATCCCCGGTCCACGAGCTTACCCAAAAGCTGCAGGCCGGCCTAGAAGAGGTCCTGACCCAGTATCTCCCGACCAACGTCACCATTACGGCTTTCCTCCCCGTTGCCGGCCTCCCGCAGACGGCCACCGGCAAGCTGGATCGCAAGAGCCTGTGCGCCACCGTGGAGGCGCTCAGCCTGCAGGAGCTCACAGCCGCCAACATGTACCAGGTCGAGAAGCGCGCGCCAAGCACGGATTCCGAGCGCCTGATGCAGGGGCTCTGGGCGGCGGTGCTGGGGATCGACGCGGAGAGCATCGGCGCCGACGACAGCTTCATGCGCGTGGGTGGCGACTCCATCAGCGCAATGCGGCTTGTCGGGGCGGCGCGCCAGCACGGGTACGTTTTGACCGTGGCCGACGTGCTCCTCCACCCGAAGTTGTCGGATGCTGCGCAGAGGCTGCAGTGCATCGAGGATTATGAGCCCTCCAACGGCGTGCGCAAGGCACCGCTGCAGCTTCTGCCCTCCAAGCTCTCCAGTGCGCGTCTCGAAGCGGTTCTGCAGAAATGGGGCTCGCGGGACGAAGAGGCGCAAGACGTGCTGCCCGTCACGGACGAGCAGGCGCGCAGTCTCTCCATGACGTACTCTGCCTCCCGGAGCATGCTGTTTTACCACGCGCTTGATTGCTCCGCCGAGATGGACTTGTTGAGCATGATCAAGGCCTGCTCGGTGCTCGTGTCACGGTTTGATATTCTTCGCACCGTCTTCATCGTCGAGGGCGACTCCTATTTGCAAGTCGTGCTTCGCTCCTTGAGGTTGGAGGTGCCCACGATTCTGGCAGAGCAGGGGGAAGATATTGAAAAGTGCATGGCAGCCCTGTTGCAACGCGAGTCGTCCAATGCACTGGCATTAGGCGTGCCGCTGACCAAGTTCTACATCATCTATTCTGAGAACCAGCAGACGTACCGCGTCGTCCTGCGTCTATCCCACGCGCAGTTTGATGCCATCAGCTTGGGTCAAATCTGGTCTGCGTTCGAGGACGCCTGCAAGGACGGTGTCAAGGCCAGTTCAGAGCCGGTATCGAGCTTCTCTGCCCATATGGAGTCCATTTCTAGACTCAACAAGCCGCAGACTGTGACGTATTGGCGTGAGCTGCTACAGGGCTCCTCCGTCACGAAACTAAACGAGAGCGCCTCCCATGTCGTCAAGCACGGTGTTGACATGTCCATTACCAAATCCATTCCGCAAAGCCAGCTTCGATCCATGGACTACACCTTTCCCACCGTGCTGGGCGCGGCGTGGGCGTACGTGCTCGCCAAGAGAATGCAGATTGACGATGTCGTGCTCGGAATTCTGACCCACGGCCGAGACCAAGGGGTCAGCGAGGGCGTCTGCGGGCCTTGCGTCAACGTTGTGCCGCTGCGTATCTCGCTCAAGGACAGCGGGCGGGTAGAGGATCTCCTTGCCGCCGCCCACGCGCAGAGGGTCGCCAGCATTGCCCACAGTCAGCTTGGCTCCCGCGAGATTGTCCGCAGCTGCACAGACTGGTCGCAAAACAGCTACTTTGGCACCGTGATTCGCCATAACAGCTACAGCGACGACGAGGCCCAGGCGAGTCGCATGCACATTTTCGAGTCTCTGGGCTCCGGCGCGACGCCCGTTGACATCGACAATGTCGAGGTCCACATCATTGCCGTGTCGAGCAATGGCAAGATTGATGTCGAGGTCAGCTTCGCGGCGAACGTGGTTCCCGCAGATGTGGCCCATCAATTGGCAGCGGACCTGCAGGATACTATTCTGCAGTTTTACAACAGCCTGGACTCGCCTCTGCAGTCACTGCCGGCGCTGCCTCCTTTGAAATGCTCGCTGCCCGTGCGGGCCAAGCCAGTCCACGTCAATGGCATCGAGACCAAGACGGTGCTTGCTGATCGGTGCCCGGCGGCTAAAATGGAGGCTCTGCGCGCGGCTTGGAGAAGTGTGCTCGGGGATGGTGTCAAATTGGACCTGGAGTCTCCCAAGACGTTTTTCGATCTGGGAGGTGATTTGATCGGTGCTAGTGTCATCGCGGCACATGTTGCCCGCGAGGGATATTTGATGACGACCGAGGATGTCTTTGAGCATCCAACTTGGCTGTCGCAGCTGGCGTTGCTCGGTAGTCGCGCGCATTAGGGGAATTTCTGTTTGTTGATACACCAGATGGTGTCAATCGAGGAAGCGGCGGATTCGCTGCCTGCCTGCCTGTCTGCCGAAAAAAAAAAGTATTTCCTTTGTCTATGTCTATAGTTAGCTCATGAATGTACATAATGCCCTTCAGAGATGTTACCATTAAACACATTTGAGTCTGTGATAGGAATAGTGTGACGCTGTTATTGATTAGGGTCGATGTGCCCGCCATGTAATGACGAAATACTACCGCCGATCGACGCGTCCCACCACAGAAAGTCGTCTCCACGAAACCTCAGCTACCCGACAGCAAAATGTCAAAATCTATGCCTTTTATACAGCCGTAAACAGTCTCTCGAGCTCCGGAAAATTTATATCATCATTGTTTTTCACCTCACTGACCCTACATTCAAAATTAGATCTTCTTTGCACAAAAACAACCAAACTCGGACTCGGTGTTTAGGTAGCCCCGATATCCGCAAAAAGCCGCTTGCTGGCCTCTGAATAAGGCTTCCTCCGAGCACAAATCTCGACTAGAAATAGAATAGCCTCAGTCCGCCATTCCCCAACGAACTTTTCACACTTTATGGCTGCACTGTAACCAAACATCAACACCCACACACACCACGACACACAGCCACACGATGCTGCAAAGCCGCATACTCGGTCGAGTCGGCTGCAGCCTGCGCTGTCGCGTGCCTCGCCTCCCGACCTCGCGCATCCCCCACGCCGCGCACCCCTCACAATGGCTCTCGCGGCGCGGCGTCCAGACCGGCGGCCCCTTTCGGCCGATGCGCCCGCCGTCGCCACAGGAACTCGGCCGTCCGCAGGCCGCCAAGCAGTTCCCGCGCGGCCGCAAGTGGACGCGACGTCTACTTTGGACCGCCGCGGTGCTGGGCGGCGTCTACGTCGTCGACACGCAGGTGTACGCGGCGGGGCTCACGCGCACGCTGCGCACCTTTGGCACGACGCTGCTCGTGGCGCTCGACTACAACATCAACTTTCGCGCCGAGCCTTGGTTCGGCGGCTCCGTGGCGGACTTGCACCACCGCAGCGCCGAGCGCATGTCCACTCTGCTGCGCGAGAACGGCGGCCTCTACCTCAAGATGGGCCAGGCGATTGCCATGCAGAGCGCCATGCTGCCGCCGGCCTTTCAGAAAATGTTTGCGCGCATGTTTGACGACGCGCCACAGGACGACTGGCACGACGTCGAGGCCGTGATTCGCGCGGATTTCGGCAAGAGCGTCGAAGAGGTGTTTGGCGTCAGCTTCACGGGCAAGCCCGGCTACGGCGTCATGGAGAAGAAGGCCAGAGCGAGCGCGAGTGTGGCTCAGGTGCACTGGGCGAGACTGCCAGACGGGCGCGAGGTGGCGATTAAAGTGCAGAAGCGGGATATTGCCAAGCAGATCTCATGGGATCTTTGGGCATTCAAGTACGTTTGATCTCGTGGGCGTGCCATGGTGTGTGCTAACGATTTACAGGAGCGTGGCCTGGATCTACTCCAAGTGGTTCGACATTCCTTTCTACAGCCTGATCCCGTACGTGGCCGAACGCCTCGAGCTCGAGACCGACTTTGTTAACGAGGCCAAAAACTCGGACACGATGCGCGACCTCATCAACAACGAAAAGAGCATGCGCGGCCGCGTCTACGTACCCATCACCTACCCGGAGCTGACGTCGCGCCGCGTCATGACGGCCGAGTGGATCGAGGGCGTGCAGCTGTGGGACAAGAAGACGATGACGGCGCGGTGGCTGGGCGGCCGGGGCCAGGGCACGCCCGGCGCGCGCGTGCCGCTGCCCGCCGTCGACATGGACGCCATCCGGCGCGATGTGCGCACGCAGGCGCACGCGGACCACCTCAAGCCGGAGCGGCAGGAGTGGCGGGGCCGCCGGGGCCAGGGCGGGCTGGGCGTGTCAACCACCGAAGTCATGCGCACGGTGACGGACCTGTTTGCGGCGCAAATCTTCACCTGGGGCGTGGTGCACTGCGACCCGCACCCGGGCAACGTCTTTGTGCGGCGGCTGCCGAGCGGCCGCGCCGAGGTGGTGCTCATCGACCACGGGCTGTACGTCTACATGACGCCGACCTTTCGGCGGCAGTACGCCGAGTTCTGGAAGGCGCTCATGACATTTGACAATGACACCATCAGCCGCGTCACGTCGCAGTGGGGCATCAAGGGCCCCGATTTCTTCGCCAGCGCGACGCTGATGCGGCCGTACGAGGGCGGCGGCGAGTCGACGCGGGACGCGTTCCTCATCAAGGACGGGGACACGCGGACGTCGGCGGAGCGGCACTACGAGATGGAGCAGCGCATGAAGCAGGGCCTGCGCGACATGCTGGCGGACGAGGACCGGCTGCCCAAGGAGCTGCTCTTCATCGGCCGCAACATGCGCATCGTGCAGGCGAACAACCAGTTCATGGGCTCGCCGGTGAACCGCATCAAGGTCATGGGCTGGTGGGCGAGCGGCAGCCTGTTCCGCGACCCGCACCTGGGGTGGCGCGCGAGGGCGCGCAACGCATGGCGGCACGCGCTGTTCACGGCCGTCATGGCCGCGTCGGACGTGGCCTTTTACGTGCTCAAGGTGAGGCAGTGGCTGGGTCTGGGGGGCGGCATGGAGGATGTCATGGAGAAGCGCATGAAGGACATGGCGCAGGACATGGGCATTGAGCTGCAAAACGACCTGTTTAGCGGCTGAGGTCATGGAAAAGCGCATGAAGGACTTGGCGCAGGACATGGGCATTGAGCTGCAAAACGCCTTGTTTAGCGGCTGAGGTGGACTGGATTTCCCTTGATATGAGGATGGGGATACACGTGCTTTTTCATATTATACATGGGAGTTTTGGGGCATTTTGCACATGTACTAGATTAGAACATCTCGGCTTCCTTTCTTTGTTTGCTTCCGGATAGACGGGCTAGAATCGTTACACTCTCCCACAATTCAAGTACATTCTACACATCAGCAGCTCGTGCACTCGCTGGTTCCGGGAAGGCAGTGGCAGCATGCCGCTCCCGTACTGTGACGTGCGCAAACGAACAAAGGGCTGTCAAAAACGGCAACAAGTCAGCAGAGTCACATAGCAGGACCGGGTAGGCAAGCCGCCGGCCGGTCCGGTGAGTGATCAATCGGTTGGTGGTCCGCCTCCCGTCCATGCAGGTACGCGCTGGAGCACAAGTGATGCGGGACGGATGCGATGCTACTACTGGTGGGCGGTTTGTCTTCTGTATGTAATATCAGGCTGCAGAAGAAAAAAAAACTCTCTTCCCCCTATTGCTTGCGTGCTCGGCGCGTGACGCTGCCTCTCTGCATCGAATGCTCTGTCAAGCCAGGGCCTGCCATCCCTGTCTTGTCCCTCCTCGGGGCCCCCATTGGTTCCTGCAGTAGTCTCTGCAAGCCCTATGCGCCCCCTTGGGAAAGCCGGATAGCATGTATCATGTAGAGATTTCTTTGTCGAGCCGATGCGGATCATCCCGCTCGAGCACAAGAGATGGATGATGCTGCCAAAAAAAAACCACGCAGGCCAACAGAGGGTTCTAGCGTGTGACTCGGGAGTTTATACAACGGGGGGGATCATGTCATCGACTTGTCATTTTTTGATCTTTGTACAAATCTCTCGGCCAGTTTTTCCCAGGGGACCCCCCTGTCTCCCGTTGTTTTGGGATTGACAGGGTTTGCATTAGACAGGGGCGGTGCCAATGGTTGATGCCGTGGGCAGGCAAATTAAATCATGGGGCAGCTGGGTGCCTGAGATTTTTTCTTATTCGTGAAGAAGAGCAAGAGGCATGTCGGATGTAGATGAAACGGCAAAAGCCACATTTCTGCTGACGTGCAGGGGATGCGTGCCATTCTTTATTCTTTCCAGTCTAGAATGCCGGATACCGGTAGGACAGTCTTCCGCCGTCAGTCTTCTGCCGAACATTGTTGCGGCGCCAAAAATAGGTGAATCAAACCAATGCAGTGTCTCGGCCTAGATCATATTACCTCATTGGTTCCGCTAGTTAGCTGGCTCTGGAGCAACTCGGCTCTGGAAAGCGACTTTTGCCCTTTGTCAAATTGTCACTCGCAGTAATAACAAGTCCAGATGAGCGCTGGTGGAGCCAAGAGGCAAACCTACCAACTCATAAATGAGTGAGCTGCCTTTTTTCTCAGTCTGATTTGCTGGCGTCGCAAGAGGCGGCCCCTTATTCATCTCTTCCCCTCCACTGTGTAGTTATGCGCAGCCAAGTGTGTGGAGCAGGGCCGCGAGGTTAAATATGTTATGTACTTACTGTACAAATTATGGTAATGCGAAACGGGCGTCCTTTTGGGTTTCTGATATGGGCAGCGGCCGCTTTTCAGTGCTACCAGACTGACCTTTCTGAATTTTCTTCTTTGTTCCAGGGCCAAAATGTCCCTCATCGCTACGGATATATTGGGCGCACTGGCCCTGGAGGGGAACTCGTTATTACCAATTATTAGCGTCAAGCTTGGCCTGTGGATTTGCTGCGTAGCGAAACCTGGGGAGGGACCCAGGGGCACCAGGTGAAGAAGACAAAGTGCTCACTTCAAAAGGAAAAGGCTTGAAAGGAAAGGGAGAAGAGTATGAAGAGGGCCGGTGGTGATGGAGTCGACAGCAGACATGCGCCCCTAGTAGGATAGGGCGCAAGGCTTGGGGACGAGGTGGCATTTTCGCTCAGTTCGATTTGGTCGAATAATAATGAGCATCGCATATAGTTATGTAGATTGGAATCCCATCAGGACCATCAGCAGATGTGTCTCTGTTGAATCGCCGACTTGCCACGACGATCTATCCTATCTGTCTTCCTTTGGCAATTGCTGTCCAGGGACCAGGGGCGAGTGGGCTAATTCAGTGGCGGCCGAGTGGATTGCAACTACGAATAGTGGCTGCCTTTCCCTGTAGATTATTTGTCTAACTAGTCGTTGAGTCTTGTGAGTCGCTGCAGGTACGGCAACGTGGGAGGAGCCTTGGAGGGGTCGCCGCCCACCAAAGCCCCGTGGAAATCTCTCGGCGCGCGTCGCTGGGCGCATGGGATGGTTGCTTGATTGGGTGGCCAGAGTGCGCGTTGAAACGAGTGCTGCGCTGCGTGGTACGAGTTGGTTGGCGGCTTGCGCTGTGAGACTGAAAAGGAGACAGCGAGCAGAGAAGAGACGAGGGAGCGTCGACGAGTCGGCAGAGAGACACGAGCCTTTCTTTGACGCAATCATGCTTGCTTTCCAACAACTGTGTTTGTTCCGCACAAAGTATGCTTTTGCGCACGTCCGTGTCTTGCGGCGCTGCGACTAGTTAGACTGGAGCTTGAACGACGAGACGGAGTGACTGTCTGTTGCTCGTTAGTAGGCTGTTAGCACATGTACCGTTGCAACTTAACTTGTAGTCCGTCCGTCCGTCCGTCGTACAGCTGCCGAAGCTAGATTCTCAAGGTCTCAGAGGCCCAACTTGCAAAAGCCGCCCACAGTCGTCCAGGGTCCCCTCCCATCCCGTCGCACAGCCACTACCTGTACCTACCCAGGTACTCCGTCCTCCCCAGGTTGCTACTGGTACGCCGTACTGATAGTGCATCCAACTCGTGCCGCCTCCTTTTTGTTGCTTGATCCTCTCTCTCGACGTCTTTCCTATTTCTTTTCCTCCTCCTCCATCGCTGTCCTCTTCTGCTGGCTGCCCCCATTGTCGCCGTTTGTCACCCCATTCTCCCCCGACAACTAGCTTTCGCTTTGACGACGCACTAGCCACCCGCCTGTGGCTGAACGGCTTCGCACTCCCCCCCTGCGCCACGACACCCGTTGAAGCTGCGTTTGCTAACGGTACCGAGTACTTGGCCGATATTGGCAAAAAGAAAATATACCTCCATCGAGTAGAGAGCCTCATACACTCGTTTTTCCTCTTGCATCCTCCTATGCGCCACCAGTTTTGACCCGTCTCTCGCCGGCCGTTTTGGTTTCTGTATCCATACTCTTGCATTCATTCATTCATTCAACACCTAGCTTGCTCGCGCTACACGCCTTCCTACCTCCCTAGGTGTCTGCTACCCACCGTTTCCTTAACCGCCTCGCCTCGACAAACGGCGCCCACCTTGGCAATAGCTTCACACCTTCGCTCAACCCCTCCTTCCCTTCGCTCCCCTCGCCATGGAGCCTTCCGCAGACCCCCCCGCCAACCGGCGTCCCAGCTTCGGCAGCCTCCTTCGGCGCTCCAAGAGCGGCGACATGGGCAAGAAGGCCCAGGCCGCGCGCGAAGCCGAGCTCGAGCGCCAGCGCCAGCGCCGTCCGCCTCGCATTCCCGACTTTGCCAACAGCACCGGCCAGCAGCTCTCCAAGGCCCTCAGCACACAGCTGCGTCTCGATCCCGAGCATTTCGCCTCCAACGGCCCCCAAGTCCCCTACAACGGGCCCAATCACTTTAACCAGGGCCGCCACGACGGCTCCGTTGGCACCTCCCGCACCTACACCACCAGCGCCTCCCCGCCCCCCATCCCCGGGCTTCACCATCCTGTCCAGCCGCCACCCTTCGATCCATACGCCGCCACCGAGAGCATGACGCACCGGGGCAGGTATAGCTACGCCAGCAGTGCCATCAGCACCATTAACAGCCCTAGAAGGGTGCGTCGTCGCAAGGATCCTACTCCCTTCAAGTAAGTCGTTTGCTTTGCTCACTCACACGCGACCGTGGTTCCTGCCTTGTGCCACGGCCACAATCTCCTCTTTCGGAACAGCCTCGTATTCCTCCGCTGTTACACCACCGCTGACTCGACCCCTAGTGTACTCGTCATTGGCGCCAAAGACTCGGGAAAAACATCGTTCCTCGAGTTTCTCAAAACTGCCCTCGCCTTGCCTCCCAGGCGCCGTCCTAGGAAGCAGGAACAGCCAGAGTACCAGGCACCGCTTCCTGCCGAAGGCAACTTTGTTCCTCACTACCTCGAGACGGAGATTGATAATGAGAGTATTGGCCTGACCATTTGGGACTCGGAAGGCCTTGAGAAAAACATCGTCGATCTCCAGCTCCGAGAAATGTCGGCCTTTATCGAAAGCAAGTTTGATCAAACCTTTGCCGAGGAAATGAAGGTGGTGCGCTCGCCTGGTGTGCAGGACACCCACATTCACGCCGTCTTTCTCATGCTCGATCCCGCTCACATTGACCGCAACATTGCCAGCGCTCGCAAGGCGCAAGCGCACGCTGACGGCCACCAAAATGGCTTTCGCTCCGACAATGCCAAAATTACCGGTGCCCTTGACCACGATATGGATCTCCAGGTCCTGCGTTCGCTTCATAGGAAGACGACCGTGATCCCTGTCGTTGGCAAGGCCGACACCATCACTACCAAGCACATGAACGTCCTTAAACGCGCTGTTTGGGATAGCATCCGCAAAAACGGGCTCGACCCACTCGAAACTCTCGGTCTCGAGGACGATTCCAACAGCGTCATCAATGAAGAGGATGAAGAGGCCGAAGTCGACTCTGATACACTGCCCCAGGAGATTGGCGATGATTCCCCCACGTCTCCTGAGTTTAACCCTATCAAGCGCTCCCCCGGCAAACGAGTCTCGTCGCAGAGCATGATTCGACACAAGGCTTCGCAAGAAAACAAGGAGGAGGAGCTACCATTTTTGCCGCTCTCAACCATCAGCCCCGACCTCTATGAGCCCAGCGTCGTCGGCCGGGAATTCCCCTGGGGCTTCGCCGACCCCTACAACGAGAAGCACTGCGACTTCCAGCGACTCAAAGAGGCTGTCTTCAGCGAGTGGCGCACCGATCTGCGCGAAGCCAGCAAGGATCAGTGGTATGAAGGCTGGCGAACTAACAAGCTCAAACACCGCGAAAACTCGTACCGTCGTCGCTAGGGGACCTTCATCTACGACGCTGATTTGCCTTTGCTCATCAAGTTTATACCATGACCAACGTTGCGCTCCTGTCAAAGTACAGAATAAGCAATGCGATGATTCCGCACCTGCAACTTTACCTTTGTTTCATGCTCTTCTCTTCTTAAAACCTTGGAACTCTCGGTCATGGATTGACTGCGACGGATCCGAGTATCCTCTTTTGCATTTACCCGCTGCGGCACTGTTGAAGTGCTCCGTCATGCGACACGCCTTATTTTCTTTTTTTCTTTTGCAAATCCTCTATACCCATTGTATCAGGATTTATTCTACGAACTTGTCCACTCATGGCCCTTGACGTCTCTCATTAAGCCCCCTTTCACACTGACTTTTAACCGACCTTTTTTGTCTTTTTTTGTCCACTTTTTAGCGCTGAGATGTTCTGCGACCAAGGTTGCCCTTTGCAACATGCACCTGTTTTTATATGTTTTTGTCTTGTCCCCGTTCTTGGAAGGGGATTAAAAATTTGCGTTGGGAGCCGTCGATTGGACGCGGCAGATTGAAGTAGTGCAATATACAACCAACATGTTGACATGAATTTCGACATTCGTATCTTCACCGTCGTGGTGGCTCCTGTTTCTTATTCTGTATTTGCCATAAGGGGATCGTTGAAATAGTTGGAGATTCTAACGTGTGTGCTTGTGGTAAGAAACAAGGAGTGACTGCTTAATAATGAAAGCGCAGGTTGAATCGCACGGTAGCTTAATAAGTGTAAATGCAATCACCTTGATCCCAACATTCATCCGGCAAATATACCATGTCCCATCATTGCTCCCTTGCCGCTGTCCCTACACTCTACCTCGCTTCATGCCAGCTTCAACAATAGTTCATCATGTTCAATGCGAATCCCTGACGCCGCCCCCCTCTCTCACACACGTTCCATCAAGATCCCAGACACCACCGCCGCCCTTAGGGAGTGTCCATCGGGTTCATCGCCGTATTGGTCGGTCTCCCCGCCGCGTCGACATCCTCCTCCCTTCGGCGCGGATTCTTGCCGTGCTTGCGCACCTTTTCCCGCTCCTTGATGCCGAGCGCGACCACGTCGAAGCCGGGCGGCAGGCGGAGGTCGTGAATGAGCAGGTCCACCTTGATGTTGCGCGCCTTGTCGCGGTACGCCTGCTGGTCGCGGGGGTGTTGGAAGCGGTCCTGGCACCGTTCAATGGTGCTCCACTTGCCGTAGTGCTCCGCGACGAGCGCGATGAGCGCGGCCTCGTCGTGGGCGGACCACGGGTACCGCCGGCGGCCCGTGTGGGTGACGACGGTGACGGGGCGAGTGGTGGCGGCGGCGGC